TAATAAATATTTGTTAAGGACCTATCCTCTAATAAATCATTTATTAAATATTAACAAATCTTTTTAAATACAAAAAAATCCTTCTATATCAGTGTATGACAAAAATTGTTACACAACTAGGATTAGTTAGTCTTTTAATAAATTAACAAATTTTGTATAATTTTTTTTTTTTTTCAAATTTTGATAATTAAGACCCAATTAATAATTCCTATCACTTATAACAAAATAAAAAATTTTTATTATCAAATATAGATTTCAAACTCGTAGACTTTCTCTAAAACACGCTGATTATTCAAAAATATTGAGAAGTTTTTATGTAATAATTTATTCACAATAAATTAACATATAAACTTTTTTTTTTCAGTGATATATTATCAATTTATATATTTTATATATAAAAATATATTTCTATAAAAGTAAACAGTAACTGATAAAGATACATAATCTCAGTCTTTAAATTTATAATAAATAAATTTTCCTCAGATTTTTTACCGCCACCAATTTATTCAACCACCGGTTAGTTAAAAATTTTCATGACAAAACAACAAAAAACATAGATAATAAAAATATAACATGTTAGTTAGTAATTATTTTAAAAATACACGAAAGTAACGATTGATATTTAGTAGAGCAGTGACCGGATTATTATTCATATTTTAAATAATTTTATAAATTGCGTAATCGAGCCACTGTTCTCGCGGATTTTATTGTTCCTTGCAAAACTAAAAAAAAATGATTAATTCAACAAAAAAATGATAGTAAAATAAATTTTTAAAACCAATTAAATTTATTTAACATTTCAATTTATAAATTATTAATATAAAAATTTAAAAGCAAATTATATTATCAATAAAATAAAAGTTACAATAATAGGCCGATTAAAATTAATATTTAACAATACATTGACTAGTATATACTTTGTCGGAATAATGCCTCGGATTTTGTTTATTTTATTCTTATTTTTTGGTAGATGCAAGGAACAAATTGATGCGAGTCAGTCGTTACTGCGAAGGAAATTATTTTTCATCATAATCGCTTATTTTTTAATCTTTCTTCTTCAAGTATTAATTTTTATTAATTATTGCATTTTTGTCTCCAAAAATTTTTTTAATTTTGACAACATAAATCAAATTTAAAAGTTAATTTTGGTAAAAAAATATTTTTATTTTTTAAAATTAATAAATAAATAAGAAAGAAAAAAATTCCAGAGTCTAGCTAGGGTCATGGTATTAACCATTTCGTTAAATCGGATAATAAAACCATTAAAAAATGTGCATGTCGATGAAGTTTTGTTTGTTTTTGAAAACCGGTCCCCAAGGGTTATTTTTATCGTTTTTGTCGGAATTTTTGTACGCTGATGATGTTGATGGCATTTTAGATATTGGTTTGTCTTTTCTGTAATTAAAAAAAAATATTTTTAGTTATTTTTTAATAAAAATCGTAAATTTTTTTTATTTTTTTAATTAATAAAATTTAAAAAAATCTTAATACACAATTTTCTAATTAAAAAATTGTAGAGATAAAAATTTTAATTAAAGAAGAAAAAAAACTTACTTGATTTCTTGGTATGGACCCTTAAGGGCAGTGTTGTAATCTTTGTGCACCATGATTAATAATTATAATTTGGATAAAAAATTACTTGAATTAAATTTTATTAAGAGTCAAAAAGTATTCCTTCGTCAATAAGAAATACCGAGCTCCGCGATCAACAGTGGCTCGATAGCAATATTTTAAAATTCTTTTAAACTTTATATAAATATTTTCACTGCTCTAATAAATATTTTTGTTACTTTCGGGCCTTTTTAGTTTATTCCGATAACTGAAACAATTAATAAATTAATTATAATTTACAATTATAATAAATATTTTAAAAATAAAATACTTACTCTATGGTACGTGGTGTAAATGGACAAGTACTAAAAGTTCTAGGCGGTTTCCAGAATTACCACATCGACTGCCTTTACGTGATCTCAGATTTTTTGCAAGCCTGAAAAAAATTTTATAAATTGTTATTATTGAAGTTAAAAATTAAAATATTAATTAGTATGAGATTGAAAATTTTTATCCAATAATTTTCATTAATTGTAGCGAAAAAAAAAAAAAAATTGACACTAAAATTTTAATCAAATTTTCCAAAAAAAAAAAATTTTTAATAATTAAAATCACAAAATTTTTCCATAAAATCAATATTTTTAATTTTTTATAAAACAAAAAAAAATATTTACCGGACACTTGGTAAAAATGTTGGGGAATTTCCTTGACAATCTAAAACTTTGCACCTCATCGACACATAAGGTCTGATTGAACGTTAGTTACAATCACCAGTGACTCAAATAAAAATTGTAATCAAACAATTTGAAGTACTCGAGAAGTATTAATTTCCCTTGATACTAGTATCAAATAAAGAAATAAAAAAAATTCTAATTAATCTCTTTATTACAACTGAGGAAATAAATTTCGAAATAATCCAATAATAAGCGATGAGCTTTGTTGAAAGACTGTATGGAGCGTGTGAAGCCGGTTGCTTATACACCGGATCCCCTTCTTTCGGTCCAGGTGAGGTAGAGGTAGATTGAGAATCTGCATACATTCAATGGGACAACTCTCTTGTCCTGTACTCACATATATCTATATATAAATGGAAAATTTTTTTTAGCCTGCTGACGGTTTATTTGAGAATTTTGTTTACTCTTTCTCCTGTTCACGTGCTCACTAGGTTATTTTTTAAGGAACCAAGTGGTAGTTCACGTGGACAAACCATCACGAGGTCATCAGAATTATAATTTACGAAAAATACCTGACTATCTGCACGTAGACACAGTATTACGCTATTTTTAATTTATAAATTTTAACTTCAAAAATTATTCGCGCTTACCTTAATAAAAATTCGTGGTAATTATGCAGAAGTGGGGCTCTATCTATTTTAGATAAAATTGAAATAAAATAAAAAATCGAAAAATTTATTTCTTTGAATATTTCTTTTTTTTTTTTTAATTTATCTTCTTCGCGGCGGATTTTTGATAAAAATGATAAAAAGTATAAAAATCGAATATTTTTGTGATTTTTTTTCATTTGAAGTTCAAAAATTTTCAAATTATGATATATTTGTTCGATTTTTATCGCTTTTTAAGAAAAAAAATATTTCAATAATCGGAAAAAAATAGCATCGTCACCATTTCATTGAAAAACATCTAAAATTGTAAATTTTTGAACTTCAAATGAAAAAAAAAAAATCAACAAAATATTCTTCATACTTTTTATCATAAATCCGCCATGAAGAATAATTTGAAAAAAAATTAATATTCAAAAAGATCAATTTTTCGATTTTTTAAACTCAAAAATAGGTGTAGCTCCACTTCTGCATAATTCCCAATTTTTTTAATTACCAGTTTAAGAAAAATGAAGGAAGAAGGTCATGAAGAGCGCGAAGACACCGAAGAAAAGAAAGATGGCGCAAGAATTTTTATCGTCGGTAAGAATAACCAATAGAAGCTTCGGTAGTCTAATAATAATATTAATTGTGATTATAATTTATAATGAAGCTATTTATTAGCAATTATTATTGATTATTGAAACTGGAAATATTATATTGAAGACTTATAAAGAGGAAATATTTGTCAGATACAGGGAAATGAGATAGCTTGTAGGATTGTGGGTTTGTAAGGTAAACAAGAATCTGATGCAATACTCTATCCAGTCTCGTCATCTTTTCAAGCCACCTTTTTTTAATATTTTATTTTATAATATTCATTACTTTATATCTAACATGATTTTATAGTTGCTATTTAACCCTCTTAAGGCGCCAGATATTGATGAAGACTTTAAATTAAGAGTTTTTATGACTAGTTTGCTTAAACAGATTTTTAGTATTCCATATTTTAGGTCTTAAGTTATTATTATTATTATTATATTTTTTAGTCAGACGAAACCTTTAGCTTCTCTTAGCAAAAACTTTGATTCCTATTTAAAATAATTAAATCTCAGTAATTTTAAAAATAGTTATTATAGGAAAATTTGATGACGCAAAATAAATAACAAAACAAATATGATTTATGTTATAAATTTTTTTAACCTGACTCAAACTCTGGAAGTAATTAGAATATTTAATACATAAATAATATTAAATTAATAACAGGTAGTTATTAATAACTCAACAACTGCCTAAAACTTTATTTAAAGAATATTTCATTGCATTGGAAGAAATATTTACTGGAGTTAAATTTGAATTACTTAACAAAAATTTTTTTTTTGTTTCAGAGTTTTAAAAATTTCATTTTTGATATTTATTAAGAGCTATAAAAATGTAGTACGTTAAGTAAAAAAATTTAAGCTTTTGATTATTTCTTCCAGAAGAATATTAGTTCTAAAAATAATTTCTTTTCTGGGTTGACAAAAAAAAAAAAGACAAAATAAATTAAATTATTTAAATTTATTAATAAAGAAATTCTTAAAACTTAATTATTAAACAAATTAACATTAAAATTAATTAGCTTCGACAGTCTGGTTACCAGGAGTGAGGCTAATTAGTCGATTAGAATTTTCCGCAAGTTCCGCGATACTGACACGTCCGCGCTGCTTGACAAACTTAGCAACCGCTTCTAATTCTTTCTGAGAAATATAAATGAATTTTCCTCTGTCATCAACGACTCCAGTGAGTCTTCCACTGGCCTGAAGACTCTGGATCCTCTCAATGACACTGGCAGTCTTAAGATTAAAGTGTCCAGCTAGGTCTTCCAGGACCACGACCTTGTTATACTGAATATACTTGATAAACTCATCGAGTAAATTTTCCTCATCAACGTCATTCTGATCAAAGCCTTCCTCCTCAACACTGAAAGCCTCCTTCATCTTGAGGTACTCTTCGTACTCGGCTTTTTCTTTTTCTTCGCGAGCTTTCTTCTCCAACTCCTCCTGCTTCAGCTCCTCGGCTCGTTCTCGCTCCCGCTGCTTATCAGCTTCTTCCTGTTGCATATGCTCGCGTTTTTTCCGCTCTTCTCTTTCGCGCTCCATAGCTTCGCGAGCTTGTTTCTTCTCGGCTTTGGCTTCTAGTTTCGCGCGCTTCTTCGCTCCTATTTTACCGTCAGGCAGCTCCGCAGCTTTTTCGTCTCCTTCGTCCTCAGACCCGCCATCTCCAGCTGCTTCTCTGGGTTCTGGTTCTTCTCGACGGTGCTGCATACGACGTGGATTTCTCACTCCAGCAGCTCTTCTTACTGGTTGTCCTCTTGGTCTTGGGTTTTCATCTTCTTTAACTGACTTTCCTGTTTATTTTATTAATTTTATATTGTAAAATATTTCATTAAAAATAATTTTCTATTAATTAAAATTTTTATGCTAATAAAAAAAAAAAAAATTATTGTTTAATATTTTTTTTTAACAAATTGTCATGTTAATTTTCCTATCACCAGTAAAAAAAAACATTTGAAATTTTTTTTAATTCAATGAAAATGATAAAAATTTTCATTAAAAAAAAATATTAAACTGTAAAAATAATCAAATAAAAACATCTGGATAATTATAAACTTTGTAGGTTAACTTGTTAAAATAAATAAATAATTACAAACCTTTGCTTCTAGTCGACCAAATAGTCAAAAAAATAATAAGTGTAACAATTCCCACCGCAATAGAAATTAATATCGTAGTATCCATTTTAATTTAAAAACTACTAAAAAATATAAATAAACAACTTGAAAATAAATTTTATAAATTGATGCAATGACAAGTATCGATAACACAGAATCGATAGAAAACTAAAACTACAATAATAATATAAAAATGGAGTAATAATGATAATAATGACAACTCTGATCAGTGGCGGCGCCACGTCACGAGTCACGATATTAAAAACAAAACCTTTATGGCGGTGTTTAGATGACGTGTGTCTTGTCCAAGTGTCTCGTTACAATAAACGTATTTTATTATTATTTATACTAGTTTTTTCTCAAGTACTATTTAATACATAAAAAAAAAATACCTCAGAATTTATAATTATTACGTAAAATACAATGTTAAAGTACATATATTCAGTAATAACCTGGGCACTTATTGCCAACTCGGTGTCGGGATTGTATTTCCACATTGGTGAAACGGAACGTAAATGTTTCATTGAAGAAATTCCCGATGAAACCACAGTTTTAGGTAATTTATTTAATTATTTATTTTTTTTTTTTTGTATTTAATTATGAATATTGTTAATTTTTTTTTTTTTTTTTTTTTTTTTTTTTTTCAGTTCATTACAAAGTTGAATTATTCGACCCCAGAAGTGGAGGTTACATGCCAAGCAGCCCAGGCATTGGCATGCATGTCGAAGTACGTGATCCAGATGACAAAATTATTCTGTCAAGAGTGTACAGTTCTGAAGGACGGATATCCTTCACTTCACAAACTCCTGGTGAACATGTCATTTGTTTGTACAGTAACAGTACTGCATGGTTCAGTGGTACACAGCTGGTATGTGTGTTTTATAAATTTATTTATATATGAATTTGTTATAATACTAAAGTTAACTGACGTTTTTAATTTTTTGATTTTTTTTTTTTTTTTTTCAGTAATTAAATTAGAACAAAAAAATATTTTTAAAAAATTGCACTTACAGTTTTTAAAGTTTTTTACAAATGAAATTTTTTTTTTATTTTATATTATTATTATTACTATAATCAATATAGCTAGCCCATAGTTGCGCAATAATTAATTTTTATTTTTGGCTGATTATTGTCATTTATTTATGTTAAAATTTAAATTAATACAAAAAGCGTGATACTGAAAATATTTAATATAATTTTGAAATCAACAGACTTGGAAAAATTTTTTTAATTACACAAATTGTCAATAAAAAAGTTTTACTTGTAGAAATTTTAAAAAAGTATAATTGCAATTTTTTTTTTTTTAATTATTTTAGTATTAATTTTTTTTTTTGATGAATAAAACTTAAAAATTATGAATTTTATTATGTGCATATAATTTATTCTAAACTTATTTATTAATTGCAGAGAGTACATTTGGATATTCAAGTTGGAGATCACGCTATCGATTACGCCAACTTGGCGCAGAAAGAAAAATTATCTAAATTGCAATTAAGAATAAGACAATTGTTGGATCAAGTTGAGCAGATAACTAAAGAACAAAACTACCAACGGGTAATTATTATTTTTTTTATCTAAGCTTTTAAATTATAAATCAAGTTTACATTAAAAATTGATATGATGTTAAAAAATAACTTTTTTACAGTACCGCGAGGAAAGATTCAGACAAACGTCTGAGAGTACAAACAGCCGGGTCTTGTGGTGGTCTATCACTCAAACAGTTATCCTTCTGGTTATGGGTGCATGGCAAATGAGACATCTCAAGAGTTTCTTCGAAGCCAAAAAACTTGTTTAGATTATTTATATTTAATCAATTAATATTTTTAACAAACTTGATACTGTTCTGTGAACAGAGTTGGAGGTTTACTTATAATGTTTTTTTTTTTTTTGGGTAGAAGAAAATTCTGTGCCACAGAAAAATTTTTGTAAAAAATTATTTAAATATCAGTAAAAATTGCAAAGCTTATTAAAACAAGTATTCATTCATGTAACACTTATTTGTAATTTTTAAATACAGATTTAGTTATATAAATATTTCGAGTAAATCTGAAAAAATTAAGTATACATTACTTAAAAGTCAATGTTACTTTTAAAATTAATATCTGAGTGATATATTAATGACTTTGGTCTTAAATTTAATTTAATCGCCATATAGTTAAAATTTAATTAAGCCTTTCTGATTGTTCTGATCACTATTACTATTATTTCCGCAGGTTTTTTCAAATCTGGTGTACAGATTCAGTAAAATTTACTTTACTTATATTTGTAAGCATTCTTATAAATAAAAATTTAATTTAAAAAATTTTAATTCGAGGAATTAATGAATTTAACTGTTACAACTGTCTAGCTAATTTAGTTATTTATTTAAATCCCACTGTCTGTAATATAATATAAATAAATAATTACTAAAACTGTTTATTTTGTACTTTAGCTGATGATTTAATGAATTATTCTATTTTTTTGTACAGGATGAGAAAGGAGACATTAAATAATTGATAATTCCTGTAAAAGTTAGTACTTGAAATATGAATAAATAAAAAATTATTGAATTATTATAATTATCGTAATATTTTATTCGATAAAAAATAACATTGATGATGTATCTATAAGAGCTAGATATTTACACATTATTGATTTTTATTGAGTAAGAGCTTATTAATATTGATAATTATGCTGCTAAGTTATTGTTAAAGTATATAAAATTAAAAATAATTAAACTTGTAACTAAATGATTTAAAAAAGTTGAATAATAAGTATAACTAACTAAATTAAATACAATCTTTAAATAAGTTAAATTTATTTCTAAATCATAAATTATTTTTAAATATTAAATTAAATTATTTGCACTATAGTCTTGAAAACTTAAAGTAATTTGCTTATAAATCAAAATAAAGTTTTTATAAATTTACAAAAGATTTAATTTTTAAAAAATATTTGTCAAAAAAAAATATAATTTAATTTTTTTTTAATAAATACTTTTTAAAAATTTACAATTAATTTTAGTATAGAAAATTCATAATTTTTAACATTTTAAAAAATAATTATCAAACTTATGATTAAATTATTTAAAAATTTTTAATCAATTTTCTTCTGAAAAACAATTATTAAATCATATAGATAAGAAATAATTATTTTTCAAAAGATATTTTAAAAAAATTTGCAATGAGTTTCATTAAAAAAATAATTATCACCAAACTTAGATAATTATTTTTTCAAAAAATTTATTCTAAATTTGTAACTAATTTTTTTTTTTTACTAAAAAAAAAAAGTTAAAAAAAAAAAAAAAAAACAACCTCCGTAAGGAAACTAAATAAACTTTTTTTTTTTAATTAAAAAACAAAAATTTTTTAATTAAAAAAAAAATAACTATTTGGAATGTATTGAGCAGGAAAATGGAATGAAAGCCATTATCGGAGACGGTAAAGCCCCCGATAAGGAATTATCAGGTGCAAGGAGGAGGTGGAGGCTGTTGTTGTTGACTCGGAAGGGGTGAGGAGGCGACGGCGGCGGCCGCAGCAGCGGCAGCCGCAGCTGCGGCAGCATAGGACGAAGGATCATTCGGGTCGAGGATTGGGGGTGGCGGTGGCAACCCGCCACCAGCACCACGACCTCGTCCTCGGCCTCTACCACGACCCCGTCCTCGCCCCCTCCCCCTTCCGCGTCAACTCCGCCTCTCTGGCATGCCTATATTGCTCGTAGTCTTCTCCAGGAACGCGAGTGGACCCTGGAGTGCGCTGTTTCCAACTCCGACACCTGGAACTCCACCGACCGGGAACCCCGCGCGTCCAGGTACTCCTTGACCCATGAACATTCCTTGCGGGTTCACGTTAACTCCCTGCAGTCCTGGAGGCACCGCACCTCCTGGTTGAACCTGCAATTTATTCATTTTTTTACCCATTCAATTTTTTTTTAACTTTTTTAATTTCATGCATTAAGGGAGAGTTTAGAACTTTAGAGATTTTATTCATTAAAAATTTATCAATTGATAAAAATAATAATTGTAATTATAATAATAATAAATTTAAAAATAAATGATAGGAATGTACATAAGGGAAGGTAAATGAAAAAAAGCACAAAGATTCACCATGAAAAGAGTAAATTTTATTCTACTACAAGTTCCACGATTTATTTTTAAATTAAACAATAATTTACACGATTATTTATTTTTATTCTTAAAAATTCATTCGATTCAATTATTTCGATAAATCACTTTGACGCCAACGCTTATTTTTATTAATTACTTACAATGTTTTATAGAAAAACATTTAATAAAAAAAAAAATAATAAACGTGTGAATAATAGAGTTAAAAATAAACAGAACCCATAGTAATAGTAAATAAAAAAGAAAGCCAATGAAATGATGTTTAATGAATGTATTATAATAAATAATAAAACAAGTAATAAAATTTCATTGTCAAATATATCCATTGATTTGGCTTTTAATTTATCCTAAAGTTAGCAGATTATTTTCAGATTTTTTTTTTTTTTTCAAAATAAATAAATATCGGCTAACTTTAGTGCTTTAATTTCAGTACATTTTACTCTAATTAAATACTTTTGGCACCATAATTATTCATTAAGTAACATCAATTAATTTATCTTTGAGATCTGTATGCATTAGTACGTTAAATCTCTAGTACAAGTCTTTACAGTTTATCTATTTATAATAAATAATTTAATTATAGTAATCATAGTAATAATTTATTAATGGAGTAATGAATTTAATTTGGTAACCATGGACTTTTTTTTTCTCATAAGGCACACAAGGAATTTAAATTATTTCAATATTTATATATTTTTTTTTATATTCTTTTGTAGTGATGTAAGTTATGTAATATTATTATTATCTTCAAAATTTTTAAATAAAAATATTCATAATTATTTTTTAAAAATTTATGATAAAATATTTCAAAAAAAACTAAATGAAGAAGTTTAAACTTAAAACTTAATAATCCACAAATTATTTATTTTTACTTAAAAAAAAAAAAAAAAAAAAAAAAAAAAAAACTCAATTTAAAAAAAAATAATAAAAATGCCTATGAGACTTTCATTGAAATCATTCTATTCAAAATGATTAGTAATATAATCTTAAATGGAAGATGATTTTTCTATGACAAGTTTTTTTAATCACAGTAATTCGCTTTTATCGCTACTTTAGATACTCAGAATTATTAATCTCATATCTCATATTAATATATAATAAAAATCTTAAGTCAAATTGTAATTCTCTTTTCATATTTATCAGTACATTATAATTTATAATTAACCAGCATAAACTAACGAGTATTAAGCAACAAAAGAGCCATTGAAGCAGAGTAAATATTTTTAACACCACCATAAACTCACTCATAAATACAAACAAACAATAATTATAAAAATATATAGAGCCCTTTTGAAAATTGATTTAATAGTTCATAGTTCATAAGTAGTAACATTAAACGGCGTTTATTTAAATACCTGTTGTTGATGAAGTTGTTGTTGTTGCTGCATTTGGTGCTGCTGCATGTGGAGCTGCTGTTGTTGCTGTAATTGTTGCTGATGCAACATTTGTTGTTGCTGTTGCTGTTGCTGTTGTTGTTGTTGCTGCTGCTGCTGCTGCTGCTGGAGTACTGGGTTTGGAGCTCCATTGCCTGGTGGCCCTTGTGGACCTTGTCCATTAGCTAGTCCTGCAGAAAAGTAATCGCAATTAGTAATTATGAATTGTTAAGGATTAAAATTTAAATGTGGAAAATTAAAAAGAAGAAATAAGGAAATAAAAATAAATACTTGCCATTAGGAGCAGATCCTTGGGCTAGTGATTTGTCCCAACCTTGTAAATCAGCGAGCAAGTGCTGCCAAGTCGCTATCTTATCGTAGTGTCTCTTGATGAGTTCATCTTTTCGAGCTAACTCCTGACGCAGTTCACTGATGTCTTCTTTTACGAGCAGCTCTGGTTTCAATGCTGATAATAGAAAACGCTTTTGGAGAAAAAATGCTTCTGTTTGCCGGGCGAGATCAATGAAGCGAGAAACGACTTGTTCAACTTCTGCTTTGGCTTCTTCCTTGTCGACGGCTAAGCTGCTTCCGATACTATTATTGGTCAGTCCTTCTTCTTTGGTTAATATATTCATACATTGCTATATAAATAAATTAATTAATTTGTTTATTAAAAATTATCAATATAAAAAATTTATATTGAAATTTACAGACATCTGATAATTTATTTTAACAAAAATTAAAAAAAAAATTCTACTTGTAGTTCAAGACAAAAAAAAAAATTGTTGAATCGTCAATGAAAATTTTTCTTATTCATAGTGATAAAAATTTTTTTTTTTTTTTTTTTTTTTTTTTTTTTTTTTTCCAATTTTCGGTTATGAAAAAAATTACATCAAACATTTGATACATAAGTTTATAAATATGTATCAGAAAAGTTAATGTCCACGGTTTTTTGAATAATCAATTCTGATTAATAAAAAAAAAAAAAAAAATTATTATAAATAACTTACTTGAAGCGAGTCTTCAAACTCATCAATTAAATTTCCATTTCCATTAGTTGGAGTTGCCATTATTAATTAAAAGCTTAATTATACGTAGAAAAATATTTACTTGATCCTTATTCACATTTAAACAAAATGACAACTTTTTAGGTTATAAGGCAGTTGGATACAGTGTATCACAAGTATTAAACAATGTAATTATAAATATTCAAATTTTCAATCCATTTGACCATTTTAAAATCAATTATTAAATTTTTAAAACACAAATTATGAAGCCAATTTATTAAATTAAACTCAATAAATATTAGAAAATATAACTCGTGCTATTTTTTTTATTTTAATACACGTAAAGGACACATTGTATATATGGACTTATGAAGGGTAGAGGTAAGGAGATCTGTGTATTGTCAATATGGCAGTGTGCGAAGCATATGGTGGGGAGGGCTGGCTCTGACTACCACTTTTACATGTAAATCTTATGGAAGAGCATGATTTAACGCTCATGGCGACCACTGGAACTAAATTACTCCGTTTGATTTAACATAGAAAAAGCATGAAAAATGAGGGCAGCACCATCGTGCACCTGGCCAATATTTATAAGAACAAGTAAATAAGGTAAAACGGTAGATAACGATTAAGTGCGCATGCGTGAAAAGTTGTCAACATTCGCTAATTTAAGTTGAGATAATTATCTTTAATTTTTTATCGTATAAAATATTGTAATCATTAAATTATATTTTATTTATTTATTTATTAGTTACAAACTTTTACAGAAATGAATTATCAATCACTTAATGACTCTCCTTTCTCATCCTGTACAACGAATTAATTTAATAATTAAATAATAAATCACCTCAAAATCGCCTTCACAATTAAAAAAAATTAATCATTTACTAATGTATGTGTACTGTAATATTAACAATAATTATAAGTAGACAGTGAATTTAATTTAATACAATTGAAGAAAATAAACTACAAAAGTAAAGCTGTACAAGGAAGAGAAGTCTAGAGCATCGAAGAACAGTTATCAAAGTTGTATAAAAAGAGTTAGTGTAAATGCCACAAAGTAAAGAGTTCTGTTAATTATTTATTATTATTATTATTATTATTATTATTAATTATTATTTAGTTAATAGTGTGGCTTAAATAAATAAATTAGGCAGAAAGTTGTCGTAGGAATTGTATCAACGTTCTCGTAGGTCTGCCACTCATTCCGCCATGCAAGTAATTAAGGTCGTCGTTGTTTGAACTCATGACACCAGCAATGTCCAAGTGCATCCATGGACATGCGTCACTTGCGAATTCGCGCAAAAATCCAGCCGCTGAGCAGGCACCACCGCCTTTAACTTTAGCCATGTTGTTGACATCTGCAGCTTTAACTGGTTCTGAAAAAAAATAAATAACAATTTAATTTAATATTTATAATATTTATAACTTTTCATGATAATTACTTGTCATTTTATTGTTGTAGTGTTGCCACAAAGGCATTCTCCAAACACGATCGCCAGTGAAAGTACCAGCAGTTTTCAATGCCTCCCAGTAAGTGGTATCAGTTGAGAAAACTCCAGTAGCCGCGGCTCCCAGAGCGACTCCCATAGCACCAGTGAGGGTAGCGATGTCCAGCGTAAGCTTTGGTTTGAATTCAGCAGCGTAGCAGAGTGCATCAGCCAGAATAAGTCGGCCCTCGGCATCAGTGTTGTCGACGATAATCGTCTTACCGTTCATCGCAATGACCAAGTCTCCGGGTTTGGTCGCCGAGCCGGACGGTAAATTTTCCGTCAGTGGAATCAATCCGACGATGTTTGCTTTTAATTTTAATTCCGCAGCTGCTTTTATTGAAGCTACTACACATGCGGCTCCTCCCATGTCCGCGCGCATTTCATCCATATTACCTGGGGACTGATTTTAAAGAATATTTTTTAATAATATAACTTTTTTTTTTATGAGAATTCATTTAAGTTAAAAAAAGCGCCATTCGGCCACTTTAAATTAAAACAAGTAGATTGTGAATAAGATAAAATTACCTTAAGACTGATACCACCAGCATCAAAAGTAACTCCTTTGCCAACTAAAGCAATGGGAGATTCGGTAACATCATTCGCTCCCTTATAATGGATCTCCAAAAACTTGGGCTCTTGAACGCTACCGCGAGACACGCTTAAAAATGATCCCATTTTTTTATCTTCAGCCCATTGCTTGTCATGAATAATAACCTGGACATTGATAAGCGAACGGAGGGTGCTGGCAACAGTGTCGCTGAAGATCGTTGGGGTCATTAAATTCGCAGGCGTGTCAGCTAACCGACGTGCCCAATTCTGAGCTTGTGCTTTTATTTTACCGACCTCCCAGCTGTCTCTGAATCATCAAAATAATTAAAATTAAAATGAGTTTTGTTGAATATATCAAAGGTGCATGTATACTTAGCATATTTCAGATTATCCTATTGTAATGTATTTTGGGTATATAATCCAAATTGGAATGCTCTATGAGTCAGTCTAAGGCAATAAGCCATCGAGTTAGCATTGCAACGCTCTCACCTGTATTGTACTTTATATATACTAATATTTTACTACTTCTTAATTATTGTTAAATAAACTTGTTATTTAATCTGATCTTAACGTGCCATTATTTATAATCCTTAACAAGTTTTATTATCAAACAATGTTTAATATTGATGAAAAAAAAATATAAATTTCAGAAAATACTTTTGAAGATAGTTTCACATTTTCCACTACAGTAATACGCACTTACCCTAGTTTCAGGATAAATTAGTTATAAATCAATTCTCTCTCGAACAATATAATTTAAAGTTTGCTATTTTAAGAATTTAAAATTTCAAGTAAGAAAAAAAAAAAAAAAAAAAAAAAAAAAAAAAAAAAAAAAAAAAAAAACTTACGCTTGATCAGAACCGTACAATGAAACATTGGGCAAAACTTTCTGCTTAGATTTGTTCTTGAACTCCTGAAAAATCCAGGAAGCGAGAAGCGAGCCTTCAGCAGCGGCCTCAGCATCTCCCATCGGCTCGACGTCAATTTCTTTAACGTCAACATTCTCAAGGGCACCGCATCCAGCTGATTATAAATTATAATTTTAAATATAAATATTTTCTATTGATTATCTATTTATCTATTATTAATAAATTAATTAATAAACTCTTGAACTATGTTAGTATACTATGAAAAAATAATAAAATTTACCAGCAACAGCCGTACGAATGTTTTCTTTAGCTTCATCAATCTCTTCCAACACGTTGATTCCGACATTTTTCTTGCCAAGTCCTACTACGGCAACGCAAGCGTGCTGTGCATTTTCAAGGCCCCAGAAAACGTGAGTTTTGCTCTTTTTTATTTTTGGTCCAGCACTGAAATTATTTCATCCTATTAATTTTATTCAATCCAATTAAATTAATTAATTAATCTAGAAACTTTAAAATCGGTCAAGTTCCGAAAGGAATAGAGTCCAAGGATCAAATTAATTATAAAATTAATTAGACATTAAAACGTATTTATTTTTATATTCTAGCATTAGGACACTGAATCAATCTTAAATTAATTAGATTCATTAAACATTTTTTTTTTTTCAAAATACATTCTAAAAATATACTATTTCTTTTCGTTCCATTCTCTTTCCTTTAAATTATTTTTACATAATATTTACTTCAATTTATGTAATTATAATTATAATTAATAATATTTCATTATTATTTATGTCCTTCACTTTAGTCACAACATCCGATTAGCATAAAAGTTTTCATAAAACCTGATGATGCATTAATAAACTCCATCTGTTCGTTAATTATTTAATTAATTTTTTATAATTAACAATTATAAATAAAACCTCTACTGATATTCGCATCTAATGAACAATTATTTCAAGTAACCCTAATTCTCTATTTAAAATTCGAGAGATTAAACAATGTAAAAAATAATTACTAATCACTAGTCTGGGTCAAAAAAACTAGTTCATTTTTATTTCCTCGAATCTCTAAATTTTTTTAAATAATATAAAAATTATAAAATTATAATTATTTAAAAATTTTTTTTGGACGAGTAAAAAATCACTTGAACAAATTTAGAAAATTCGAGGAAGTAATGAAAATTGTTTTTCCCACTCTTCACTAATTACAAAATTTAAACTTATAATTATTAACTTTAGTTTAAATTGGCACATTATTATTTAAATTTAAAAAATAGTTCGTTATTTTACATTTAATAAAAAGCCTGAGAACTGAATTAATATTCATTAAATAAAAAAAAATTACAATAAAAGATTATTGAAAACTTAATAATTAATTAATTAATTAATTTAAAAAAAAAAGAAAAAAAAAAAAAAAAAAAAAAAAATTAAAAAAAAAAAAAAAAAAAAAAAAAAAGCCTGAGATAAAAAATATAAAGCACTCCCTGAATATTAAAACATATCTTACTACGAGGCATGCGATAAATTAAACAAGCTCAAGAATTTTAATAATCCCTTGAGAATTAGCAGCTACAACGACGTTTGAGTTTTGCCTCCAGCAAACCGCGGAAACAAATTCATTAGACTCCTCTTCGCGTCTCTCCTGCATCTCGAGGACACTTCTCACCGGATCAAATTTGTAGGAGAACAATTGCTTGGTAAGTCCTTTATAGTAAACATAGAGCGCGTTGTTTTCAGATCCACATGCTACATAATCACCATCAGTAGCAAGCCCGACGAAATTCTTTTCATTGATGTGCCCAACGAAGGACCTCAAGCAGTGAGGATTATTGATGTTCCATACTTTAAGCTGTGAGTCCGTGCTAGCCGACACAATCTCTTCTTTGTTGATAAATTTAACATAAGAAACAGCTTTGCGGTGTCCTTTGAAGACACAGAGCGCCTCTTTGAGGTTCCTCAGGTCGTAATAATGCACACAGTGGTCAGCAGACCCAAAAGCCAGGTGACAAGAGCTCCTAGGGTTGAATTTAACGCAGCATACATTCGCCTTGGCCTCCAAAGAAGCTACCGAGTGATCAATATTAAGAGACCAGAGTTTAACGCGCGCGTCGTCAGACCCGGAGGCGATCAGCCGCGTGTCTACGTCATTAAAGTCCACGGACCAGCACCGCTTCTCGTGCTCCTGAAAGGCTTTTATTCTCTGACCAGTGGTCGCGTCCCAGACCGTCACTGTACCCTCGTAGTCCGACGAGGCCAGCATCCCCTTGTGGTAAGAGTTCCAAGAAACGCAGGAAATTTTCGAACTGGAGATCATTTCCACGCAAGGATAGTGAATGTCCACCGAGTCGCGGACTACAGACCCGAATTCGAATACTTTAATGCGCTTGGTTACGCCAGCAATGGCGAAAAATTCGTTGTCTTTGTCAAACTCAATGCTCGAGACTATCGTCGAGTTATTGAAGATGTCTGAGGAGTAATTGAGCGTCGCCAGGGGCCTCAATGCGCTGTACCGAGAGAATTTAATCAGATTCTCTCTGAAGATATCCAGCCCGGAGCTCATCCCGTGAACAGTGTCAATCGCAGTGAGCTTCTGAGAACCCAGCAGAAGGTCTTTAGCTCGAGCTTCGAAGTAGCAGGAGACAAAGTCGTCGAAATGAGCGTACATCCTCTTTCTCCTGGCAGCAAGAGTTGACACTGCTGAGGCGTACTGCTTCTCATCGGCGGTGACGTTCCCAGTCTCCGGCTTCACCATGTTAGAATCTATAATATCAAGCAAGTCAATCATTTCTTTGCGTATCGCAGACATTTGGGCAGTTTCATTCTCTCCAGCAGAGGATTTGATGTCCTCAACTCGAGGACACTTGCTTTGGACATCTCTTAAAATACTTTCGACCTCCAGCATGTCGTGCTGAATTAAAGCGACCTCCTTTTGCAGCTGGTTCCTCTGTTCTTCCTTTTGCTTGAGCAAGTGCTTGAGAAACTCGTGGAGCAGTTTGTTCTGGGCGGCACACGACTCGGCTTCCAGCAAGTGCTTTCGCTGCGTCAACACCTCCAACATGACATTTACGTCTGGCAAAGTTAGATTAGCACTTTCGGCAGCTACAAAGTCTCTGAGTCCGTCGCAAATTGGCAGCTCGCTTGCGCTACCGCGACGCTTGTCTCCGTGCAGGCATCCAACGTCTCCAAGGCCGCGAACTTTGGTCTTGTACTTTGAGATCAACTCGTTGAGAAGAAAGTTCGGGAATATGTCTTGCTGCGTGAGCGTGAAGCTGCATTTCGGGCAACGCCCAATTGTCTCGAGGGTTTTTCCGATGCACTTGTAGCAGAAAGTATGGCCACACCGCGTTATGTGGGCCTCCTCGATAACTTCGAAGCATATTGGACACAAGTAGTCGTTGTTTTTATCTTCTATTGAGCCGCCAATACCATGCAAGACATTCGCTGTCGCTGATTGCCGCTTGTTCGTTGCTGTCGGTGTTCCGCTGCCCCCAGCACCCGGTGCAGCCATAATTGCTTTTATCTTTAATTTATTATCTTACAATTTATTATTTATTATTTGTATTATGTATTAATCGATCAATGACCCGGGGTCTTATTTACTCTTACTCTTTACTGTTAATCTTGATTCGTGTTATCTTAGCACCCTAGCCTCTCCTGAAACAATCAAAATGATGCCAGTGAGCTCAATTTTTATTATTTGAATAGAAGTAATATTAAAATAATTATAAATAATTGTAAATATATGTATGAGTATTTTTAAAAAATAAAATAATTTATTTGACTGATTAATTAAATTAAATAAATAAAATTATGTCAGATGATAAGCTCAGGCAGCATTGGAATAATTGTTTCAGGAATATTTATTTATATTTTATATACTAATATTATTAATTTTTTTTTTAAATTAAATTTCTTTGCATATTTATTAGAGGTTAAAATAAACAAAGAAATTACTTATTGTAAATAATTCGTTTTTTTTTTTTCATTTTACAATTACAAATGCTATTGTATCGTATTACGTCGCTTTATCAGCAATATTATCGTACTATTATTATTGTTCGCATGATTCATGAGTAATGAAAATAAAATAAATGAACGTGATTGAAATTAAGAAAATACGATAAAATAAATTCAAGAATTTTTTTATGTAGTTAAAAAATAACATTATTATATATTATTTTTTGTTATTATTAATTTACACTTTTATTTATACTTACAGGTTTATGTTTGTAACCAATTTACCGTTGACGAGTTCATTATATTTAGCAGCTGCTGGAGTTAGGACAACGTCACTACCATTATCTCCTTCGTAAACTCCCAGTAATAATCCTCTCTATTAATCAAAATAATAATAATTAGTTAAATAAAATAAAATATAATTAATTTAAATGATTGATTGATTGATTGATTGATGAATAGACGACGGAAAATGGAATAGAACTAAGACGGAAATATATAATAATGTTTGGCAAATTCTAATTTTGGAGTTGCTTTGTGAATAATACATGAAATCAATTGAAGAGAAATGCGGCGAGGCTAGTTAGATAGAATTTAGGGCAGGTTGGAAACTGGAGCGAGAGGAATTTTAGAGTAGATAGTAGACAGTTGATATTATAGCAGTGAACGGATACTGGATTGTGGAAAATCTAGTGATTGGAAAATGAAGGAGATGAGGTGAAATCATGATTAAGGAAAATTTTATGGCTTGAGTATTTTTTTATATTTGATGAGAAAAATCAGCAGATTGCGTGGAAAATTTTTTTAGGAGGTGAGGGTGATAGCGACGAAGATGATGTACGAGGCTTACCTTCATTTTGGAACAGCTGCTGTAATAACGATGAGATAAAGTCACTAGCTGATGAACTGTCTTCCTCGAGCTGATCAGAAACAATGCCATGATTTCAGCATTACGAGTTGAGAGTGAGAGAGAGGAAACGAGAACACACAAGAGAGAGATTGGGGACGCGTGCGTAGTTATTATGGAGAAAATTTTACTTTTTCCATTTTCCGTTGGCAGCGCTGTGTGTTATGGGGGAGACTGGCTCGTTGTATTATGAATTTTATAATTAAATTTTATCACAATAACTTTTTTGTTAATAAAAATTTATTTTTTTTTTTCTTTGATAATAACCAAATATGACATGTTATTTAAATATAAATAAAACTGTATAATTAATTGTATTATTTTTTTTAATATCAATCCTTGATAAGTTTTATTAAAAAAAAAAATATCAAGAGTAAGGTAAAAAAGCTCCAGGTGAAATTAACAGATATCTAAAAATTTTTATGATTTTATAACAATTAAATTATTTAAAAAAATTTTGTAAAAAAATTCCCCTTCCCATGGAGAAATTGAAAAAAAAATTTTAAGTGCAAATTTTCAAAAATATTTTTCCACCATAATTTATTTGTTATAAAAATTGTTACAAATATCGTCAGATATCTGCTGATTTCAGTATCATCTATTTATCAAAGATTAATTATTATGTGATAAGTTGTTATCACAAAAAACTTATATACTTAAATTATTCCTCTAAGAGGGATCTAATTAAACATATGTATATGTACATCGAGAATTATGCTAATAAATACATTTAATAATAAAATTTTACAAGTTAAATTGCAACATGGGATCTTCTTCAAGTCTCCGCTTCATCTGGAAAGCCTCCAATTCTTCAGCAGTAGGCTCCTTGACCTGGTACATGGAATTATACGGTCTTTTCCTCTCGTCGATTGTCATGAGCCTATCAACTTCCCTTTGATGTTCCTCTTCTTTTTTCAAAGCACGTTTGAGCTTCTTCTTGTGCTTTAGATTCTCCTTATGCCGCTTCCGCTTTTCTTTTTTAGCTGAACTCTTACGCTCACTCTTGGATGTATTTTCTAGCTTTTCCTCCTCGTCCTCCTCATCTTCAGACGATGATGACGAATCACTGGAACTCGATTCATCCTTTTGTTTTTTACTCTTCTTCTTTGGTTCTTCTTTCTCGTCAACTTCCCCGGATCTCGACGGAGCAGTCACATTCTGAGCTGCTTCAGCAGCAGCAGCAATTCCAGCTTCACCAGTGCAATAAGAATTCTTAGAATAGGAATGACAGCATTTGTATCCCCACTGTCCTTTAGACCACCAGGAGCCCCAGACCGACGTATGGTTATGCATAAAGACATCTTCTTCGTACCTCGAGCGAATAATCTGTTTCTCTTGACCTTTTATAACTTTTCCACTCCGGGAATATTCAACGTAGTGTTCGGATTGTGCTGACACCAGGTCGAGATCTGGCTGCTTCAGATGTTCCTCGCCTCCGTAACGCTCGATAATACTAGACTTAACTTCATTCTTCAGCTCGTCACGCTTTTTGTCATACTCCTGCTTCAATAATTCCAACTTGGTGGGCTCAGCAAGCAAATGAACATCAACACCCTTCTCATAGGCATCCCAAGCAAACAGCTGAGCGTTTGCATGCTTGGAGGTGTCACCAGTGAACCTTACAAAGTTCTCTCCTTGATAATCCACCTCGGCACTCTTTCCATCATAAGGGTTGTCTCTCATAGAACGCGTCTTAGGATCATAGTAAGCCGAGTTTGGATCCAAATTACGCAAATACTTGGCAGTGTCTTCACGGATTCGCAAATTACGGACAGTAATACGTTGCTTGGAGTCAACTTTAGTCCCAGGCATGTCAACTTCGTCGACGTATTTGTCCTCATCTTTGTCGGAGTCCTGGCCACCGTCGTCTTCTCCAGTGTTCAGCTTCTCAGCACGTATCTCTCTCTTGGCATCCTCAATCTTCTGGTATTCCTCGACGATAGCGCGATGCTCTGCAGGATCGTAACCTGCCCATCGGTCGCGCTTTCCATCATAGTCCGTTGACAAGCTCGGTTGCGCAAAACTGTTGGGTGCTATGTTTTTGTTATTCCAGCGCGCACCTACTTTCCGAGGTCTGTCGAAGCAGTCTTTCTTTATGTGGTCTTCAGCGCCACAGTTCTCACAGGAACCGGGTTTCCATTTTTTAGCGACCTTTGACGTATCAACACCACGACGATACCAGTCGTCTATGCCACTCAGAGTCTTTTGCTTCTCTGGCTGGGGCCGCTGGTGCTTCAAAGTAGGACCAGTCGCTCCAAAGTACCATGGTGTTGCGCTAATATACTGAGGAATATGTGGATTGATGTCTTTACCCTCTTCATCAACAGCTGCTGGTGCTGTACCAGCTTTTCGAGCTTCTTCGAGCTCCTTGGCTTTTCTCCAGTCCTCACGGCTCTTCTTTTTAGGGACCAGCTCCTCTTCTTCCTTCTCCACTATGTTCTTTAATGATGGGTTCTCCATTTTGTTTTATACTGTTGAAAATAAATGAAAATTAATTTAGCAGATATTTTATAATTTTAAGAATTTTTTTTTACAAATAAATTATGCCAAAAAAAATGAGAGAAAAAAAATTGACATTTAGAAAATTATAAAAATAAAAAATCCAATTTTTTGGAGCAAATTTATTGATTAAAAACTTTTCAAGCGACTGCTAACTTTAATGTCATTGAAAATAAAATTAATTCAATTTTTAACAATAAATATGCTGACTTGTAATTTTAAAATATTGAAAATTAACAAGTAACAGATTATTTTAATAAATAAATCACATATGGTTGAATAAAAATATTAAAAATTACTTTTTATTAATATTCAATGTGTAGATTGAACAAATAAATTTTATTTTATATATAAATAAAATTTTTCAAACTAAATTTCTTTTATATTCAATAACCAATTTACTTTTAATAATTATTTAAAATTACTTACTTGTATGATTAAACACTTGAATTTATATTTTAATAAATATACAAAATTATTGATTCCAACAAAACGTTCAACGACAAATGTTATTATTTACTACTTGACTAATGACTATATAATGACTACTTCAGAAATTTAGGTTAGATCGCCATTTTGAGGTCCCGAGTGCGCGCGCACTCTTCTATAAATTTAGCGGTAAATTTAAATTATCAACAAAGTAGAAGAAATAAAGAAAGAAGCTAATAATAATAATATAAGCCTAATAAGTTTTATCGATTCTAATAATTATTAAAATAATTAAACAAAACATCACATTAAATAAAATACTGAGTATGATTAAATATCTTGTTGATTTAAATAAATCTTTCAGATTATTTTATATAATTTATTTATTGACTCGAACGCGCAAGCGCAGCAAACAAGTCCCATCGGCCGGGCCCATTAGCGAGTGAGTGGTGGTAGAGTAGTAAAAGTATTAGTAGAAAGTAATAGTATTAGTTGTTATTGGTACCCAAGAAGTGAACCAAGAAGTATAAAGCCCGGAGCGATCCCCTCTACCTTCATCATATACATCATCCTGATCGGGTCAAATCGTAGCTTGGAGATCGGCTCAGCCCGATAAGTGACCCAACCAGCAGCAGCGGACAGTGGACCCAACCACCAACCACCAACACACACACACACACACACACACACCACTTACCACTTATTATGATTATACTCAGTACAGTTCAGTATTGAGGTATCGAGTGAACAAAACGATTAGTGTGGATTAGTGTGAGAGTGAGATACCACATCATAATCTAGAACAATAATAATATTGAAATGTTTAGATAATTGGGGACTGCGTTATCAGTAGGCCCTTATAATTATAATTATCAATAATAACACACACCATCTGAGCATATTGTTGTCTTGCAATTATAATCCTCGAGTACCCACAACTATACTCTGGAATATTACTGTACCATATTAATGTAACCATCCACCATACCAAAGAATTTAAAGACTCGCATTCCAGATCCAGCTGCGAGGTATTTGGAATGCAAGATCAAGATGGTGGTAGCTATAAAACTTATATCCGATTATGTCATAAATTGCTGATCATTCCCGTCACTGTAATCCAGGTAAGCTAGAAAAAATAATAAATGAATATTTATTTTACTAATTAAAAATTGAATCATTTTTTCTGAGATACTTACAATGAATAAAAATTAATGGTAATAAATAAAATATTGTCAATGTAGGTCGGAGAATGGAATGGATAACTCTTGCCCTTTACTATTTAACTCGTTCGGAGACTCAATCACCGACCGGACAATCAATCACCAGCTACAAAAACTGTCTCTTTATTCTCCAGCGTCAGATTCCATTGACTTGGGATACCATACGCTTGACAACAATCCATGCAGGTCCTCTTCCTCTCCCACTGTTATCACCAATGTTAATCCTCGACATCATTACCAGCACCATCACCAGCATCAGCACCAGCATCAGCATCAGCATCAGCATCAGCATCAACATCAGCACCAGCATCAGCAGATTTATAAGCGCATCGCAAATCCGAACCTCTGCCAGCTAGATGACACAATCCTCTTGAAGATATTCAGCTGGCTGAGCACCAGGGAAAGATGTACACTAGCTCAGACCTGTCGACGGCTCTGGGAAATCGCGTGGCATCCGTCACTCTGGAAGGAGGTAGAGATACGGTATCCTCAGAATGCGACCACTGCGCTGAGGTCTATCGCAAGACGCGGCTGCCACTCATGTATAAGACGGCTGGTAGTTGAAGGCGCTACCGGGTTCTCTGGGCTGTTCTCCATGCTGCCGTTTGCCAGCTTGACGTCTTTGGTGCTCCGTCACTCTCGGCGGGTAACTGATCCGAATGTCACTACTATTTTGGACAACTGCGTTCATTTGAAAGAGCTAGGTCAGTGGAAATTTATTTTATATTTATTGCAATTAGCTAACTGCAGTCATTTATTTCAAAAATTCCCTCCATCTTTAGAAGCTCTAAAAAATTATAAATGCAATTTTTTAAAAATAATTTTCTAAACATAAGGTAAAAGACCCCATTAGTGGCACTTTTTCTTTCAATGAAAAAATGTTGTACTTTTGGAATAAAAATTAAAAATTTTTTTGATCTAAAGGTCTTAAAGATTAGAAATAATATATTTATAATAAAAATTAATGATTTCATTAATTGAATAAGTACCAAAATCAAATAAAGTATAATCAGTAATGGGATCCCCGCAACTAATGGGGTCTTTTACCCTAGTTTATTTTTAAAGAAAAATCAAAAAATTGTCAAGTGTCTTCTAAAATTATTCAAAATTCTTCCAAAAATTGATTATCACCAAAAAATATATAAAATTGTGAAAAAACTCAAATTTACCTCAAGAGTCTGATGATACAAAATTTCACCATAAAAATTCCAATAAAATTTTGATTATTTAGATGATAAGTTTACTATCATCGGAAAAAACATCAAACTTTTAAAAAGTACATAACTACAAGTTACGGCCTTTTTGATAATATCAAATTTAACTAAAGAAATCCAAAAAAAATTTTCCTGATTCTCTTAATTATATGGATTAATATTTGATATTTAACAATATTATTTATATGCACAAAAAAAAATAAATAAATGAAAAATTATATCTATCTTCAAATTTGAATCTATTTAGAATATAACTCCGAAAATTTATTATAATAAATTAACTATCTTAAAAAACCACTTGAAACCTTTAAAAGTTACAAATTTTGATCAAGATTTTTCTGATACAAAATTAAAAAAAAAAAAAAAACCTGCTATTTTATCATATAAATACGTCAAAGAAAAATTCTCTTTATAATTATTGTGTTAACTATATATACAGATAACTTATAAATAATAAAAAAAATTATTTTTTCTTGGCAGATCTTACTGGGTGTGTAAATGTCACTCGCGCGTACTCACACGTCGGCTCGACGCAGCTGGAATCGCTGGATCTGAGCGACTGTCACGGCGTCGATGACTCGGGACTGGTGTTGACCCTGTCACAGATGTCCCAGTTGACGTTTTTATACTTGAGACGTTGCATCCGGATCACGGACGCCAGCTTGATATCGATAGCGAGTTACTGCACCTGTCTGAGACAGCTCTCGGTGTCGGATTGCACCAGGATAACCGACTACGGAGTGAGAGAGCTCGCTGCCAGACTTGGTCCTTCTCTTCGGTACTTTTCTGTAGGTAAATGTGATCGTGTCTCCGATGCCGGACTCCTGGTGGTCGCCAGACACTGCTACAAATTAAGATACTTGAATGCACGAGGCTGTGAAGCGCTCAGCGATATCGCGACCTGCGCTCTGGCTCGCGGTTGTCCCAGGCTCCGCGCGCTAGATCTTGGAAAGTGTGATATCGGGGATCCGACCCTGGAGGCTCTCTCCACCGGGTGCCCGAATCTCAAGAAACTATCTCTCTGCGGCTGTGAGCGCGTGACTGATGCAGGCCTTGAAGCTCTCGCGTACTACGTCCGCGGACTGAGACAGCTTAATATTGGAGAGTGCACCAGAGTCACAAAGGTCGGGTACCGCGCTGTCAAAAGTTACTGCAGGAGGTGCGTGATAGAGCACACCAATCCCGGATTCTCCAGCTGATTTATTTGCCGCTTTGCTATGTTTCATTTTTTATTTATTAACAATTTATTATTTGGGATGTTTTCGGCTGTAAAATTTTTAATTGCCTGCCTTAGCGACGAAATATATTATATTATATTTATTTAGTTTAATTCTTTACTTTTTTATAAATATATATATATATATATATATATATATTTCAATAACATTATCTTGTAATTTTATTGACTTTTTTTTTCATTTTTATTATTTAATTAACATTAGCGCTTAAATAAATTTTATTGTAATTAAATATTTTGTATTTGTTTTATATGTTAATTATTTTAAAAAATAAATTAAATTTACATTACTTTTATTTGTTATAGGTATTCATAAAATGGATTAATTTATCAAATTTTTGTTTTTTATAAATTTTAAATTCGGTAATAAAATTAATTTTTTTTTTTTTTATAACAAATATATAAATTATAATTGTTGAGTTTGTATTTTTGATTGTCTGTATTATTTTTTTTTTTGTAACATAAAATATTCATAAATTTAAAAAGATTATTATTATTATTATTATTATTATTATTATTATTATTATTATTATTATGAACAATGACGAACATTTCTGAGGATGTGAAAAGTAATTATTGCATCAAGTATAAGTAAATTGAGCGCTGCGTAAGTACGCAAGCGTCTAGAAAGTCATTGGGCCACGTGGTGTTGATCAAAACATCAAAATAACCTCCACATCCACTACAAACATCTTCTAGACCATTCTTTACTTATAAAATAAAAATCAGAAAATCACTTTTGAATTTCAAGTGTTAAACCAATACTTCAGCTTACTTACCATACGTTAACCTGTAAATAAAAATTACGAACGTCAAGTGTCAGTAATATTTATTTATTATTTTAAAAAATAAACAAATTAAATGTTAAAGTGACAAATATTTACTAAGAAGGTTAAAAATGAGTCGCAACGTCAGAAGAAGACAACCAGGTCTAGAATATGGACTCTATTTGCTGGGAATGCAAGCTGTCAATTATGGTGTTGACAAAATTCCACCTGTTACACTTCTGGCGATCATTGGCCAGGTAAGTCATAATTTACATCATCCTGTTGCTTCTAAAATAATGATCCTGAAGTTATAACAGACATCTGTTAATTTTTTGATTTTTATAACAATTAAATATATATATTCACTTTTACTCGTATCAATTGGAAGAAGCGTCAGCTCGGATAAATGCTGATGCCCAAGCTGTCATGAATTGGGCCAGAGACAACGGATTAGAAATTAATCTTTTAAAAACAAAGGCTATGCTTCTAGGAACGAATAGTAGGGTAAAAGCATTGCAACGAGAAGGTTTACCTCCCATCATTATCGACGGAGTGGCTCTACCTTTTACTGAGTCTGCTAAGTGCCTCGGTCTCCATTTATCGTGTAATTTATCGTGGAATCTTCATATATCCAAGAGTATCAGTAAAATAAATTCATCATTGTATAGTTTAAAATTACGTAAGAATATTTATACTCCTAATATTAAAAAACTTTTAGTCTCAGCAACTATACTACCTCTAATTGATTATTGCTCGATAGTCTTAATGAATTCTACATTTGATAATGATCGCAAACTCCAACGCTCTCTAAACTCAGCAATACGCTTTATCTTCAGCTTGATGAACAACTATGAAAAAATTTTAATAATAAAATTCCACATCTAGAAATTAAAAAAAATTACAAGTGCAAACTTTTTAAAATTATTTTTTTTTTATAAAAATAAAAAAACTTGTCTTAAATTATAAATAAAAAATATTTTATTTATTGCACAGATAGCTTCTCAAATTTTCTACATGTAGAATTTTTTCTTATATTTTTTTTGTAATAATTTTTTCAGTAAGAAAAATTCTAAAAATGGTCAGATGTCTGCTAATTTCAGTATAATTCTAAAATAATATTTATGCATAAAAATTTAACTTCCAGGCGCTGTTATACACAGGATTGATTCAAGTACCCTGGAACTCTGAAGATGTCTGCATATCAGCTGTAAAAGTCTTGAAATACAAAGACTGGCGGTCATTTATAATCTCAAACTTTGAACACGGCTCGGACATGCATCTGTACTACAACATGGTCTCTTTGATATTCAAAGGATCTTACCTAGAGCCAATGTACTCGACAGCTAACTTCGGGATACTCTTGGGAGTCCTGTCACTGGGCTGCAGCGGAATGTACGTATTTGTTTCATGGCTGCTTATGCAAATCACCGCTGACTACTCGTATTATACAACCTGCGCTATTGGATTTTCGGCGGTACTCTTTGCGCTGAAAGTTATTGTCGTCTGCGAGGAGCGAGATCGCTTGCATGACGTAGGTGGCTTCAGAGTTCCCAGCAAGTATGCAGTGTGGGCCGAACTGGTGCTGATACACGTTCTGGTACCCAATGCTTCCTTCGTCGGTCATCTTGGCGGAATTCTTGTCGGCTGTATTTATTGTTACTCATTTGTCGGAGCGATTATTGACAGTAAAATCAATATGATCACCGGAAAGCCTATTATTCACGAGGAGGCCTTCTACAGGAGACGCTCTTCGCTGTTTTTTTGAAACGACTTATTTTCGAACAAGTTTTGATACTTAAATACTTTTTTAAGGCTGTTAAAAAATTTTTACTATATAAAAATGTATATTGTATTTAGATATTTACATACTCCATTATTTTTTAAATTACTTTGGTTATTTATGATTATTTATATAATACTTCCACTAATTCTTAGACTTTTTTTGTGTGAGATAAAAAGTTCTAGTCTCTTAAATAAATTTTTTTATTGATCAAGATTTATTTTTAATTAAATTACAAAATAAAATCATTTTCAAATAAATAGTGTTTGACATTGATTTTATTTAGGGTATAAAAAAAAGTTGATCAGTAAGATTAATTAAATTAATCTAAGAAAAGTAACAAACTTTTTTTTTTTATATAATATACCAAGCTAGAAGACTAGAACTTTGTATTAACAAAACGAAAAAAAAATTAAATAATAAATAATTTGATAAATTTATCAATATAAATTAATTTATTGACGGGAACCGTTGAATACGTTGTAATAAATTTTTTATAGTCTGATTAATATCACTATTATAAATTAAACGATACGGTATATCAAAATATGTACAATAAGCGCTAAATTTTCTTAGTGTGGTATCATTTTGCTTATCAATAGTCCCATTGATCCGATAACTTTCTATCAATGGTTTCACTTCTGTAACAAAAGAAAAAAACATAATTTATAAAAATATATTTACTCAAAAAACAGAACAAATAATTTATTTCAATTTAAAAGAACGTACCATCTTCCCAAGAATCAACAATTAAAGCCAGCCGTTGGTGAATAGCAAGAACACTTTCGATCCTCAGCAGCGGCTGAGTCTGCTGTTGCGCCTTCAGCATCGTGTAAGAAGAAAGTAATTTAATCTGCCAGACGAGTCCAGCATCTGGAGTCTTTTCAATTGCCTCGATGCTTTTATAAATATTTATCCAGAGCGGCATGAAGCTGATCTTATCTTTAATCACGCACTCATAAACAATAACTGCAAGCGTCTGCATAAAATGTTTCTCCTTCAGTCTAAAATCTTTGTAAATTCCCAAATTTAAAATAGAATCCTGTTCTCGAATTTTCACTATTGAAGTATCACTAAAATCCATTTTCTCAGCGGAGCAATCAAGCTCTTTCTTCGGACGTCTACGAACGCGTTTCTTCCTCGGGTTCGGTTCAGCCGTGGGCTGCAAGAAATACTTGACAATATTCAGCACAGTCTCGTCGTTGGTAAACGAGGTGATTAAATCCTGCTTCGTAGCCCAGGGGATAACATTTTCAGTAGTGAGAGTTTGAGCTACAAGACTGCGGAACCCATGAGGATCTTCAATATACGAAAGGCACCCAGTTTTCTGTTTTACATCCAGCGAGTCGCATTTATTCAGCATGCCTTCAAGTAGTTTCCAATTATGCCCGCGTTCAAAAATAATTTCCCAGTACCTTTCATCTTTCAGCTCAACTTTCTGAAGACTCTCCAGCTGAGGAAGCAGACACGGAGCCTTCAGGATAACTTCTTGGCCCCTGGTGAACTTGTCTGACTTAAAAGTAAGCTTTACGGTGGCGTAGCAGTACTGCTTATTGTCAATATCCCTCGGCAAAATAAGCCTAGGCTGGGCTGCAAGGACATACAGATGTCTGAGCGCCTGTAAGTGATACCTGTTGTCATTGCTGTGCGTCGGGAACTTTGGAAACAGCGAAATAATCAACGCAGCAACTGCATTCGGACTGTTAGAGAGTGTATAGCGACCTCCACCGAGGAAAGTGAGACCCAGAGCCATGTGAGTCGCCAAATGTGACCCATAAGTAACGACACTGCTTGCTGGTCCAACTCTCGTCCTAATTTGTCTGCAAATTCGCATTATGTCGAGGTTGCCGGTACCAGCCATCACCACAGCAGAAGAAAGAAGAGTCACGTTTAAGCAAGTTTCAATAGTTGATTTACCTGCCAGTTCGCCGATGGATTTATGAGACAAGGCCGTAAACATCTGGGTGTAATTAAATAGCGTCTTGAAAGCATTCTCATTGGCTGTCCCTGCAAATTTGAGTCCCAGAGCCATGCAGGCTCCAGCGATAATGTTGCAGTACGCTTGGTTCATAGTTTCCAGGTCAACGTGCTGGGTTATTTCCGGCGTGGGCTTCTGGAGTCGATACTTGTAAACAATATCAGGCACGTGGCTGGACACCCAGGCCTTGGTGGGCTCTATTTCGTCCCATAGGATCAATGAGTGGGCTAGGATCCGCAGCATCAGCAGATCTGGTCTCACAAAATCTAACAAATATTGAGTATCTGGAGCGCGCATCCACTCAGCGACTGCGCGGTTCTTTGAGTTGAAGTACATCAATCCGAGGGCTATTGTAGCTCCAGGACTGGTCACGTCTGTGTTGATAGAATCTCCCTCGCGGATCTGATAGCTAGGGGACTTGTATTTCTCTTTCTGGGCTCCTGTGAAAGGCCTTACATTACCACCGACCATGTAGTAGTGCAGAGTATCTGGAATGCTGCTTAAATCAGCTCCACCACCGCGTCCTAGGACCACCAGACCAAGCGCAAGTCCAGCTGCTAGTGAATAAGATTCTCGGTCGACGCAGTTCTTCATTTCTGGACCTGGTGGTCGACCTATTTCTGAAAGCAAAGCGTGAGAAATGTGCCGGTGGCCTGTTCCTTCGTAAACCAGCCCGACTCCCATCAATGCGGCGACGTGGACATTCTGCTGGACGTTTAGCTCAATGCTGGTGGGTGGTAAAAGTGTCTCCACATGAAGAGACAGTAGCTTGGTCATAGATACGTCCATTGTTCCACGGTGGGTTGCAGAGAGACCCAGAAGAAGTCCAACGTTGGTAGTTTCATGGCACTCGACCAAGTACTCATAAGTGCTGATAGGCGCCAGCTTTTTTAGGTGCCCGTTGAGCCCTAGCGCCATCAGGAAACCCGAGTGTTCAATTCCGCACTCGTTCTGCTGGTGTTTGTTGTAGACAATCCAGGTAGAATCTATGTCCAATGCATCGGGATGGATACGAAGGCCCGCAGCTACTCCATTGTGAAACAGCGGCCACAGGTTCATGTTCGGTGGAACGTCAATGTGGCACAGTTCTATTGTAGTCCCTCTCAGAGCTGTTTTACCCGTTAAACAGAGCCGGGGAATCGGTAGTTGTTCGGTTATTATCGGGGTAGAAGTTCTCAGGGTGAACATTCCTCTAGCAACAGGTAGCGCCATCGTCCGTGAACAGACTGCGCAGAGATACCGTTCCTGTTCCTCTATAAAGTCGTGATCAGTTACTTCAGGTCGCTGGGTTATCGAAATCCGAACTGGCTTTGAGGAATTTAACATGCGACGCAGTTCGGTAACTCGGTGATCTTTATTGAAACGTAATTTTAAAATAGTATCGTCGAAACTCATGCCGTCATCTTGCTCGGGGTCCCTGATCGGGCAGACTCCGGTTGTTTCGTCATCGGCTTTGTTAAAACTCGAGTGTTTTACCAAAGCAGCTAGGTCTTGACGATCCACCAGCTCGTACGCTTCCACTGGCCAGTTAGAAGGCGGACGCTCGCGACATCTGTACATTATGTCTTTCAGCAGAATTGAAATTCCTGGAGGTAAAATCTCGAGATCTTTCTTGGTTAATTCCATTTCATGGAACAGCAAAACTATACGATCAGCGTCTGGAGATTCTATTCGATTAAATTCTTTGTCTTTGTCCTTAACTGGATCTTGGTAATCAACTCTGCTGCCGGCTGGCGTCACTGTTTTTACCAACTGATCAAGATTTAGACTGTTAACCTTTGACTCTGCTGCCAGAAGCGCTATTAGCGAGATTATGGTCTTGGTACGCGGATTTACACGCGCTAAAATTGGATAAGGAGATACTTCAGAGCCCTTGAGAAGGCTGTTGAGAGTGCTGAAGATACTTGGAGGCTTCTCGGGAACATAGTTTGGTACAGATATCTTGGCCAGGTCTTGCTGAGTCATCTGCGACAATTCTTGCTTCGAACAGTGAGTAGGATAGTCGAGTAAGTAATGGTACGAGTACCAATTAAATTTCAAATCTCTGCTCAGGTGGTTCAGCAATTGTGCTAGCAACGGTCTGCTTTCCGCCATTACACAGTTGAGCTTCAGCTCCTCGTAAAGTAAATGAAGCGAAAAAAGAACCACCGGCATATGCGGAAACAAAACAGCCGAGCTGGTGATTCTTCCAACCTCAGGTTTCTTTTCAGCTTTTGTTTTACCAAGTTCTTCAGCACCCTCGTTGAATTTAACCAAGTGCAGAACATTTTCTAAGAAAAACTGACACTGTTTATGCTCACCAGAGTTCAAAATATACAACCAGTCTTCATCAGAGCCACAATCGCTAGTTTTAGCCTTCTTTGGGGCTGCTACCAGAGCAATGGGGCTGCTACCAGAGCAGTCATCATCATTTTTTCTTATCAACTGCAACTTGTCAACGTCATAACCCATAAGTGTCAGCAGAGTGACTATAAACAACTGCCATTCTTCTTCTATCGTAAAATCTTGAGGTCCAGGAGCATTTCTCGCTCCATACCACTTCACCAGCAACTGCATAGCCAGCTCCCGTTGCAAAACAGTCTTTAAAACCTGCAAGCACTCTCTAACTAACGGTGAGCTACTAAATTTAGGCAAAGTGATGCGATAAAATACTTTATTGCCATATTCAAGAGTTAGCTGATTACCAACTGCGTCTTTGAGCCCAACAAGCCCAGCATCCACGCTATCCAGCATCGGTGGTCGTACACAAGCTCCAACTGGACTCAAAGTATGCAGAGCTTCCTCAAATTTGACGTCCGCAGCGGTATTCTGTGATATCATTGAGCTTCTGCGGGGAAACGGCGAGCTGACACTTGTTCTGGGGGTCAAAAAGTAATTACAACCGATCGAGGGTGTGCTGGTGATGTGGACCTTTCCTATACAGGTCACTCCCGAGTAGAGAGTCACTCCATTGGAAGAATCAATTATCGCGATCATGTTCAGCGAGCTGAGACTCACCGCGTCTTTTGCAATGATGCTAGTAGACATCCCGAAGATTATCTGCTGCTGTTTGTTGGTCTTCTCCATCCTGACAATAAATAACTGAGTTTTTGAAGGGACCAGGTAGCCCAGGTAACTCTGCCCGACAAGGTCTGTCGTCAGGAAGACTTTGGAGGCCTTATCAGCAGCTCTGTCGACTTCTTTGAACGCAGCTTCTGTCCAGACGTGGTCTAGGCAAATTTCTGGGTAGAGTGGCTTGCTGGAGACCATCGGGGCCTCTGAAAGCATAAAACTATTGCAGCCGCTAGGGTTGTGCTGGGAGTGACACAGCATTGAGGCCATAACTGTCTGGTGGAGTCGATTCTGGTGCATCGACCCACCGGCTAACGGAGAAAATGTATGAGTCGGAGACTGGCAGCGCGATATCGTGGCCATGGGACTCTGAGACCTTGAATGGGCGCTCTGGTGAGCTTGAGCTGGTGATACTCCTCCAGAGCAAGATGTTGTGTAAGACGTTCCTCGAGATCCAAACGGACTGCTGGACATGCCCAGACCGCTCAACTGCGGGTTTGGAAGCCCAAACATGCTTACGGATTTAGGGTTGCTCTTGTTGCCGTGCAGAGGCGACGCGATGCTCATCATGCTGGCTGTCACGTCGTAAACTACCTGACGCTCTTCTACCGACGACTTTCTGATTTTGTAGACAGAGTGGAGGCCGGTCTTGGTGTCGTAAATCACCGCCAATGACGGTTCAGAGCTGGTGAAAATGATTTTTAGGTTAGTGTCACGCATGTAGCTAACTCCACCGTGCTTTATCAGCAGCGGACATATTTCATCAAGCGGGTGAGTTAGTGAATAAGCTGTTGGCAAACTTTCCTCGTTTATCGACGACTTAACTGAAGATTTTTCCATCAATATCCCAAACTTAGTGGGCCAGACTGCGGATACTTTGAACTGCAGACTAGTCATGTAGTCCTCACCGTCGGGAGTGAATACTCGGAGAGTGTGAGTGTCCAGCAGACAAATGCACTCAATAGTCTGGTCGTCTTTAACCTCGTCTTCATTTTTGTTTTTGTCTTTGTCGACTAAATTTGGGGTCGTGGTGCAAAACCTGCACCAAAGAGCGTGTTTTATGTCCGACTCGAGGCAAAATGACTTCTGGAGTACTCGGGTTGAGGGCGAGCCTTGGGTGTGCACTGCGACCTTACCTGAACAGTAGAGTTCTTCTTCGCCGCAGGTTTTGTTCTCGCGGACTATCCAGAATTCTTTCGGGGATTTTTCGGATATGTTTACCTGACTAAATTTTTGTAACAGAACGCTGTCCTGCGTCGGAGGAGATTGCGAGTTCAGGTGATGGATTACAGGACCAGGATGCCGCTGGTATGTCTGTCGTCCACCTGGTGTATATTCCTGGTTAAATTTTTAGTTGTAATTTTATTTTTTATTTTTAATTGTCAGTTTAAATTAAAATGATGGAGATTTGTAAATATTTACCAGTGGATCTGATGCGGCGATCATTATTTCCTCGGTTTCATCCAGATTTGCAGATATTTAAATAATAAATCTGTGGTAAAGTGTGGTTATAATTTTATCTTTATATTTTTTTTTTTTTTTTATAACTTGCGGTATTTTTAATAATCAGTATTTATATTCTTTATTTATTTGTTTATTTTTGGACAAGTTTTTAGGTTAAGTTACATTTTACCGACAGACTGAAAGCGGGAACTGTAGTTTTAAATTCTTCTTGTGTATTTATATACAGACAATTCAGCCGAAAATTACTCATCCAAAAAATTGGAAATTTTTATTAGATGGTCCACCTTTACAAGCATGAAATTTGAGTATTTTCCATACATGCTTGTACATTAAAATAAACTTAATTAAAAAAAATTTCTAATCTAAATATAAAATTATTTACATTTTTCGGCTAAATGAGTGTTCGTCCGTTGATTCATTTTCGTTGTTATGTTTTTTAATTTAATTGAGACTTTGTGACTTTAAAAGATTCTATATTAAAATAGATTTAGTTTTTTCTTTATTTAAGATTATAATTTTTGGAATTTTAAAATTTGTAAAATTAATCCTCTTTTTTTCTAATAAAAAGTTGATGACCGGATGTCGTTTTATTTTACTACGTCACTTCTGTGACTATTTTATTCAGTTGTTGATTGGTCAACTGAGATAGTGGCGGGATTTTTGAAAGAATGAAGGCGAGCGTGTTATATCTAGTTTAATAAAAGCTATAAATAATTAAAATTTAAAGGTAAAATAAAAAATATTCATATAAGTGGATAAAATATTTGTTTTTGTTGTTTATTTTTTTTTTTTTTTTTTACCAAAGCATACATATTTACAAATACTTTGCAAAAACGTCTACATTAATATTGTTTATTTAATAATTAATTATTTTTAACTGATAAATTTTGTGTAATAAAGCGTTTAAGTTTGTTTTTTCTTAGATTTTTTTTAATCCACAAAATATTAATTATGACACAAACAATAATTAGATTGAATTACTTAACTAATATGCGCAACAATTAAATATTAATACCATGAGTATAAAAAAATTAATATAAATTAATCTTGATAAACAAATGTTGAGTACAGACCAGAGTTCAGATTGAAACAATTACTGCTGATTTAATTTTAATTACAAATCATTTAAAAAAATAATAATAATTGAGTTTCAATCTATAGTTGTACGTTTACCATAAAAAAAATAAATAAATTAAAAAAAAAAAAAAAAAAAAAAAAAAAAAACGTACGTTGTGCCGAGCATTGTTATAAAAATGAAATTTCATCAGTTATTATTTTATAATGGCGATAATAAATGTTCAAAATGTCTTACGGTGTATCGCTCTTGCACCGTCTTCGTCATACTCGCGCTTGCTAACCCACATTTTTTTGAATGTGTCGAGAGAAGCTAGGATAGATCCACCGATCCATGTACTGTAGAGACGTTCTTGTGGTGCTGATATCTGGTTTGATAATTTTATTAATTAATAAATTTGTATAGCAGCTAATTAACAATAATTGTAATTATTTAATAATCTTACCCTTATTTTTATATCCTTTGGCGCCATTTTTCGAATTTCTGATAATAGTCTATCACCAAATCCCTAAAACAATCAATTAATTGTTACAGGTAAACTAAAATAATAAAATAAATAATCATAATAACAATGATGCACTTACTCTAAATAGTGTAGAACCTCCAGAAAGTACAATATTTTGGAATAAAACTTTCCGTAAATCTAAATCAGACTTTTGAATCGAATACATGAGGACTTCATGGAGACCTTCACATTCTTCACCAATTAAGTCGGGTCTAAATAATACTTCCGGCGCTCTAAATCTTGCTGGGCCGATCTGAAACAATAATATTAAATGTAAATTTCTGAAATGCATCAATTAAAAAAAAAGACTTTGTAAATTAAAAATAAATACTTCTAAAGAACTGCCATCAGGCAAACTGTACTGGAATTTTTCAGTTTCGACAGTTTCTTCTTTTTGTGGATTACTGGCCAAGTAGCAAGATTTCTCCTTGATCGTTCGTACAATCTCAAACTCAGCTGTCGTTTTAAAATTGACGCCCTCTTTGCGAAGGAGTAGCCTCAAGTATCTGGTGACGTCGCGACCGGCGATGTCTACCCTCATTATACTGTGTGGCATCGCGAAACCCTCGTAGATGGGAACTGCGTGGGTGACTCCGTCTCCTGCATCAAGCACCACTCCAGTAGTACGACCAGTCGCGTACAAACTCAAGACAGCCTGCATGGAGATGAACAACGCCGGAACGTTGAATGACTCAAAGAATATTTCAGCAGCCTTTTCGCGGTTTATGCGCGGGTTTAACGGTGCCTCGGTCAGTAAAACTGGATGTTCTTCAACGAATGTTGATAGTTGGTCTTTGCTGTATACGTAGGACCAGATTCTTTCCATGTCGTTCCAATCTGTCACTATTCCGTGCTCCATTGGGTAGCGCAGAGACAGCAGACCACGGTGTTCTTCGGCTATCGGTCCTACAAATAAATCTCCTTCCAGAGCTCCGGCCATCACCCGAACGTGTTTTGGCCTTCCGATACTGAAATTTATATTATCATTACAATTTCAAAATTTTTAACGTATCTATTTTTGGAAGAATAACATGAAATTTATGACACAAAAGTCAGCCGACACTTGAACATTTTTGGTTTTTTTTTTTTTTTAACAAATAAATAAATTAAAAAAATTATTTTTAGAAATCAAATTTACCATTTTTTAGAACTTCTAAAAGTGAAATTTTTTAAATAAATTTTTTTTGCCTTCATTTATTTGTTAAAAAAATTTTTTACCGAGTTAATAATTAGAAAACAATTTTATTTTGTACAGAAATTTATTTAAAGATAATTTAATTGTTTAAAAAATATAATAAAAAAATTGTTAGGTTTCTGATACTTTGTGTAATTAGAATTAACCTATCAAGTAATAAAAAATAAATTATCAACTTACTAATTTGGAAAACGACATTTAGGTATTTGGTCACCAGCAAAACCAGCTTTTATAACTCCAGAACCCTAAAAAAAAAAAATAATTACAATAAATAACCAATAATAAATAATTATTAGTTGTATTGATTTAATTGTCTTGACACCAAAACTGTCAAACAGACGTTTTAGGAATCTAATCGGAGTGTAACGGTATCTTTGGCCAGCAGGTGCTGAAATTCAGTGATCATAAATTTATGTAATGATTTTAAAATATTTTTATTGGTATTTATCACTTGGCAACAATATGGCCTGGCGTTTGACACTTCGGGTAGACAATAACCGTGCGATTTATTAGGTTACGATGGCAAATTACTTACGTTATCGATGACGACGGGTTGGTTAACTATTACGTCGTACGGTTCCATTGTATAAACTGTTTTTTATTTTATTGGTAGAAGCTTTTTAATAATAATTACTTGTTATTTTATGCGGTATTTAAACAATTTAATCTACTGATCTACACCTATTGCTAGGTGAATAATCCAAGTACTTGAAGGTGTCGTGAATGGAAGATTAAAGTGCAGCTTACCAAGTTACCAACGCTCAAAACTTTCCCGCGCTACCAACATTCATATTTAAATTTTTTCACATTTATTCTTAAATTTTAATTTTAATTATTATTAGTATTTATTTGCCCAACAAAATAGGGGTATAAATAGCGGATCCCCGTTCCGCTTACAATATTTACAACTGAAACCTAAAAGTGCTGTACAAAAACGGCCTTAAAACTATTTTCCAAACTTATCATCTAAAAAAATTTGAATTTTCATTTAAGGGATCATTTTGGTTTGTGACTTTTGAAAAAATTATTTTTTTTTTTTTTTTTTTTACATTTTTCGAAAGTACATATATCTAAAAGTATTGTGTTGAAACTTCTAAGTGATCGGACCACTGTAACTATATTATTTTACGAAGTTTATGTAGATTTTCAAGTGGAAAAAAATCAAATTTTCAAACTAGCTGAAGAGATTTTGAAATTAAGGTAAGATTTCATTTTTTTTTTTATTAAAAAAAAACTTTAAACTTGTTTATTTCAGAACTATACTGTTCTGGTTAACGTACAGGATACTTCCGAAACCACTGACCCGATCATAATGAAATTTAAACCACATATTCTACATATAGTAGTAGCTATGGCACGAACTACAACCAAATCAACATTTTGATTTTTACTATTTTTTTAGGACTAAAAACTGGGGAAAAAAAAGCCACATTTTTAAGATTTTTTGTTTTAATCTTAGTCATTTTGTTTTTTATCAATAAATATTAATCTCCGTAGTTCCTACCATAGCTACATGTATATTGAAAGTATATAATTTTGATTCATAACGAGTTCAACATGAATTATATGATAAAATAATGTAACTCCCCGACAATTGACCGTTTTTAATGTTACTGAAGTTGAAAGATATCTGATAAAGTCAAAACAGGTTTAAAAATTAAGAAAAAAAAACTGATTTTATCGACCGGACGTGTCATAAAACACCAAATGTTACTCTGTATACATTTTTTCATGAAGTAAAGTCTAAAATGGCCTGTTTAAATTATTTTCCACTTGCTTCAATTCTTAGAAGTTCAAAAAAATCGAAAAAGTTTAAAAAATATTTTTTTTCTTTCTTTATTCAAAATGTCGAAGTTAAAAAATTAGTCTGAAAAGTTTCCAATTTTACAAAAATAATCCTTTTACAACTTTCATTTCTAAAATAATTCCATATCTGATAAAAATAAAAATAAAAAAAACAGCAAAAAAGAACTCATCTAAACGTTTATTTTCTCCAAAAGATGGTTTCTATCCCTAATAACGCGCACAGATGTATAGGTACTTATCCAGGGGAATCGCCAATTCTACTTTCAGTAACTTTTTATCATTTCTCCTTTCAACTTTTATTATTCCTACTTTCTACTTTTTACCGCTTAGACTTATACTTTCTAAACGCAACCACCAAACGTATGATATTATTGTATTTTTCGAGCGTTATTCTCATTATATTAAGATTCCGCCGAAGAGGGAAAAGATAAATAAAATAATTCAAAATTTATCTTCTTTATTCATGTATTTCAACCCAAATCAACGTCGATTTGATACACGCATATTTACGTGACGTGAAAATCCAAACTCAAAGGAGATAAGACTTTGTTGCCGATCCGGTTTAGGCTCCAAAATGATGACCCCATTAATCAACTTTAACTCGTAATATCAGTCTGTTCTACTCGAGAGTAGTAATCATTTTTCTTCTCGACCCTTGAAGCTACAAAATTAAACAATTTAAGTAAAAGTGAAAGTGATCTTATCATCAGGTTATCTATCTAAAATTGACGGGTTTATTTATATTATCAAATTGACTTGTGTTAATAGAAATTTCTAGTCAATTTACATCAATAGATCAATTAAATGGCACCTTTATAATTACATTGTCGCTAAAACTGAACACAATTCGGTTATTCGGCTATAAATTTTATCAGAAACTCTATTGAGTATCGTGAAGACTCGTGACAGTTTTATCAGTACAATTATTTTGTAACAGTAGTTTAATTATTAATATTCTAACTAATTTTTACTGTATCATAATGAAGAAGGTTCAAAAGTAATTAATTATATTAATCTCAAATTTTATTTTCAGAATTTTATGTTATATTACATGTATATTCAATTTTTAGGAAAAATTTTTTTATGACTGGGTTTTTTAATATAATTTTAGAATTATTTAAAAATTTCATTTAAAAAAATAGATATATCAGAAGATTTAATATTAATTTTTATAGTTTTCGTGCTATAAGAGAAGTTCATTTACTATCTATATTGTAACTAGTTAGCTAAGTTTACATAGAATATAATCTAATTCATAAAAATTAAGAGATAACACGAAAATAATTGTCTAAATAAACGTATGGATTACTAAGTATAGGATAAATTGTAGAGTGTAGAACCTAAATAAAAAGACCGATCGTTAGCAACTAGAACGAAATTCCGGAGATTGCTCGTGTACTATTAGGCATGTCAAACATCTCTACAAGTATGTTTTATTGAGAATTAAAAATAAATTCCGTCTTATACACTACGAAAAATTCGTACATTGCATGCCAAAAATTCACAATAAATTTTTGGCAATGTTTAGTTGAGAATATTTTTCAGCAAAATGTATTATTATCATTATTTTTGTTTATTTAAGCTGAAGATGATAAAAAATTTATGGAAAAAACTTTACTTAGTGCAATGCTTACATAAGCTTCGTAATTGCCGCTATGGGGATTTTTAGATTATTATTATTAAATATAAAAAAACTATTTTCAATTATTTATTTATTTGGTTCTTTATTTATTAACAGTTATTTATTATTGTAATAAATTAAGGGACTTTCTGAGACTTTAAGAACAAAAACTACAATAAAAAGAGCGTAAAAGAAAAATTAGAATGAAAAATAAAGTAAAAAATGTACGGTAGGCGAAAAGAATAATATCGAGTCTCTTGACACGGAAAAATTTTCTTACACTGCGTATACGCAGTTGTTTAAATCTACGTGGGAAGATATCAAGTCCCCGAGTAATCTTGTCAGCTAATAAAAGTAAATTTATAATATACATCACCCAGAAATGCGACAAAAGATATCATTCGCATATATTAGTATGATTAAACAGTTTTTTCTACGGAAACTAGTCACTGATCTGACGCTGTAATTGGATTTCTCTCTCAAAACTCAATGCAAATATTCACCAGTAAGTGAAAAGCTGCCAGCGAAAAAACTATTCCTCTAATTAACAAAACGTAATAAAAGTTATTTTTTAGATTATCCAGATGATATTGGTTAATACTTTCTTGGTATAAAAATATTTGTTCCAATCAATAACTAAGTTTTTTAATTAGAAACTGTCAGTCGCCGATTGATTAATTGATGGATGAATAACAACGATAAAAAAATTGAACAAAGTTATTGGATCGAAAACTTAAAATTAAAGTTCCAATATTGACGATTAAAAAGTTGAAAAATTTGTAGCATCAGAGAAGGAAGCGTGAATGTTATTGCAGTAGAGCAAACTATGAATCGTCGGACGTAATCGCGTGTTGACAGTGATCTAGAGCTCTAGGATAGAGGCTGGATAAATAAAAGGTTAATACTGTTGTTTGCGCTTATTGTTTATTTTACAATTTTTTTTTTTAATTATTAATTAATTAAATCTTTTTTTTTTTAATAAAAATAAAATTTTTATTTTTAACAAATTACATTCATTTTAAAGTACAAAAAATTTTAATGAAACTTTTAGAGAAGAATTTGTTTTTCATACCAAAATTGTATTAAACATTTTTTTTTAATTGAATTTATATTTCACTAAAAAATTATCATGTGGGATAAAAAAATAAATTAAGCAACTTTTGATATCAAAAAAATATTTTTCTTGAAAATTTATTAAATTATTTTTTTTTAATTTCAATTTATCACGTCAAAAATTTATCATACTTTGGATTAAAAAAAAATTAATTTTTCCAAAAATTGTTACTATACCTTCAAGGTTGTCAAAAGTTGCTTAATTTATTTTTCATGTCCAAGTAAAATCAATACTCGTTTAAAATTGATCTAAAATATTTTTATAATCAACTTCTCTAAAACGATCCAAAGTTTTCTTCTCAAATATCCTTAAAATAGATCACGAATATCGAACTATTCCCAAAGTTATTTACCTAGCACGCGAACTTTTGGTCATTGGTTCTAAAGATCATAAGAATAACTCGAAGATTAAAGCATCGAGCTTTAACAACAAACCAACTATTTTACGCTTACTCCACTAAGAACTTAAGTATCAACTTTTAAACCAGAAAAACTTTCAGGCTTAAAATAATTAAAAACAAATTTATTTCTTCTTTTACCTGATCCATTATCGTTATAAAACCGTCTTCTTCCCCACAATATAAATTATCTATTCTACGAAAAGAATTATCTCGTGATTACTTGAAGAATAAAAAAAAATGGCCTTAAATTTCCCACCATCTGATTTACGTTCAACTTTTTTATCGCAAGTAAAATTAAACGTGCATAAATTACACCTTAAATTTTATTATTATTGTTCCGAGCTCGTTATTTATAAATAATGAAATATTATTGAAAAGTACTTTAATTTACAAGGGCGCGACATTGTTGTAAAAAATTGCAATTTTTATTGGAATTAACGGAGAAGACAATAAAAAAGTTTTACATTTTCAAGTAAAAAAAATTAGACAAATATTTTTAATAAACAACATCATTTATTTTTATTATAAATTTAATAATTAAATGATTTATTTACATATATTAATATTAATAACATTTTTATATTTTATCACACAAATATAATATAGTAATTGTTTTGACAATAAATAATTTCAACGTTTTTATTAAATTTTTTAAAAATATACAATTTAATTAATAGAAGTTTTACGAGAATAAATTTAATTTATTAACGAGTATGTTTATGAAATAAAACTATGTACACTTTTATATAATTATATGAATAAAAACATGGAGCAGTGGCGAGGAAGTACGTCCATTGCAATAACTTGGAGTTTCAATTGACGTGAAAAGTTGAAGATGAAAGTTACAGTTTTATTTTTTGCGTTGGAAGAATATAGGACAGGAAAGTTGAGGGAAAATTCGAGGTAGAGAAAGTTGGAACTTAAATTTAAAAAAAATACGAGCGAGGGTTCGCCGTCAGAGCATATTCGACCACTCAGATATTAGTGGTGCCTGGGTGTAAATGGTTCTTGTCACATATTGACCGTGAATTCATTCTTAATGTCTGGACATGGCTCTCAGCGGTGCTGTGTCGCCAACGTATCGACATTGATTTGAATCGACCTAGAAGCAGATGAGGTTCACTCAGTTTGTTGTTTATTGTTCGGTTCATTATTGGAAACTCTGGTTAGGATACTTTTGTGAAAAGTTAAGACAATTAATCTATAAATTCGGATTATTGGTTTGTCACTTTTAGGGATTATTAATTTTAAGCTTATGGATTAGAGAATAATTGAAAGGATATTTTTTTAATTTGAAAAAAGTGCGGTGGTCATTTTATATTTGATGAATTTTTTTTTCAGAAAGTAAAAAAAATAAATATTGGACATATCATTAAAATATATAAATTAGTTGCTGATTTCCGCTCACTTTCTATTATTAATAAAAAGTTGAGAAGAAAAAAGAATTTTTCTTCATCTGCAGACGCTATTTGTAAATCCAGTTTACTATTGAAAGGTTAAAAATAACAACATAAAAGTTTCATGTAATCTAGAGTCCGTATTTGACGTATAAAAAAAAAAAAAACATGAAATTCGGCTTATATTTTTTTCTATACTTGTGTAATAAAATTAAAATGATTTATTTTTTCTTTAATTCAATTTCTTTACAAGAAAAAATTGCATATTAATTTATTTAGATTAACTAAAAAATGAATATCCTGTTAAAAACAACAATCTGAACTTTGTTCATGCTTGAAAAAAAATTTTCCGTCGTAAATGCATAAATATTAAGATATTGAGTAGAGGTTCCGCTGGTGAAGCGCCAAGAAGTTCAACTGGCATAGAATATAAAACCGCAAAAAACAAATCTTAGTTCAGGGCTACTCAGAACTGACGCAATGTAAATGTATACGTAAGTGTACGTGTAGAGGAAAGGATCTGTTCTCAAATGCAAATTACCCTCAATCTATGTACACTCTACGTATAATTTTCCCAATGCATGGTAACTATTTCCACATACTCACGCGTATTTGATTCTCAATGGCCACCTATTGCTCTAACATTTATATTACATATATGTATATGCATATCTATATATCTCTATAGATTCTCTTTGTGTTTGAGTTTGCTAGTCTAGATTTCGTGGACTATTAGATGTTATCGAATAGCAAACACAGTAATTTAATGTCAGGTGTTTGTTATCCAAATTTTAACAAACCAACTGTTAACAAGACAAACGGACTGATAAAAAAATTAACTTGATTAAAAGTATTATATTACTTACCTAGGGTTAAAATTATTCTCTGGGCTAAGAATTTTCCTTCTTGGATCAATTTAATTTCTTTATCAGTCGTTAAATTTACGTCTTTTACATATCTATATGCTTGATATTTTTGCTCAACACACCAAGAACTTTTGAGTTATATTTTAAAAGACATTATGGCTCTGAATTTTGCGGGGTAACACTCGGCTTGACGGAAATTATTATAAAATATGCATATTCTGTAACTATAAGGTATCAATTAAGAAACTAAAGTTTATGCCGTTAAAGTTTCAAGAGAAAAATTACTCGAGTATATTTTATACGAGACAAGTTTTTTTATTATTAATTTTCTTTTTTACTATTCAATAAATTGATTTTTCTAAATATTTATTATTGAATACATAATTTTGTAGGTCGGTAACTTATTGCCGTTTTCATCCGTTAGCCCAAGGTTAGCATATTAGCGTAGTGAGAAAAAGTAAGTCGGGTATCTGGAGATTTAATGTTAAATCTTTTATTTATTCCGTATAATTAAACGGTTATTGCCTTGAGGTTCTTGTTCTGCCTAAGAAAAATGACTCGATTAGGCAAGTTTAATTAAAAAACCTCGTATTGTTGCATAAATTATGAAAATTATTTTTATTCATTTATGGATTAACCGGTTTATAAATATTTTACTTTTTTTTTTAAATTTTCATTTTTATTTCTATCAATTTTTTATTAAAATTTTTACTGCAAATGTTTGCGGTGCTTTTGCATAGGAGTTTTCGATATTTATCGAGCGAAAATAGTTAATATTTATAGATACTTTCTGTTTTTCGTTTGTTGTTTTTAAAAATATGTATTTTGAGGAAAATATTTACTATCTGTTGAAGCAACAGTGAAATGGGATGGGAAGGATGGAAAAATTATATGTTACGTAAATTTAATAGATATGTTCGACTGTTTGTTATAAAACGCATTGTAAATATTTTCTATACAGTGTACTGAGAGATTAATGTATTTTTAGCTTCCCGCTAAGATAATTGAAAATTTTCAAAAATCGGGAAGTTAAAAATTGATAACTAAAATATTAATTAATTTTTAAACGAAAAAAGATGGTTTTTTCTTGAATAAATAAATTGAATAGCTTTGTAATTCAAAATAAAAATCTAAAACAGTATAGTTAGCATATAAATTTAAAAACAATCACCTGATTGTGAGCGGACAGTATCAGAGTGCCTCAGTCTTGTCATCTCTTGCATCTGACAGTTTTCCGAGTCTGAGTAGCCCAGTAAACAGCAGCAATTACAAATAATTTGTTGAAAATACACTCGAAATCTGTAAACAAAATAACACATTTATTTTTTATACAACAAAATTAAAAATATAAAATGAAACGAAAATCAAAATTAACTTCGCTTGTCTCTCTTCAACTATAACTTGAACTTTGACTCTCCGACATTTCGAGAGCAACTTTTCTGATATTATTTTTTCTCTTATTCTAGTCCCATGCAATTGTAAATGCAACTTGGTAGATTAAGGAAGAAAAATTTTAACAAACTCGTGAAAAAGTTCTATCGAGTTGCATCTTACTTTATTCTTCTTTCATCACTTATTTTTTATTCTCAGTCATTAAAAGTATATTATAGTAGTTTTTAAATTATTTTCTACTTGATAAAAATAATTGGCTATTTTTTTCGTTGTTACAATAAATTTATGATATTAGTATTTTGTACTTAATTTTTAAAACTAATTACAATAAGTGATGTCTGATGAATGATATAAAAAATAAATAAACCTGCGGATAATTGGGTGAAATAAAATGAAGAACCAAATTAAATTGACTGAGGATAAAAAACCCAAAATTAAATATAAGGTAAAAGTCTATTTATTTAGCAGGAAAGCAATTTTATTGAATGGGTATAAAAAGTAAGTGAGCTTTTTTTAACGAGAGACGATTATCTAAAGTGCAGAGTCAAGTTTTCAAGACATACAGATAAACGGGTAATTATCTACGATCGATGCTCTCCTTTCCACCGGATTTTCATGAATGAAATATTTATAATTGTTTCATTTATAATCCGCTATTATTACTATTTTTAGATGAAATTTCTCAGCTCTGACGTAATAATTTTAGAAAGGGACGTGTATATAATTTTTAATTTCTCACCTGTTGTTCATCCAATAATAAATAATTGGATTAACAACCGCGTTTGACATGGCAAGCCAGTAGAAACTCAGATATACATGCTGTACATAGCTGTTGGCCATTACGCTTCGGTAATGATAGAGAAATATGAAAAATCCATGGTAGGGCAGCCAGCATACTCCAAATATTGTCACGACAATTATGAACATTTTTACGACCTGAAAAAAGTATTCAATAATTATGTTTATTTTTAAAAGTTCTTATTTTTTTGTCTATTAATTTAATTAATTAATTTTTTTAATTAAATTTATTTAAAAATTAATTAATTTAATTATATATAATAATAATAATAATAATAATTTATTGTGTCAAACAGGATACAATCCTCAATACACGTTTGACATAAAAATTACATAGATTAAAATACACAGTTTTTCCTTGAAAATTATTTATAAAAATGAGTAAAATTAGAATTCAGCTAGTTATTTGACCTTCTAGAAAATACGTAGATTTCCTCTAATACAATGGCGTCTTTTCTTTTATTGTTTGGGGCTAGAGTTTAGTGTAGTTAAAATGTCTTTAAAGAAATAAAATAGTTTTTTTACATTTTTATTAATCCCGCAGTCATTATTAACCCCTGACAGATTGTCAGGGGTTAATAATTAAGAAACATTAATGTTAAATGTTAATATTATCACTTATTAATTAAATACCTTTCGTTTGGATTTCATTGAATATTTTTGATGCTCCGTGTGTTCACCAATCGATTTAATCCCCCACAATTCGCGTCCCATAAGGGTGTAACAGATAGCCATCACAATCATTGGTATCAGATATGTCACACCAAGAAATATCAAATTGTATCTAGAAAAAAGTTGGTTACAATTCTTGTTTAAGTTTACGGTAGTTGTTGATAAAATATAAATTTAAAAAATTCATTTTTGAAGCTATGATTACTTTAAAGAAAAAAAACAAAATAATTGAGTAACAAAAATTTTTTTTTAGCAAGGACTTTTATCGTTTAATGTAAGCGGATAAGTAATTAATTTACAAGAAGTATTGTCCATATTTTCATAGTACAAATCATGCAATCTACACATATCACATGTCACGTTTGTAACACAGTGACTTAATTAGCTTCCCGTACTTTCATTACTCCCGCTGGCATCCTAGCGGTGGTCTGTCATGTTTATACTAACAAACATCTGCTAATTTCCCTCACCGATTGCTCTAGGTCATGATTGGGACATTTATCCGTTCAAATAATCCCTGCCCGGCAATTTGAGAATAATTTTATTCCCAGAATTACGCACTCTACCGACAATTTAAATGATTAAAAAATAAAACAAATTGTAAAAATTAAATTAAAAATAAAAATTAATCGCTGTAATTATACTTCTTCAACGGAGCTTGACGGAATGCTCGGAATTCATGATAGCGCGATCTAAAATAATTAATTTAGGATTCGGATGAGTGTAATACTCACATGTATTCACTTCTACTATTCAGGTAATCTCCATCCGGCCATAACATGTAGCAAACAATTCTCGATTTGCCGTTGGAATATCTGAAACATTCAATTTCGCCCATACATTACCATAATTATTAAATTAATTGTAAGTAGCGCTGGAACACACTTTGTTCTATCACTGCTTACTGTATTCGTTTATGTAGATATATCGGTGAATACAATGCTTATTATGATTATTAAAGTGCAATTTACTTATTTCAATACGGCGTATTGTTAATAATGCGATATTACTCAAGCATGTAATTATTATTTGTGTCTGATCATTATAATTATTGACAAAGGTTTCAATCGCAATGTTCATTTCAATTGTTTGATTTATTTTATGAAAGTTAAAGGTTTGATTAATAATTTACACATTAATCATGATTAATAAATTACTTTGAATACTTTACACAGAATTCAAATTTAATTATAAAATATATTTTTTGAGCTTAAAATTTTTGATAATTATAACACAGCTAAAATTTCTCCTTAATTTACGAAAAACAAGAAATTTTTTAATTTGTCTCTTTAATATCTCAACACAGCTGGTGTGTCTATTAATGAAGAGCATATGTAAATGTGAAAATGATATAATAAAACACCAGCTTAAGAGAGAGGAGAAGCTTGGACAAAGAATTCATACATAAAAAATAATTATCCAATTACCTTCGAGTCATTGTGGTCGAGTAGAGTAGACACGGCATCGCAAGTAATGCAGAAGCTAACCAAATTAAAACTAGTGCTACTGTTGTACGTTTACGTGACATGTGATGTTGCAGCGGCCTCATGATTGCCATGTATCTGCCAAAAAATAAAATAAAAACTATAATTATAATAATAATTTTAATGGAGAAGGATAATGATATTAATGAATAGCTTTTTTTATCAAGATTTATATTTTTATATCTCTAATATACTTTTAATAAGAATTTTAATTAATCAAAAGCTTTAATTAAGTTGAAGGACACTTTCAATACTACCTCTAGTAATTGAAGTTTAAACTTTTCACTGAAACTTAAACTAAATATTAATTTCCGTTCGGTGAAAATAACAAAATAGAAAAAAAAACTAATTTTTTTTATTTAACTTTTTTTATTCAAAGGAAAAATTAAATAAAAATACAAAACAGACGATCAGGTTGATGTTTAAAAATTCATTTGAAAATTAAATCCTACTTTTTTTTACAATCAATTTCGAGGTAAAAATATCACTTATCAACTATTTTTCTTGTGATTTTTACTATTCCACTTAAATTTAATTAACATTCATTAAAAATATGATGTTGAATTTTCATATGTAAACATAATGCATTGACCAGCAATATTGATTCCAAGCTTTTTGTTTACTTTGACGTTGATATAGTTTACTATTGACAAACCTTCGAGTACTCAAAAATAAGTTATTTATCTAAAGATTCCAGAAACAAAGTTTTGCTTCTCGACGAGTCAGCTTTTGAATTTTTGTTTAAATATTTATTCAACGAATTTTATGTAACAGAATTGTCATTTCAAGTGCATAAAAAATGTAGGGTTTAATAAACACAAGTGCGTATATAGATGAAAAAAAATTCTTTGATCTAGATGAATGAAATCACAATAAATTTAAATAAAATTTTTTAATTAAAGCTTTAATGACTTGAGATTATTTCTCATCCAGCCACCGCACGGCACATTTTATTTGATTTAAAATTTTGCTTAATGTTTAGGGATGATTAAAGTGAAATCTGATGTAGAATTTTATATTTTTATTTTTTATTCCAAGTAATGTATATATATATATATATATGTACTCTCATGCTTCACGCAATGCCAGGCTAATAATTAATTTTTTTTTAGCTTTTTTTCTTTATGAATGTTATCTTTTTAATTTTTATTCCTGCTTTTATTAGAATACAAAAAAATAAATATGTACAAAAATAAATTAATTACACATAATAAAGCAGTTTTTTCGATATATATATATGTTCATAAACAAAAAAAAATAATTATTTATCCTTATAGCAGAAGCCGATTGCTAAAACTGATGAGTTGGAGGTTTAAATAAGTTTTTTACTTCTTACCGATATTATACAAAATTGAAATTTTTTTTTATTTATTAAAATTAAAAATATCATTTATTTTCTTGAATTGTTATTAATTTTAACAAAAAAGCGTTGAGTGGCAAAATAAAATATTTTTCCTAAAGCAATAACTTGTTTTTGAGCAACCCTCGAATAAAATACTGAAGCAATTATCCCAAGCCAAATCATTAAGATAAAAGCGATAAATTATTCCGAAATTTATCGACCATTAGGAGAAAATACTAGCCAATGGAACTCAATTCGATGAAATATTATTCTCACACGCAATTATATGTATATATATATATATAAAATCGATTTATACCAGTGATTATTTATCCGAGTGTTGAAAAACCTTTGATATAATATACGTATATATAAGACCCTTGTAGTTTACAATACTTTAACACTCGGGCTGTGAGACGATTATGTAATAATAACAATGATTAATCTTATCATAGTCATGAGATCTGAATCCTGTTCTATTATATTAATATATCTGATAGGACAAAGTTATTTTTCAACAAAAATAATCCCGGGTTTATCAGTGCGATCAATAACTCAGATAAATCTGAACTGAATGAACAGACAGGTTTACAATCTTCACTCAACATTTTTTTTTATTAAGCGCATTTGTTACGAGCGATAAAAATGATAAATTATAAATTGATTTATTTATTTTTCTGACTTTTATTTATACTGTTAAAATTTTTTGTGAAATTACAATATTTTTTTGTACTACTACTTTTTTTTGTATAACTATCCGCAAAAGAAAAACAGTAAAAAATCTTTTGTACATAGTAAAAAATTTTGCATCATTGCCTCAAAAAAATTACAAGACTATTTTAAAAAATACCTTCAACAAATTTCTTGTATAATTACCAAAAATTTTCAACAGTGCAGACATTATGTTTGGATATTTATTTGTCAAAAGTGATACATTATAACTTATGAGTCTATAAGTAGTAAGTTATAATCTACACGTTTTTTAGATACTGAGGAAACACTTGTTTCCACGGCAATGGAAATAAGGCTTGCGGTCGAAGATACTCATCAAATTAAGATATATTAATCGTCGTTGTAACGACCATGGTACACATAGTAGACGTTATATTACTTATTATTATCATTAAATATTATTATTAGTTTATTAGTTATAGTTATTGGATATTAAATATTAGTAATATTGCTAAGGTAGAAAGTGGTCTATTGATTTTCAGTCTGTGATAGAACAACAACATTTTGTATGCTACTCAGTAATAATTATCGATTAACTTTTAGCCACTGGGGACTTAATTACTAGCATGAAAGGGTTTTAATATTTTTGTAAGTTTTATTGATTTAAATTAATATGACTATCAAGAAATTTTTAATTTTTCAGCATCTACAAAATATTTTTTTCGTTTCTGACATATAATTCTCCATAGGAGGGATTAAAAAGTATTTAAAATATTCAAAAGAATTCAAATTTCGTTATTTCTAATTATTTTTTAATAAGGAATTAAAATGGAATTATTTCATGAAATTTTCAATTTATTGCCATTATTCTTTTATTAAGTCATTTTTAATTTCTCTGACTTTATTGATAATTTTATTGGGAAATCTTTTTTTTTAAATACAAATTTAAATATTTAATAGCGAAAAAAAATTTTAAACAGTGAATTTTGATACAATACCTTCCATTTGAATAAACAAATTTTGTAACAAAAAATTATAATTTTCAAGCCGTAAATTTGGTCTTGAAGTGACAACAATAGCTTACAAATAACAAATTGAATTTTCCGACTGAAAAGCTAAAATATATAAATAGGATATAATTTATCACCATCTATCTCGTGTATGTTCGTACTTATCCTGTGTACTTTAACCACACGAAATAATCAAACGGCTTACTAACTAAGATTTACTATTATATACTACGCAAATGTATTATATGCACTACAATACACACTATGTACATTTTAGGAAGAGGTTACTCTCAGGTCTCAAGTACTCAACTACTTATCATTCATCACCGAGACTCCACATGTAATGAAAACAACACCACCTGGTTTATCCGTTCTACTATACATATATTCTCTTGATATACCTTCCTATATTCATCACAAATGCTAATTGCATATCTTCATATACACAGTTTCTTATTGGCCAGGTGACGGTCTATAGACATTCTAATTTTGTGCGCTGCATGTTCTAATCTAATACGAAGATGTTTGGTCTGAGTGTTTTTGTAAGGCAAGTAGGTGCACACAGTAAAAAATTTTGCGTCATTGCGTCAAAATAATTTGTCTTAAATATTTAACACTTTCTCGTGTTAATTCTCTTAAATGAACACAAAAAAGTGTTAAATATTGAACTTAAAATTTTTTACAGTGTGAAAAAAAAAAACAAAAACTGTATTTTACTGAAAGAGTCTAAAATTTTTTTATTATTATTATTATTATTATTATTATTTCTATTTTTTTAAATCTATCGGACCAAATTATTCAAGTTGAGATCTGAAGTATTCATCAGCTTGAACAATATGATTCATTTAAAAATAATCGGTCAAGAATCAAGCGCTAAAACAAAATTTATCTATTTTAATATTGGAATTATAGAATGATGACGTACATAGAAGACATATCAATAAGCGTGAGTAATTTCACATAGCCAATATTATTAATTTTTATGAATAGAAGCTTTTTAGAGATATATTTTCATGAATAGAATTGTTGAATTATTTTTCATTTGCTTCAATTTAATAATGAAACAAAATTATTAAAAAAGATTAAATAATTTACTTCTTCCAATTATTTTTATTGCCCTAAAAAACATTTCGCTGTAAAATTTAGTATTTCGCTTTGTAAAAATTAATTATTCAATTTCCTCAATTACTCGTAAAATCATTTATATTCTATTAAAAATTTCAGTACTTTGATTTTATCTTTTTCGTTAATTGAAATAATAATAAAATTTAAGTGGGGATTATCCAAATACGGATGAAAAATGATAAAAAGAATACTCAATGACAGATAAAGCATGAAATTTTAAAAGGCAAGAGGAAAAAAAGGTTCCCGACGTTGATTCCTTGAAAAATCGTACATAAGCATGATATGTGAAGGGACACGCAGTATAGATTAACGTTATTCAGGCATGACGTTAAACTTTTGAGTGTGGATATGAAATTTTTAATAGAGCGGATTCTGTAAATATAATATAGAGCTTAAGGAATTTAAAGTTCTTCCATAAAAACCCCTCACTTTAGTGATTTTTGATATCTTTTTCCTCGATCTAAATTTTTTATATCCGACATTATTGTGAGTGTTACTAGCTACACATTTGTGATGATTATTATTATTACAAAAAAAATTTTGATGGAAATTTGTGAATGTCAACTCACGAATTGGATTGTAACGTCTTCAATTTTTGACCTGTGATTGCAAAGGCGTGTACGTGACAATTAAATCGATACTTGATTTTGCAATTGATATCAAGAATTTTTTTTCTTTTTAACAATCATACTTTTCCGGTTGCTATAATGAATGTCAGGTTTTTTAGAAAAAAATTTTAACGATAAATCTATAGAGTACAAAAAAAAATGACAAGTAACCGATATAATAAATTAAAACAACAATTAATTTTAAAAAGTACTGTACCTTATACATTACAACTTTTCTATTTCTGCGGTATAGTTAAAACTTCAGCTTAAACGAAATAAAAACTTAGGGAAAAAGCCCACATGATTTAAGGGATAAACGTACGTAAAACCCATTCCTAATTTTCTTAATGTACTTATGCAAATTAATGGACGTTGGGTATAATCCAAATTCTGCAAGAGTTATAGATTTTATTTGCATTTCAAAGTATACACATACATATTAATGTGTGTGTGTGTGTGTGGATCTAAGTGATTTTATTGTTTTATTGTTCCTTATTTTGCATAAAAAATTGTGACATAATTATTAATTTGCGTAGTGTGGAAAACATAACACAACACTTGTTTTCCGTGACTCCAGAGTTCAACCATAATGAAGCATGTTTTTTTTTTTTTTTTTTTTATATGAAACTTTTTGACACCAATTTTATTCCGTTCTCATCAGAATTTACTTTACATTCAACTACGCGGCGTAGAATAAAATACGTGTTATTTAAGGTTGTTGTTTCGTGGATAAAAATCTCCATTTTTTTACTTTTAATATTCCAAACAATTTTTGCTTTTGTTTCAACAATGAATTTTCTCTTACGGAAAATAATACATATGCTCATTAAATATGAGAACATTTAGAGGAATATAGAAAAAATTTATATCATATCCGCACATATTATTATTATTATTATTATTATTATTATTATTATTATTACTATTATTTGGTTATTCAAACACGTAACTTTCAATTATTAGCTTTAAAAAACAAGATGTAGATATAAACCTAAAAAAAAAAAAAAAATAAAACAAATTAAAGTATAAAATTCAATAAAGTGACTTCATTCTTAGAAATTCCATTCGAAAAATAGTATTTCCAAAGGACATTTCGACTGTAACAACATATGTCACAGCCTTTTTTCTTCATCTTGTACGTTCTTTGCCTTTTTACAACATATTGCACGTATGAAACTCAATAGTTGTCGCATTATCGGATAACGATAAATTCCTTAGAAACATTTCAATACATTGCAGGTTTATATCTGCGAAATATGTTGTTTGGATTGCCGGTACACGACTGTTCAATTTTTTAAATATCCATCACTTTATTATTAGAAGTATTTTAACAACAACACTACTCCGTATATACATTTATTTATGTGCCATTATTTCCAACGAAAAACTCATTCAAATAACTGTTTCATTTTTAGTAGCTTCACTGAACTTTTATTCCAGCTTTTAAAGCCAACTGCTTTTATTTACTTGCAACATAAACAATCAAATATCTAGTTGATTTTTGTCAGCCAACAATACCGCGATTAATTATTGATAATCATTTATTATCGAGTTAACAAACTGTACATTGTCCCATAATTCATATTTGAAATATATGTTCATATTTAACATATTTGTCTGATAATTAAATATTCTCGTTAATTGGCAATACGTTGGGTACAGAAATGCATATTTATCCGCATAAATTTTAATTAGTACAATATTACGTTACACTAAATCAATAATTAGCATGAAGTAGTTTTTTTTGCCATTAATTTTTTTCGCGGCGTTTTATTGTTTTTTACTCGTTTCACTCGTAAATGAACAAATTTTTTTGCGCCACCCTATTGCTTAAAATGCCTTAATTTTTTCAGGATAGAATTTTGTATGGGATCTCCGATTAACTATTTCCATTTGATTACTTCTTTCGCACCCCGATAAATAGTTACACGACTCATTGAACCGACTAATTGACGTTAATACGAAAATAATTCAAAAACAAATGATAGGTTTTATGTTATTTAAATGGCGGTAAAAGGAGCTGGAGCTTAACTTGAATGACACTTTTCACCAGTCGTGACATTTATAAGCTTAATTCGCCAAGAAAAAGTTATGAAGTGAACTTTTTAATAATCACATTTAACTGAATAATAAAACGCTGCAAATTATAATTTTTACTTTTTCCTTAGGCATTATTTGTCACGACTATTAGCAAAGTTTGTTTTATTTTTTTTTTTGTGGTAATATTTGAAATAATTTTTTTTCCCATTACGGTGATTACAAACTAAAATGTTTCAAACTTTATCATAATGAAGATTGATCATATTTTTTACTAATAATATGTAGTACATATTTCAAGTTTTTTTTTATCGGACATGATGCTGAAGAAATATTTGTGCAGAGCAAATGAGAATTTTTTTTGATTAATCATTATCTTGTGAAGAAAACTAAAAAAGTTATCTTCCTAACATTAGCTAATCTAGATACAAACTTTGATAGTTTTATATCTATATATATATATATATATACATAGTTATATATATTAAGTACTTGCAGAAGGATCGTTACACTCTGATTGTTTTTACCCATTAATCTTAATTAGACTAGAAAACCTTTTTAGCGCGTTTCTGGTAGAAGGTGAACTGAGTCTCAAAAACATCCTAGTAATTCTCATTCATAACATATATATATGTATTCAGAGAGAGAGAGATATATATATATATATATATATATATATATCTGTAGAAACGTGTGAAATATACGTAACGCGGATTCGGCTTTGTTAAACAAGAAACAAAAGACCCTTGAGATTTTAACGGTATAAGTTTTTTAAGGAAGTTTTCCGGTGGGAATGCAAATCTTGAAAAAAGAAAAGTATTACATGCCAAGTTCATCGATTTTACGCCACCTTTGTCGCGACAAAAAAAAATTTCGCTGCTTTAATTTATACAATCTGTAGAAAAAACACTCAGGAATTCCGACTAGACGGTGTACATAAATATATACATGTAATAATAGGTATATTTTAAATTTTCAAATTCACAAAAGCTACGCGCATTATTAACGTAATGCGGTATTCTTATTTATTTTAGCATGAAGGGATCTAGAAAAGACAATGTTATGTTATGTCCTTCGGAATATGTGTCAACAAAACGTGCTTGCTTCAAGAATTTTATATTACTCTGTTAAGTTCTTTGTAAATATTTATTTATGACAATTATAATTCACACTTTTTATTATTCGATTAATTTTTTTAATGTGAAATAAAAGCTGGAAAAATTGACCCTCGGAAAATAGATTGGATAACGCTTTTTTTTTTTTTTCATAGATATTCTTGTCTTGGAGACTTGTTTTTTTTTTAGTGAACAGGAATTCGAATATTATCTTAATGAGATTTTCATTTTTGAAAATTAATTATTATTATTTCGTTCTCTTTTGAGAATTTTACATTTTCAGTTAGAAAATAAGTTTTATCAACCAAAATAGTAATTATCGTATCTGTAAAAAAAATTTCTTCTTTGTTTTATTTTAATGATTTGTGAATAAATGTTTTGAATCAATTCAAACAGAATATATCAAAATTAAAGTGAAATTTAAAAAATAAAATTTTTCTTAATGAAGTTCTTGAATTAAATAGTTCCTCATTATTTAATTTAAAGACGAAACATTTACTCATATAACTTTGATATCAAACAGTATGGCCGCTTGCAAATTATATTACTGGATAATTATTGCAACATGTGATAGTCCGTAACTAAGGAGATTTCCAAGTTACCTTTTCCCATGCGGGCTTTATCAGAACTTACATCTCTTTGACATATTCACTGGCAAATGCGACCTAAAACTTTACTTATAATACATTAACTCTGAGTAATTTTCACTCAACAATCATTCGTATACTGAAACATAAAGCAATCTTTGAAATTTCTGCCTTTTATGTTCTATATTACTTTTACTCCACTCGCAATTATAACTGCCTAAAGAACAGAGTAAAGAATTTCTAAGAAGTATGAGGGGACATTGTTAATATAAATCGAAAACGTATCACAGTTCATTTAACAAGTTTTTTTTTTATTATGCATTTATTTCCCAAAAAAAAAAAAAAATTTAACAAGTTGCAATAAAGACTGTAGATAGTTTATATTATTTATTATTTTTTTTTTTACATGTAAATCACCTACTTCAGTTATTCGCCAGAGAAATATTTATTCAACGAAAGTAAAACCTTATAAATAGCGGGTGCAAACTTGAGCAGTTTCTATTGTATCAATGACTGCGCATATTAATTTTGCTCTGACTGTGTTTACAATTAGTTTAATAAAAGCAAAATAAAAATCCTCATCCATATATTAAAAATTAATAACAATAATAATAATAATTTTAAATAAAAAAAAGTTGATTGTAAATAAAGGATAAGAAACCCTTCTATTTGCAGACCACAATTCACAAAGGAATAAAAAACAAATCAAAGAGAAGTTTGTGAAACTTGGGTGCATGTTTTGTTTAGCATCAAAAGTACATCTAATTATTTTAGCATGCAAAAAAATAAAATAAACAGGTGCGTTTATAAAATATACCAACAATAGGTCCGTCACTTGCATCACTCTATTGTTCAGAAGTTGTCACCCAAAGTGATAAACATTTAAAACTTTAATTTACGCGCAAGGGAACGAGAATTTAATTATGAATTTCAATTAAAATTTCTGAAAATGATTTCTTTGCGCCACTTATACTGTAATCAACGATAATATTTTATAAAATATAATGACGCATTTAGTTACTTTGACGTCAATAAAACGTCAACATTGATTTGCGTAATGCCTTAGCGTTTTTTTAAATCTTGTTAAAAAATACAATTTTTTAATAATCAGATAAATTATTTTCTGTTTAAAGTTTATCAATAAATACTAACAAATTCTTCTATTAGGTCGAAAAAATTCTTCTTTTTGTCCAAGAATTTTCTCATTTTAATCCGTAAATTTTTTTAAATAATTCAAATTGAATAATTTGAAACAATAGTTAAATTTTGAAAATAATATTTTTTTACTCAAATCAAAAAGATGAAGTTGAAAAATATTTTGTTGGTTCGTTAATTTTTTTTTTCTGAGTGTGTAATTATTTTTTGTATGTAATTATTAAATAATTGATAACTTACCGGTCGAAAGAAATGACGACTAGAGTAAAAGTGCTAGAGGCAACAGTAACATTTGCCACGAAATTATTAACAGTACAATAAATAACTCCAAACGGCCAGTTTGAATTGAGCATAAAGATGAAATTGAACACGCAATTTAATATAGCCATCATCAGGTCCGCAATTGATAAGTTAACGAGCAGGTAATTGGTAACAGTCCGCATTCTTCTGTGCGCTGAAAATAAAATAAATTTAGTTACTTTATTGTTGAGATGTATGCGAGTACTTACATTATATTAAATGGAATTTTCCCGGATAGAAATGGAATTTCGATATCAATCATGACTCAAGAATTTATATTTCATTCTATTTTAGATTCTATTGTAAAAGCACAAAAGTGAATGTCAGTTCGCGCAGTAGAAGTAGAATTGTTTTGCACTCCAATGACCCAGAAAAGAGATGTACTTTTGAAACATCTTTTAGCTTTTTTGCATCAAACCCTCTGCTTTGATACATTTTTGCAAAACTTGGACAAAAGCAAAAATCGATCTTACTTACTGATACGCTTCGACAAGTGAATTTACTATTTATAGAAAACTTCCTTAAGCAACAGGATCGATTTGTTAATCTAGACAAATACTCTTACCAATATTGCATTAAAACTTTTCTTTGCGATGTTGTCTTAGCTAAAAAACTTCTGATCGGTAACTAACTCAATCTGATTCACAAACTTTAGATTCTTTAAATATTAATAACGACTTTGTCGCTTCATGAATCTTTTTTAGCAAGTCTTCTTTGAGTGTACCGCATAAATTGAGAACTAACGGGAAAAAAACTCTACAAGTTTTTCGTTGAAAGTAGCTTTGGAACCGCCAGTGCCTTATCTAATTTTGAATCATACATTTCGTCAACCAATGTCAAAAATCAGAGCGACTTTTTGTTCTTTTCCCGTCTCTCCGTGCCTCGAGAAATTCATTCAACTTTTTTGAAATTTAAATGAAATAGAGGTTTCATTCTGCTGGCTTGAATTTCAATCGGACGGTTTTATTTTTCGTCCAGACTTTTGTACAGCAATAAAATCTGCAAAAAATCGTAGCTATTCTTTGATATCGATTTCGCTTTACCGAGAAGTTTCAGCCAAACGTTCAGTTGTTATGAAAAATATTGTGACATAAAATCTGAAGATAATCTGAGATTTTAGATATTTTTAAGAAGATTATTACCATTGATTTCATTTTAAAAATGCTTCAATTATTTAAGCTTGTTTAAGTTTTATTTTTTTTTATGAACATAATACAGTTATGCACGCTTCATATGTGAAGCTTGTGGATGTATTTTATTTTTGAAAAATAAAAAATATCGAAGTTAGATTTTAAATTGTTTTTATGAGAAATTTTTTAACAGATAAAAAAAATTAATTAAAATAATAATAAGTAACAATTACAAATTGTTAATAAAAGAATTTGACTTAATAATTTTTTGATATTTAAAATCACAATAAAAATTGTGGGTACTTTTTGAATAAATTTTAAAAATAACATTGCTATTTTAGGATTAATTACCAATTATTTAGAAAAACTTAAAAAATTTATCAAAATAAATTAATTATTCTAGAAAACCACATGAAACCTTTAAGAGATACAAATTTTGGTCAATACCTTTCTGATGAGTGATGATGATGATGAATGATACTAATTTTACGAGAAAAAAACTTTTTTTGTAATGTAATTATTTGAAAGGAAAGTTTTCCTAATTGTTGAACAACAAAACCGGTTCATTGATTGACAACAAGTATAACTTACCGCAACTTATACTTTAAGAAAATAGAGAACTTGATAAATATAACTGCTAAAACTTCAAAAATTTCACTGCTAATTGACGTTTATAGTATTACCTAACGATCATAATAATTTCTTGCGAGGAGAATAATGTCAGTTAAGAGGATTGGGGAATTTGATCCTAGGAGCATAGCAGAATGATCTTGACAAGCAGTATGTGCTTTATCCTCGCAATACGGTCAGCTTAAATTTTAGATCAGAATTATTATCTAAATCCGATGGTTGAATAACAGACAAAAGCTCTCTTATAATAAATACCCCACTAATTATTTAATCCACTTTATCTTTGTGAATTTTCCGCAAGAATTTTTTTAAAAAACAAAAATTCGCATGATCAATTCTTTTGTTATGAATCGTAAAAATTCGATTAGAAGCTCCAACGCCCGCAATCCGAGTTCACAAGTACGTGAATGTTTTGTTTAGAAATAATATTTATTTTCTTACGCCCATAAAATTATAAAAATAATTAATATCAATATTGCACTTTTTATGAATCATAGTAATAGTATTTTTAGACAGATTTTGCTTATCTTCGAACTAGTCCATAATAATCATCCAAATAGTAAATACACCAAGAAAACTTATGCAGAACTTCTTTATTGTAATTAATTTAAAAATTTGGTTTTCAACTAATTATAATACCAAAAATAAAGAGAATTTTATATCAAATGAAATCTACCTTCCATTTCCGGTGAGGCCGCATGGCTTTTTTTTTTTTTTTTTAATTTACAGTCTTTTAAATAATTATAAAGTATAACGGGAAATAAACGCATTTACGATTATTAACACTTACAATTATTAATAATAACAATAAATTCAAGGTTCGTAATTTTTGCATCCAACTAAATAGTTTTTCCGTCGATAAATAACAATTTTCTGTCTTATACTTTTATCTAATTAATTATTTTTAAAGTGTACTTGAAATTGAATTCGAGCATTTACTTTTTGTTAAAAAAAAAATAATTAAAAATTTTTAGCTTTTTATAATTATTATTATAATATTCTCTATTCATAATAATTATTAAAAATTTGATTAATTATCTGCAATGACGGCATAAGTAGGAAAATAATTAAAGGCGAAAAAAAACAAGTGATAAACTTCAAAATATTTTCAATGTCAAGTTTATGTAATTGTTGGCAGGTTAAATTGCGCGTGTTCATATAACAGGCTTCTAAATGATAAGCCTGCAAGGTACTTGAAGAATTAGTTAAACAAAGTTTACCACTCAAACTGGTTTTAACTGTTGATAAATTTTAATATAATAAAAGAGTCTTTGTAGAAACCAAAAATGGATACAATAAAGAAATTAGTTTTTATTATTTTATTGTCATATTTTGCAAAAAAAGCTATAGCTGCGGTTCCATCTGCTCCGCAGAAGAACTTGACCGATGAATTTATTAAAAATCTTAGAAATAGTTTCCCTGATCTGCAAAAAAAGTTAAACACTCAAAGTACTCCAACATTGACTGGTGGATCTACGAATGATGGTGCAGCTGGTGCGCTGGCTGCTGGAGTGCTTGCTAAAGCTCTGGGGAGCACTAAAGGAGGAAGTATGTAGTCAAATTTTAATTATTTAATAAATAATTTTTAAGATTTAAAATTAGAAATTTTTATTTTTAGATAAAAATTGTTTTTTCATAAAAAAATCATTGCGATAATTTGAATACTTTTAGAATTTTTATAAATTATTGAATACCTTGAAGAATTTAATAAACATTTTAAATTTAATCAATTTTGAAATTTTTATTTCAATTGATTGCTGGGTTATATGTTTTATATAATATTTTATTATATCGACCGATCTCGAGTTACGTACTAGGTTTGAGGGTGAAACTCCTTGCGAAGATGAGATAGTATCACCCGCTCAAATAACAACTTGTATAAAATTATATCAAATTATATTTTCGATATATTATTTTAATATTTGGTCGCTATTATGTCTTCGGGTCATATATATTCAATACAATATTTTTGTTACACAAATTTTAGTAAGAAATGAAACCAATTTAAAGGTTAAATCAATTAAATTATTATTTTTGACTTGTACATAAATTAAAATTTCAAAGTAAATAACCCAACAAAAATTACTGTAGAAAATTAACTGCGATAAAATAACTACAATAAATAAGATGAATTTTCTTTTAATTTGAACGATTAATATTTAAAATTAAATTTAAATAAATAATACATATAATAATTTGCGCACTTGATTATTAATAATAATAATAACAAAAAAAAACTGTATTTTTCAGCACCAAAAGCAGATGACATTCCTGAGCTAATAATAGAATTTCTGGTAAAAGCTCTTATAGCGGGATTAAAAGGATTACTAACTCCAATAGCTATCTTGCTGATAATAATTCTTAAAGTCGTTGAAGTGTTGCTAAACGTAGTGCTATGGATAGTAGAAGCGCTGCTGAAGACACTTCTCACTGAATTAGGCTTGGGAGAATTAGGAACATCGCTCGTTAGCACTCTCAATCAAGTAAAAGATCTCGTTGATACTCTGCTAGATACAGTTGAAGATTTACTGGAAGAATTGAGTTACATAAAAGAGATCGAAAAAACTACTGGTACCAGAGTAAAGCGTGCCATCAAAGACAGTGCCCTCGATTACGCCGGGCGGGGCTCTAAAAAAGTTGGCTCTACTGTCTACAACCATGTATTAGAGCCTGTTATTTCACCCTTTGAACCGATCCTTTTGCCTTTCAAAATGATTTTCAAATTATTCCGGCCAATGCTTAAGCCGATTTTCAATTTTTTGAACGACAAACTCTTCACTGATACGATTGATACAGTTGACCCTGCCAGCCGTAGGAGACGTGACACTGCACAATTCGCCTTGCGACAAATTTGGAAAGGAGCAAAAGGCGGCGCTAAAGTTGGTAAATTTGCTGGGTCCACTGCAATTAGCACTGCTACCCTTCCAGTAACTTTACCGGTTAAAACGGCTCTTTTACCCGTCAAAGTTGGAACTTTTCCTATCAAAAAGATTTTGGGTAAACTATGGAAAAAATTTAAAGGCTAACTTATTTATTTATATTTTCATTCATATATATATATATATATATATATATATATTGTGAATTTATCTATTAGAGAAAATAAAATTATTTGAAGATTGTATTCGTTCATTGTAGAAAATATTTTTAATTTCTTGGAATAAAATTATTTTAAAAAAGAGAATGTAGTTTAGTTAATAGACTGTTTTCTACGGTGTAATTGCTAAGTATTGAAGATAAGAGATAAAAGCTGACGCATGTCTGTACAGTAGTTATCATTTTAATTAGTCAGACTGATAAAAGTTTTTTATTTCCAAGTATTTGATAATTGAATTAATTATTGAATATGAATCATTGTTATTATTATTATTAATTTTTGAAATCAAAATAAAAAACTAAAATATGTGTAAAATAATTGTATAAGCAAAAAAAAATTATATAACAAATAAATTTTAATGATAGCACATAAATAAAAGTGATTGTAACATGTGATAATAAAAACTAGGTTAACACAGACTTCGTCGGCATTACAATTTACGGAGTATATTTATATTATGCAAATATAGAACGGTGAAATAGCACAAAACAGTAAGATTGAGAGGCGGGAAGGACAAAATTTATATTTAGTAAGAGAAAGATCAAGTAGCATTATTTTTACTTAAATTCCACCGAATTGTTTTATTTGAACATTCTGAAGAAATATAACTAACTGAAGTGAAGATTGAGGGTACAAAGTAGGTAAAGAGTAACTAAAGCAAAAATTGAGGAGGTACATTCGATGCGCTTACAAAGATAGAGGTATACTACTTGTTCAAAATTAAATTTGTAATTTGTCAGTGGTACTTGCAAGAAAAGACTTGACTTTTGACTTACCCCGGAAATTTCTCGTTATTCGAGTTGTCCTCGACAACTACCTCTATTTAATTGTGTATAATCTTCTCCAATCCACTTTTATATATTATGTTCTTTCGTTCGTTCCTCTTTAAACTATCTTTGTCATCAGAGAAGAAAATTAAAAATACTCTTCATCAACATTTATTACAAATGTATGTTAATAGTCGCTTATTAAATTCGTGACGGTATTTGAATTAAGTATGTATGAATTGTTAACTTTATATTAACGAAATAATTTAATTGTAATTGAAATTTAACAATTATTCAAGTAAACTAATAATCGGAACTAATTATGAGTTATTTAAAAATAAAAAATTTACTACAACTTTTTTCATTGATTTCATTAATTTTTGGTCATTGGAACCAGTAGATTCATTATTAAAAATCAAATAAATAAAAATAAAAGTAAGTTTTAATAAAATAATTTTATCAATATACCCCGATGAAAATAATTTATTTAAAAAATATTACATGTACACATTTATAAATCTATTGTAAGCTATATTTTTTATGTATTTTAACTATACTGAATACATAAAATATTTACAAAAATCGACCAAAAGTCAGCGATTACAAATTCACGTTTTATATATTATTTAATTACGTTAAAGAATAGTTTTGGAATAAATATTTTTAAAGAGCTAAAAAAGTGCAGTCAAATTATATTTTATTCACGTTTGTACAAAAAGCAATTTAATATCAAATACTATACTTTACATTTAAGTTACATTATTTATTCGTGAGTATACATTTATGTTAGTATGTATTTTTCTAAAAATTTTCATAAATTGTCCCTTGTGATTCCAGATGTGTTTTCTATTATGTTTTATTAAACTCTTCGAATTATATTTTTACTCAAAAATAAATTCAGTTTAACAAATCAACTTTAAACTATCATTAAATTCGTGCAAAACTTAATTTAAAACTTTGTTAAATGTTACATCATCAGATTGACTATTTCTTAAATAAATTTACGCTTCATATTAATTTTTAATTTTATTAACATTTAAATGTATTAAAAACAAAAAAAAAAAAAACATAATTAATTAGTGAACTATAAAAATATTGTGATTAAAAAACATTTCAATTTACATATGACATTGTTAATGTACTTGATGTATATTTAATTATTTCTTTTTATCATAGCTCTCGGTATCATTGCGCCACTCCCATATTAAATGCAATGATTTACGTTTCATGTTATTTTTGTATAGACTGTATGCTTGAAATTTTAACGCGACAGAAAGAGTGAATACTGTCATACTTTAATTTAAAAAGTTGAGTCGCTGCATTTCATAATTTTTCTTTATTTTTAAAAAAAGATTTTCATAAAAGTCTTCATAAATTCAATTAAATAAAAGCTTATCAGAGAAAGTAATTTATAGTTAAGTAATAGGAAATTATACTTTGTCGCGAAAATTAAACACGGTTCAATGAATTCGTCTTTATCAAACAATTATGTTTAATCAATAACAGGAATGGTTTCTATCAAAATGATTGCGCTAATCAAGACTTTACATAGACAAAGAAAATTGATAATATCTTTAAAAATGTTTAATTAATTAATTTTATTTAAAATTTAAACGAAACTTTTTTACATTTTTCTTAACAGAACAAGATTCTTTTTAAGTTAATTGTACAATGTTTGTTAGTTTTTTCCTTTTTTATCTTCCCTTTAAGAAAATTGAAAATTTTCGAAAAAAAAGGAAGTTATTGATATCGGTCCGATTTTCGAAAGTCGAATTTTCATCAAATCTCCACGTTTTAAGGTCAAAACTTAGATCTCATTAGGTTTGAAAGTTAGTCCATCGAGCCATTCCGAAGAAATTAAAAAAAGAAACCAAAAAAAATTTGAATTTTTATGTTTTTAAAAAATAACTTTAAAGCGTGCAAAAAAATCATTTTAATACAACCAATGTCATTTTGACGTCACATTGACGTAAACATATTTTATTCTAGGCTATTCGACAAAAGAATCTTTTTTTTTTTTTGCGAAGGTTTTTTTTGTATTCATTTACAAAATCAAACCTCCAGCATGAATTCCGGGTTGCAAACGCAGTTTATCCCTGAAAAGTTGTTTCATTAACCCTTGGAGTTCCAGTTGCAAACAGGCGCGAATATTGTGAACGGTTGATCATTTTATGCTAAAACATGCAACAGAGTTTAAGGAAGTTTAGCCAATCTCGCGAGACGTGTAACTCTCAGAGGACGTTGATAATCCGTGTAAAATCATGAGGTGCTTTGCATGCTAAACTTTTGATGGTGATATCCAGAGGTCAGATCTTTCGTATTATATCTGTGAAACTGTATACTTGTACATATGTGTGTATGTACCTTATTATATATCCGTAAAGGTTAATGCAGGCATGTCTTACCTCGATCACGAAATCTAATCAAGGGGTGCAACTCTTTTTCCACTACAAACTATTTTTAAGTTTCGATAGAAAAAGTGTGCTTTGAAACTCTTTGGAAAGTTAATTTCGATTGAATAAATTTTTTTTTTTATAAAAATTATTAAAAATGAAAAGAGAAATGTTGAATTTTTTTTCTGGAAAAAAAAAAAAAAATGGCAATGTACATCTACATTTACATTTACATAAATAAATTAGTCGATCGACCTCGAGAATCCCAAGAGTTTACCGGGTAATTTAACATGTTCATAGAGATATTCTGAAAGGTAACACTTAGAGTAACGCAGACACGTAAAATTGTTCACGGTAAATCGAAATCGATTTAACAATTATTTAAAAACAAATGAGAACTTCTGCGGAGTATTGCAGTTATGGGTGATTCTATCACTTCATTCCGGAAATTTATGTTCCCGAAATCTAAAAGAGTATGTACTTTTTTTTTTAAAAAAAAAAAAGAAAAAAAAATGAAACAATAATTTTGAATTGTAAATGTTGACTGGTTAATATTTGTGCTGAAGAAATTAAAACTATTAGCGCTATACCAGAAGTGTCAATTTTCCGAACTTCACTAGAAATAAATTCCATATAATTTTCCATAACGCAAATTTTGTCTGCCAAAAGGAACTTCATTGATAATAATAATATTTTTGAAATAACTAATTAAAACGAAAATCAAAAAAATTTATTGACCATAAAAAATCCCCATTGTAACATAAAAATAACAATGCGAGCGGACCTTTTGCAGACACAAGTAGAGGAAGAACGAACAGTATCAAAGTTTCTAAAGTAATCTCTGGGGACGTATTCCCCGTTTTAATGTGTTGCATCTATATATCTATATCCGCAGATACAAAGAAGAAAGGATTCACTCTCAATTTATCAGTCATTGTTAGACAGTATCAAATGATAGTTATGCAAATATCGACGTTGATGAATATATTTATATTTGGAGAAAGTTAAACTCTTAAGAATCACTTTGCAAGAACTTTATACGCGAAAGTTTGCGTGATTGCCTTTTTCAACTCCCTGCTAAGAAAATTGTAAATTTAAAAAAATCGGAAAGTTATTGGTTTTAGCCCGTTTTTCGAAAATCGAGTTTTCATCAGATCTCGACATTTATTTATTTTTTATCAAACTGTGAACCCAACAGCTATTGCCAATAACAGGGTTCCATACAAAAATAACAATTCATATTTAAATAAATTCTTGTCTGAACAATATTTTTTGTTTTTCTCATTTTATAAAAACTAAAAAAACAAAAAAATAATAAAACCATTAATATGAAAGTTTGGAATAATTAAAAACTTTTTAACTATTTTTTTTTCACGTATTACACCCACTACAGTCTTTACTTCCTAACCGTAAATATCTCCATGAAAATGCATAAAAAAGTTATAATGTAATATTAATAATTTAAGCGATACTATATAAGAGTATTCCGAGAGAGAACTTGTTGATCTTCTATGATTTATGAATTGAATGACAATATATTATAAACTTTTATTCCTTCATGATTCTTCATTCATCATAAATTAAAAAACACCACCGAGAATATTTTTCTTATTCTTATTCCAGACATATTATATATCTTCATACATATAATATGCATAAAACTTTTATGCTTATGAAAAACGTATTTATAATAATATTCTGGTTTATTGTTGCGTATTCTTTGAAAGAAGTATCTAAAGGAATCAATATTGTCGCACAAAATTTTATATTGATAGTTTCAATTAAATAAAAGTAAATCCTAACTCAATGGAGACTGAAATACTAAAGATGAAAAGAAATAAATGCAAACTTCATGAAAGAAATTTCAACGCTTCTATGTTTTGTACGAAGAAAAAGTTAGTAAAAAGAACCGATTAGTATAGCGACATAGCCATTAAGAATATTGATACAACCATTTTCTAAAAGAGTATTGGTTATATCAATGGCTATCATCCGATTAAAAGAATTACTGTAAGACGGTGTGTATAAAGAGTTTCCATTCAGTAATAAACTCAATTATTTAAGTATTAGTTTTTTCCTATATTTTGTATACGCCACCGCTGAATTGCTCAGACTAGAGCTTTCATTAAAACTTTTTACATTTCTACAAAGAACTATTCACTTTTCTTGCCATTTAAATTTTAATTCTCGGATTTTATTCATTTTATTAAGTGAATGTTAAAATCTATCTGTAATTAATAGAACTTATACTATACAGCATAAACGTGAAGATGCATTTTATGAATAATTTCTTTCATACTTCAATTAATTCTTCGAGTGAGAATTAATTAATTGTAGGAATTTTTTAATTTTAAATTCAGTTTGTGATTCTTATTCGATATTACGAAGGATTTAAGAATTGCATTGTGTTGATGCTTAAATTACACGGCAGTAGGTTGAATTGAAAAGTGTGAATAAATAAAAAAATTCAGTTTTACTTATTCAATATATTTTTCAATTTATTATAATTTTATTACAACCGAGTAATAAAAAGTCTAACAGATAATGATCTTCATTATCTGTTTTAATATTAATTAATTTAATTTTTTGTTATTTTAAGTTTGCAAATGTAGAATTCAAAGTCGGGATAGAAATTATTAATTTTTACTGAATTTTAAAATAAATTTTATATTTCCAAAGATCCTCTTCACCATCCAATATTGCTTTTAATTCTTGCACACTGTTTTCAATCAAAATTTACAACTTTGCCTCTCGACTACTCTGAAACATCTGTTACGTTTTGCCTCTACGAACCAAGTCCGGTGAAAATTATTAATAACAATAACTATATATTAAAGTGTTAATTTAAAAATGCCTTTGAAATGAATATTTCAATAATAGAATATGATAATCAATATCCTGCGGATTGTAGAGCTTCATCGATGTGAAAGCCATGTTATTTTAATGAACATAAAATTATCATTCCGGCTCATTATTATAATAAGCTGAGAATCAACATGAAATATCATTGAAAAAATAATTCAATTATCTTGTATAATAGTTGTAATATTAATAAAAAGATTCACACACTAAAAAATAATAATAATTCAATTAAGTCTAAATCAAATATAAAGTTATAAATTCTTAGATGATCAGATTTTTATTAAATCATGATAAAAGAAAAATTTCTACAAAATAACGAAAATTTTTTAATTAACTGAAATTTACTTAAGCCGAGAAAAATTTTTCTGCTTAATTTAAGATGTTTAAATTAATTAAAAAAAAAATAATTTTCTTGATTCAAGAGTTAATCCCTTGAATCAAGTTAATTTTTTTCAGTGTAGATGTATCATATAAATGTAAACATATGTCATATGATTGATTAGATAATCAGCGAAACTGAGCCATGCTATATTTCAATAATTTATCCATCTATACAAATATTCCTGCATATCGTAATCTTTTAATCAATGTAGTAATCTATGTATGTCTATTTATCTAATATCCAATAAGACATAAAAGGATTAATGTATCGCTCGTAAATAGTAATATAGATATTTGTAAACCAAGTTATTGCGAGTAAATAGAGTTAATAATGCCGCATATGAGTGGAATGTAATGATGCGGACTAATATTGGATTAATTTGCCCCGGGATGATATCAATTAGTCATATACTCTGTAAATTAATGAATATTTAAGGATCTGTTACAACTAAATGTGTTTATGATTATATTTATGCTTACCTAGCACAATCCACATGACTATAATGTTTCCGCCTGTCGCAACGATCAGCATGATTGCGAAAACACAGGACCATGACAATTTTTGCCACCACGGCAAATCGAAGGGACGTTCTTGCCCAGTAAATAAACAGTCGGTAAAATTAACGCGTAGTAAATTACGATTGTCAGAGCTTAACACTTGGTCGAGAACTGATAACAATTCACTACGATTTAATTCTTGTAATATTGTTAGGTTTTGATCGAGTATTTTTGCACTGCAATTGTACAACCTGTTTAAATTATCTGAAGTCATTATTTTTGTTTTGTTTAGATTTACTGTTTGTACTTCATATTCGTTCGCGGACTTTTTGATTGAAATTTAATTTTCATTGTTATTATTTGGTTGTTTTTAATTAAATATGCTTTTTTGTTTATAGATTTCATTTTAAATACAATATTTGTTCTCATATTTGATTTTTTTTTTTTTTTTTTTTTCAATATCAAATTTTTTTGCAAGAAAACTTTTTAATTTTTTTTTTTAGCCTCCACTTTTAATGACAAATATATTTTTTCCACAATTTTAAAAAATTACACTTTTTTTAGTCAATATTTATCTTACTTTATAAATTTAATTTGTACAATTTTTAACCAAATGAAAATTTTTCCTTTCTTCAATTCTTGGCTCAATATTGACTTTTAATTAAAAACTTCACTTTATAATTATAATTGTGTTATCTTAATAATAATAATAATTTTAATTCCTTTAATTCAACGATTATCTTAATATTAATTAATATTTGTAAAATTCAAATTTTCAAAGTTACACTTTTTTTTAATTCGAATCTTAACTTAAAAATTTTCTTCAAATCACAAGAATTTGAATTTTTACTATTTATATTAACAATGTATAGATATATTTATTACTCCACAGTGGCAATATGATCTTAATAATTAACGATTAATTAATAAAAAATATCAGTCAATAAACTAAGTCAAAACTCCAGTAAAAAATATAACAATAGCAAAAATAAATACAAAGAAACTTTAATTGAAATAATCTCAGGTCTCTGATGCATCATTGAAACTTCGGGTTTTATTAATATAAATACATATATCCAATTGCATAAATAGTTTTCAAAGTTTTTTCCAGCAAAACTTTGTATTGCACTGAACGTATTAAAAGTTATCATCACTTCTTAACTTGCCCTTTATCAGTTGAATTTTGTTGTTGCTGTTCTTAAATATCCGACAAATTGATAATAACAGCAATCATTTTCATTGAACATTTTTTAACTATGAAAAAAATTTTTTGTCATTTTATTTTGAACCCACAAAAATTAAAAATTCATCACAATTTTTTTTGTTTAATTAAAATTAATAAGAAATGTATTTCTTCTCTCACTTACAAAATTTATAAATAAAACTACTCTAAAACAAAAAAATTTTAACTTATGTTATCTTGATGAATAAAATGAATGAAAGTTTTTATTGAAACAATAAACAACGCTAGTTTCTGTACTCGAGAACACCGTAAGAGATACTGAGGTTCAAAAAGCACGTTCATTCAAAGAGTGCGCACGCAGAGGATGTGTTTGTGTAAATCTCACCCCTCTCCAATTCTCTGCTCAATTCACCCTTATCATATCTCTTTGAATTTACAAATGTGCGATCCTAATGAAGATAAATTGTTTTGCTTTTTATTATCAGTCATTTTTTAATTTTTATCGTCTGGACTAAGAGAAAAAATTTTTTTTGAAAAAAATTAGCAATGTAGTAATAAGAAATTAATTTGCTGTAAATTTTTAACAATTTTATTTCTTATTATAACATCCCGTGTAAAAAAAAAAAAAATTGTTAAAAAAATAATTAAGTCATTTTTAACATTTTTTTTGGACAATCCTTAAATAAATTTTGATACGTGGTTGTTACATGTGACTTAGAAAAAAGTCATAAAATTTTAAAAATGAAAATTAATATAGCTGGAAGGGCTTCATGGGAATTTATAAAATTGATAACTACAAGCACAATTTTAATTTTAAAAAACCTATTTTTATCAGTAAAGTTGAAAAAAAAAAAAAAAATGTACGTGCAATTTAATATCAGTTTATAAAAGAATATCTTTATTAAACTCTCAATAAATCAATAGAAAACTTTTGTTATTTAAGTTGACTAATAATAAGAAATCAAGTTTAAACTCTCTTAACTATTGACTGAGTTCAATATCATCTAAAGGACATTGAAAATTTTTGTTATCTGAAAAAAAGTATGATTATAAACTCAACTCGAGATATAAAACATGAAATATGAAGTAAAATGTAAAAGAGAGTTTTAAATTGAATTCTGATTCATTCAGCATTCAACAGAGTTGATTTTTATTTTTTTCAACACGAGTCGTACTTTATTTTCTCTTCTATCTAGATATTTGTTACTCTCTATTCTGATCTTTTACATTTTTACCACAAAGATGACGACCCAAAGTCCAAATACTACTTTATATTCTAATAGTTTTCCTTTTGATATAAAAACATTTTACTTTTTTATTTTTATTTTTTGAATTCAAAAGGGGATATTCCTAGCAGGTCATTATAATAAGAAAAAAAAATCGTTGTAAAAATGTATTTAGGGTAAGAGACCCAGTAGCTGCTTTGTCTAAAAATATGAAATAATCAAACCAAAATATCAATTACTTTGATTACTTACAATAGTTTTATTGACAGAAATCTTGATTGACCTTTTAAATTACAACTTTAAAATCAGTAGTACATTTTTTATACAAATTTACATTGTTATTTTTTAATCGCCAACAAATTTAAAAAATTTAATTTTTTCTTTCCTATAATTACTTCAACAATCTTAAAAAAATAATAATAATAATAATAATAATAAATATATCACAATGAACGTTTGCTAAAAAAATATTTTTCAAGTTCAATTTACAAATTTAAAAATATAAACTATATATTCATAATTTATCTTCCCAATGAATTTTAAATAATTTTAATTATCACAAATGTTTCTAAAAATTTAATTTTCAAAAAATTGAAAAATTTAAAAGCTAAAATTAAAAAACAAAACCCTTATCTCAACAAGCGCTATTTAATCAATAAATCACAATAAACAAAATCAGAGCCAAAAAATTCACCTTCAATTATTTAAATTGATACGGGGCTTTAAACTTTCGAGAGTTCTGCGTCGCCAGTGCGTCTCGAATTCCCTTGTTTCTTTTTCATGCTCCAGCCCGACATTTTTCTGTATCGTCGGCACGCAATTAGCCCTCTCTTCGAATACACCCTTTCTGTCATTAGAATTACTGTTCCTTTCAGCAGCAACACCCCCATTACTATTACAAGCAGCCTCACACTCACTGTTACCCTTTGCCACCGCACAATCACTCTTCGGGCTTTTCAATTCAATCAAGTTTGTACTCTTTGGCGGGGAAAAATAGCTGTCAGCCCGCCTCTGGTACCTTGGGACAGCGCGTATCGGTGAATTATGTCTCATCGGTGGCAGAGGAGGCAAACCGCGACCTGAAAGACCCAGACCAGCACGTGACGCATCATTAATACGACTAGAATTACAATCACGATAATAACAAGTACCCGGTCCTTGATTTATGTTGTACAGTTTTTCTTCAATCCTCTGATTAATAACGATCGCTTCTGCCGGCGAAATAGGCTCTGTGTAAGTTAAAACTTTCTTCTTTTCATTTCCAAATCTGCCCTTGTCCTCAGGGCTCAGTCTGCTTATCGGGCCATTGATAACAGAGACCGCGTTGCTCAACTCACTGGTCGCTCTAATCACCGGATAAACATTACCTCGCGCGTCGCATCTCGATATAATATTATGGACACTTCTTATATTCGTCATTATCTCATTTCTTTCTTCAATGTCTTTATTTTTCAATGAAATTTTACCTTTGCCCTTTTCTTTCCTAACGAATTTTTTCTTAACTTTGTCTTTTGTCTTATCAATTTTCTGGGACGTACCAACACCCGAATTGTTAAAGTTGTTTGAATCTTCAGAGTGGTGGTGACGTACATGTCGATTGAGATTATCTTTCCGTCGAAAGACAGTCTGACAAATGTTACAATTGAATGGTTTTACATCAGTGTGAATAGTCAAGTGTCTTGTCAACTCGCTTTTCGAGAGAAAAACCCGGGAACAATGCGCGCAAGAATAAGGTCTCTCCTTGGAGTGCGTTCGCTTGTGTCTAGATAGCAAAGATTTGTCTTTGAAACTTTTCCCACAATAATCACACGCGTAAGGCCGCTCGTTGGAGTGGATGAAGGCGTGTCGATTAAGATTGTTGCGCAATCTAAAGGATTTGCCACAAGACTCGCACGAATAAGGAAGTGTCCCGCTGTGGACCATCATGTGGCTTTTCAAATCGTCTTTTTTGCTGTACCTTTTGTCACACTTTGTGCAAACGAACTGTTTTTTCGAACTGTGTGACAGCATGTGACGGTTCAATTTATTTTTTTGAGGAAATGCTTTGTCGCAGAGGCTGCATTTGAAAGGCTTGTAGCCGGAATGGACGCGCTCGTGGTACTCAAAGTGGGACTTCTTGACAAAGCTCCGCTCGCAAATTCCGCATTTGTACGGACGAATCCCAGTTATGCAACCGTCGTGGTAGCATTTTCCTTTCTTGTTGCGGAAGATTTTGTTGCAGATGCTGCATTTGTACATCTCAGGGTCCGCGGATAGCACGATGATGTGACTACGATCAGGCCGTCTTTGTTTAACTTTATCTTCTTCTGGCTTTGAATTGGAAATTTTGGATAAATTAGTGTTTAAATTATCTAAAGGTAGAGGATCTGGAACATAATCCTGCTTGAGACTTGAAGCTAAGCCTTCTAGGTTGTCAAGTCTTTGTGAAGGATTTATCTCTTCGGATAAATTTTCTCTTCTTTCTTCATGTTGTTCGTGAGGAATCGGCGGATTGAGCGGCGCACAAATAGTATCTGGATAATGTTTATCATGATGCCGTTTTATTATTATTGTTGACTTTGCATCGGATATATCCAGTATAATTGATGGGCTTTTAGGTACTTTATCGTCATATTGACAGTCTGAAAAATAAATATTGAAATGGTTTAGTAATCTGAGGTGATATAACGTGTAGATTTTAAATTACTTAAGGGGAGAGTTTCCTTGCAAATGAAAATATTATTTTATTAGCTAAAATTTTTTTTGTTTTTTAATTTGTTTAAAGTCGCATAAACTACTAAGGTCATGAGCGACTACTGTAGGGGGTAAACTTTTGAGATTGGAACTTGTTTGTATTTCTTGGGCTGAGCAGAATAATACACTTAAATAATGAAAATATTCATTGGTGTACGCCGGACTCGAACCCGGTCCAATGCTTTGGTAGCAAGGGCCGGATCCAACAGGCTACTGCGCGCCTAAAATTTTCTTTTGTGGTGGAATTTTTATTAATATTAATTATATAATGTAACGATATTTTATCAAATTTATGCACAGTTGTTTAACGTTGAAATATTTTTAATCCCTCTTCATGCCATTTTAATCACGGTATTATCTGTACAAAAAAACATTTTAAAATAAAATAATAAATTTGACGTATAGTTTGGAGAGGATTCCTCTTTTTTTTTTTTTTTTTTTTTCTTTGTTAATTGAAATTGCTACAGAAATAGCTGAATTGCAACCTTGTAATGGAATAATTATGCTTCACACAATAAAATTGATTGGAACAGCATAAAAATCATACATCCAATAATTTAATGTTCAGCAATAGGTTGAAAAAATTTTCAATTAAAAAAAAATGTAAAAAGCAACATCTCTTGAAATTTTGGGACAGATGACATACTTTTAAACTGAAGCTAAAGTAATAATTATATAGCTTTCCATTATCAAACACCAGTAATTAATGTCCAAGTCTTTAAAGTAAATACCGAGTGTAGTATTTCAACCAGCTGAGTCTGTCATTATTCTCAATCATTATAAATAATAAATAATGTCTAATTATTATATGGCGTTATAATAAGTAGTGTCACCTGAATATTATTTCATAAATAAAATTATTGTTAACTAGAAATTAATGAATATTTATCAAACCACTGTGTCAATTAAAATCAAGTGTTTTTTAATCGCTTTACCGATATACATTCTAATTATTGAAATTTACAGATAAAACCAGTCTTGTTTTTGTTAAAAATTTTTCAACAGTACCTAAAAACAAAAAAATACATTGATTACTATTATTATTAAACCGGGAATTTTAAATAATGTTTTTTTTTTTTTACCTATAATTGCAGGTATCAATCGCTCTTTTTCGCAAGTTTTACAGCCTTGTTCTTCGTATAATAAACAAATCCGACACTTTTTATGACCGCAAGTGTCCTCAATCAATCGTGAGCAAGAAGCATTTGTTAATTGTCCGCAATTTGGACAACCCTCGTTCATCATTTAGTTAAAAATACTTAAACAGCGTAACACACTTTGAACTTTATTTACATATTTTAAATTTCACTTAACGTTACCATTAAGTCATATTTATTTTAGTAACGAAGGTTAAGTATTAAATATTAAATTTTAAAGTCACAGTATTAATTTAAGTGACAGTTCTTTTTACATCAGTAGTTTCTTATTATTTGCCCAATAAGAATTTATAGATAACCGATAACAAATTAAATAAATTCATAAATTATTAACTATACAAAGAACTAAACAAATATATACTGATCGATTAAAAGAACATTAAATTTTTATTATTTTTATTTTTATTTTTGCCAGGTAAATTGGAACAGGTTCACTGCTGTCATCTGTTTTTTAAAATTAAAACTCTTCTTATTTTTTACGACGCAAGATGTCATTATTGTATTGATCTGATTGTTATGAAAGTTATTTATTTATAATTTGTAAACAATTGCATTTTATTGCTCCGAATAATTTAATACAAACTTACAACTTACAATTTTTGGATTTGTTACTCAGCTATCAATTTAATTAAATCTCTTCTGAATATCCTCTTGTTATACAATTAGTTGTAAAAAAATTTTTATGAATTTTTTTTAAAATGAGTGCTGAACTTCGCAGAGAGGTACATTGTTTCTTCAAGTTAATTAATTATCACCTGATATATTTTATTTGTTAAAATATTTAATTATGTTTTAGTTTAAAACTTAACCTAAAATTTTTTTTAGTTTATTTTTTATTGAATGACAATCATGGATAATTTTTTTTTTTTTTTTTTTCTAATTAAAGGTTCTTAAAACTTTCAAAAAATTACATCGTACACGATTAAATACTTTTCAAGGAGACCAGTATGCACTATCATGTAAGAGTGTTCTTTTTCATAGTTTGTTAATTTTTAAAACCAGGAAAAATTTGATGATTTAAAAGTTTTATTTTTCAGTTGTCAGAAATAAAATAAATGATGAGTATAAAAAAAACAAAAATGTTACTGATGCGGCTGCGATCAATGAGGTAATAAATAATTCGTGCAATTAATTATATAAAGTAATATAGAAATAATTTCTAATAAATAACTAAATTCTAGCTCAATAAATTTGCAAACGAAGTAGAACATGAAGTAAAAACAACAATAATTCAGGCTGTAGAAAAAAAACCGGGTATTTTTGAACTAAAAGTAAGAAATGATCACTTAATCGACAACGTGCCGCCTCCAGGAACTCCACTTCCAAAACCAGAACGCAGATGCTCTGACCGAAAATCGAAGAGTTAATTTAAGAGAGGGTTTTTAGATATGTTAAGTAAACAAATAGACAAAAGTTTTCTAAATAAATATATTTATTAATTTAATTTTACAATTTTAATTCTTTACAATTTTTATCACATTAATTTTGGCTCCTTAAATTTATGAGTAACTAGTCTTCTATTACTTCCATTTTCATCCTAAAAAATAAAATATATAAATTTTAGTAAATATTATTGACAATAATTGATGATTTACTTACCAACAGATAGCTAAAAAACATTTAAGCATGCAACACATATATAAATTAACACATATATAAATTTTTAGGACAATATCTGGTGTAAAAAAATAAAAATATTAATTACATAAATAATGAACTTTATAAATATTCGTTAGTTTATTTTAATAGTGATTAATTCAGCAATTATTCATAATAAATAAATAAATAAATAAATAAATAAATTATTCAATTTTTCCTGTTGAATTTAATACAAAGAACGACAATAAACATGTAATAATATATATTTCTAATAATGATAATTGATAATGAAATTAAAATATACGGAATAGAACGTACTTACTTAAAAAAATATTTTTTATTTAAAAATTTATTTATTAATAAAAAAATAGTTGCTGAATTAACTACCGGAGTCCTTTGTTAAAAAAGATGTGAATTTTAATATCAAAGTGGAGGTTTAATTTCGACAAGTCTGAAGTCTCGCCCCTTTGAGAGTTAATTACTGATTAGTTAAATCCATATAGTGTAAATATAAATATAACTAACATTGTAACATATTTCAGGTAAAAAATACTCACGCGTGCTCAGGGTGGTTGCGGATTTGGTCAATCAAGTCAGTGGGTTTGAGCTCCCGCGTGCAAATCCGATGCACGGCTGTGAAAAGAGGAAATTTATCGGTCATGTTCTGGGCTTTAAGCATCCCGTTAACTTCTTCAGCAGTTGCTGGTCCCTGGAGTTTCATCCCTCCCAGTAACTCGTCCTCGAGTTCTTTTATAGACTTTGTTGTCTTAACAAATTGCTCGCAAACACGGCGATTACGACCACCGTAGCAAGTTGTGATGAGATCAGCGACACCGCAGCTTTCGAAGAATGTTGAAAGTTTCGATCCACCGTAGAATGTATCCACGAATTTAATCATTTCCATAAGACCTAGTCTTATTACTGCAGCTTTTGTGTTGTCACCAAGTCCTAGACCGTCGACAAATCCTGCTCCGCATGCTACAATATTCTATAATAATTTTTCAAAATAATTTTATTTCTTCAGCAATGTAGAAAAAGAAGAAATCAATGATATATTCATTGAAATTGACAATTTAATTAAAACTTACTTTCAGTGCACCGCAAACTTCAACAGCCTCGCAATCCTCAACACAGACAACCCGGAAATTAGGTGTCATCATTAAATCTCTAAGTACTGGTGCAAGACGCTTGTCTCTAACTCCTGCAAAAAGGTAATATTAATTAGTAATTATTTAAAAAATTATCTTGTAATTAATAAAATTTTTTTACCAATAGTAGTTTCACAGAATTTCTCCTCGGCGACTTCATTGGCAAGATTAGCGCCCATCAAAACGTAGCAGGGAATCTTCAGATGCTCTTCCACGACTTTGGAGATCAATTTAATGCTCTTTCCGTCACTGGAATCGAACCCTTTGATCAGAGAAAGCCCAACAGCAGTGGACTTTATTTTTCCCAGCATCGCTGCAGCCAGCCCGCGGATAAACTGGTGCGGGATGACAAAGATAAGGATATCTGCATCCTTTGCCGCTTCGACAACATCCGGAACAGCGACCTAAATATTTAAATGGTAAAATATCATTTATAACGCTAATTGAATGACTGATTTATTATTTTGTTTATAATATTGCATTATTATTATTATTATTATTATTATTATTACTTTTGTTATCAACAAACTATTTGCTAACGTTTACTAAGTTTGGCGTTGATCCAATCGTGTCTTGAAGGTCAACTGCATCTCAATGCGCTTCCGTGCATCTGTACGTGTCATGATTATGTAATTTTTAAAATAATATAACGGAAGTCTAGTCTATTAACTATTTAATCGCAATTGACATTCATCTCAATTTAATTATTTTTATAATTTATTATTATATTTTTTCAAAAAGTTATAAAATATTTTTTTTTGCAATATTTTCAATTATTTTTTAAGCCAACTTCATTATCTAAAAAATGGTTTTATGTATTATTTTATTATTTTCAAGTGGATTTAGTTACTTGAGATTAAAAAATTACATAATTATTGATAAAAATTCAAAGCAAATTAATAACTATAGTTATCTTTAAAAAAAAATAATGCATTAATCTTATCAAATAATTCGCTCAATTCAATTGGTATATATATATATATATATATATTCACAGTATGAATAATAACTAATAAATAACATTCCAGATCACAAAGGCAGTTCCAGAGGACGCAAATATTGCGTCGCATTAAATAACACACCCACTTAAATTTTTTGCATCAGTTCTTGTACAGACTCGCTACGAAGTACATCAAATACGAGCCAGCTAAATTGTTATTAAACAATTGCTATTGAGTTTCAGAAGCATTACTCAATTCAAGATGCGATTGAATCAAGTAATTCCTAACTTTCAAGCTGATTCTACCAAGGGTCCTATTGACTTTTACGAATGGCAAGGGGATTCGTAAGTTCATTTTTTTTTTTATTTAATTAAAAACTATATATTTTTTTTTCAGTTAATAAAATAATTATTTTGTAGCTGGGTAGTTATATTTTCACATCCAGCGGACTTTACTCCGGTTTGTACAACCGAACTTGGTCGTATTGCTGTTCATTACCCTCATTTCAAAAAACGTAATGTTAAATTACTCGCACATTCTGTTGATAAACTCACGGATCATGTTGATTGGGTCAATGTAAGTAATTAAATTTATAATACTTTAATTCATTTTTTTTTTTTTTTTTTCAATTAAAAATTTTTTTTTTTCGATATTTTAATTCAAGAATTATCAAGCATAATTTTAGATTATAAAATTTATTTCAAAAACTCTAAATAAAAACCCTGCTTTTTTTTTTTTTAACTAACAAAAAATTATTAAATTCTTAAAAAAATAATATTTTAAAAAATGATACTGATATAAGAGACATTTGATAATTTTTTTTAACAAATAAAAAATAGTAAAAAAATTTTATTTAAAAAATTCAATCTTTAGAAACTCTAGAAAATTATAAATGCAATTTCTTAGAAATAGTTTTATAGACTTAGTTTATTTTTCAAGAAAATTTTTATTTAGGATATTAAGTCTTATTGCCAAGACATTCCTGGAGAATTTCCGTACCCAATAATCGCCGATGATGATCGGAGTTTAGCGGTCAAGCTAGATATGATCGACGAAGAGTCTAAGGATGATCCTGAGAACGCAATAACTGTCCGAGCGCTTTACATTGTCAGTCCTGATCATCGTCTTCGTTTGAGTATGCACTATCCTACTTCAACTGGTCGTAATGTCGAGTAAGTAATTAAATCCTAAATTATTATTTAATCTAATCTATTATAAACACTTACACATAATTTGTTTTAAATATTCACAGCGAAATTTTACGTGTAATCGATTCATTGCAACTGGTGGATCGCAAACCACAAATCGCGACTCCAGCAAATTGGACAGTAAGTAATTTTTTTTTTTTTAATTATTTACGAGTGATCAAAATTTTAATAAATAAACACACTTGTTTTAGCCTGGTGAGAAAGTGATGATTCTACCTACAGTTGATGATAATGAGTTGCCATCATTATTCCCCGGTGGGGTAGATAAAGTTTTTATGCCTTCTGGCAAAGTTTACGTTTGTACTACTACCGATTATTAAAGTTTTCTATGTTAATTTATTAAAAAAAAAAATGTATAACATTTTATTTTTAATAACTATCTTATACAATCGACTAATCAAAAACGCGAGGTTCACGATTCGAACCCCAACTACGGCTTTTTAAAATATTGATATTTCTTCTTTAATAATTTTATATGTTATGTAACTTTAGATCTTTTTGTAACTCATGAAAGATGAATTTTTAATAAATAATAATAATAATTACTTACAACATTAGGAGGTAGTTTATGTCCTGGTAAATATTTTACATTCTCATGCTGAGTGTTTATTATTTCTGTAAGCTTTTTTCCATCAATCATTTCTTCGTACACGTACATGGTAACTTGTTCTTCAAATTTATTATTAAATTTAGCAGCATTGGCACCAACTATTTTAGCAATTGCTGAGCCCCTGAATTATTTTAATAATACTTTTATTACATCAACATAGATAAATATTAATGGAAAAACAAATGACTATTTAAAAAAAAAATTAGCAATTCAAATAATATGCTAAATATAACTTAAGAATATATATTTAAAAAATATAAATTACCAATTGCCACTTCCGACGATGCAAACCTTCTTCTTGGTAGACATTTTAATAAATAAAAAAAGGCGACGAGTGTTAAATAAAAAATTTAGAGTTTACTTGCTGTCAGAGAGTGAATCGGTCGACTGACAGGTGAGGTGACTTCTTAAAAAGTACTCGCTGATTCTAATTCACCATTGACCTTAGTTAGCGAAATAACTAATCGTAGATAGAGCAAGAGAGAAAATTTTATTGTCAACTGGTTGGACGGAGGTTTAGTTGGAGGTCTTTAGTATTGGACAGACTCCAATGTCTCGGATCTCTCTTAAGGATGAACTGAGTTGAGAATAGTATTAACGAACGTAACTATTAGCCGCGTACTCGGCCAATGTTAAATTTAACATCACTACGTTAATTATTACATTACTTACTATTATTATTACTATTGTTATTTAAATATCTTGTCAAGCTTTTTCTCACTCTCTCTTTTTTTATCTTTTTTTAAACAAACGAACATTCAATTCATTTTTTTTACGCAAGCTGACATTGGCATCATTTTTTTTTCTTATTTTATAACTCATTATATTTATAATCATAATACTAATTAATTATTTTCTCAAATTAGCTTAAATTTAATAAAATATTTTTTTAAGCATTTAAAAAATTTTTAAAAACTATCAACACTTGATACATAAAAATTAATTACTTATTTTAATGGCATTTAATTTTTTTATAGCATTGCTTGTAAAAAAATATTACATTTATTTGGTTAATCTTTAATCTTGAGTAAACAATCGTTATTATCATTATTATTGTTTATTTGATGACACCTGATGTTGAATATTAAAGATGACATCTCGGTGGGAGGTTCTCGTCGTTGTCATACCTGAATATGAATGAAATGAAATGATAAAAAAAAATATGAAGCAATGATTACTTAATTACTTAAAATAAACAGAGAATTAATTCTAACAAGCCAGTTAATAATTAATAACAGATGATAGAGACATGCAATTAACAATTTAATAATAAAGATAACTTTAGAACGGACAGTGGATAATAAATTCAAGTAGATTCTCTTTGATTTAACAGACAATAAAATTTTAATATATATTTAATCCGTACTGGTACAATTCAGATTGACAACAATTTTTATATCATATCCAAAAACCAAACATTCTGATTTTCATTTTTTTTTTTTATATATTTTATCTTTGGATTTAATTCTATACCCTATTACTCTAGCTAATCATTATAAATTCAACAAATAAAAATATATCTAAGTAAAATTAATTTTTTTTTTTTTAATTAAAAAAAAATAGCATTTCTAAAATACTAAGTATCTATTTATCAGTTTTAATTAATTTATTTGGTGAATTGTTTTTGGTTCTAGTGTTGACGAAATCAACTAATTGAATTTTTAAAATGCAATAACTGAAAATATGTCCTACAGTTTTAATTAAAAAAAGTTCCTCCATGATTTTTTTTCAATTAAATCTTATACTTTCAGCTGGTAAAATAAAAAATTAATTTCATTTACTGACTGTAAATGCTGAGAAAATTTTTTGTAATTGTAAATTCAAGCAGGATCATCAAAACAAATATAAGTCGAATAAATAATCAATTTAAAATAAAAGTGTATCATTTGAAAAAATATCAAAAAATAGGGAATTTTATCTACAACTGCGATGCACTTTCTGTAATTTAAAATTCCAAGATAAATTTTTCATATTTACATAAGCATTAAATCTAAAATAAAAATTGTTAATTAAATAAAAGGTCCGATTGAAGAAAAAAAAAAAAAAAAAAAAAAAAAAAAAAAAAAAAAAAAGTAAGAAATCCTTAAGCCTCCACAACCAATTGAAAGAAAGTGTTACGATACTCCATGACTCGTATTATCAGTATACATTTTTTTTACTTGACACAAGACGATTATTATACTTGATTTTGAGCTTACATGTGTTCTGGATGGCTGCGAATACAGTCGATGAGATCAGTAGCCTGCAATTCACCGACACAAATTCGGTGGATCGCAGTGAATAATGGAAATCTGAGTTCCATGTCTTTGGCTTTCAGCATGTAGTTTACTTCTTCAGCAGTAATTGGTCCTTGAAGTTTTTGTCCATTCAACATCTCTTGCTCCAATTCAACAATCGACTAAAATTATTTTTATTTTTTGAATAAATTTATTATCAACAAAATAATAAAATAAAATTTTTAATGATCTAGTTTATTGCTCTAGCCATCAATGGAGTTTATATATATATATTAAAAAATGTTATTGTATTAAAAACAATAAAAATTTTACAAGATCGCTCAAAAATATTTCATTATTAATAACTGTTAATTAAAAATATGTAAAAAATTATCTGATTAAAATTTCTGTATTCAAGATTCAGAAATTTTTAACATAAAATACATTCTTAAAAAATGTAATAAAAATAATTTACCTTGCCAGTCTTAACAAAAGCCTCGGAAACTTTACGATTACGTCCACCGTAGCAGGTTGTAATTAAATCAGCCACTCCGCAACTCTCGAAGAACGTACTTAATTTACCGCCAGGATAAAAAACATCCACAAATTTAATCATTTCCATTAATCCTAAACGTATAACAGCAGCTTTCGTATTATCTCCTAGACCTAAACCATCAACAAAGCCAGCTCCACACGCAACAATATTCTATAAAAAAAATTAACAATAAAGTATAAATATAAATTTTTTTTTTTATTCAGTTAGATATATGAGGAATGATAAATGACTTACTTTAAGTGCACCGCAACACTCGACAGAATTAACGTCATCAACAACAACAACACGGAAAAACGGAGTCTGAATCATATCACGTAAAATAACGCCCATTGCATTATCCTTACAACCTGTAAAAAATTGTTTGTAATTATATCTCGGCTAATAAACTTATGTAATTAATTTAATATCTCATATCTTCACAGTCTTTATTTTATCTTATTAATGCTAGTAATAAAAATATAATTACCAATAGTAGTTTCACAAAACATTTCATCAGCGACTTCGGATGCTAAATTAGCGCCCATCAACACAGCCATAGGAATGTTTAATTCAGTGGCGATTATCTGTGAAATTAAATCTATTCCACCGCTTTCCTTTTGGTCAAAGCCCTTAAAAAATTTATTGATTATTATTTAATTACAATATTTATTTATTATAATCTTTATTATTTGATTAAATATTTACTTTGATAAGCGATAATCCACAAGCGGTTGGCTTTATTTTTCCAAGCAAAGTGCTGCATATTCTTCGTATAAACTGGTGAGGAACTACAAATACAAGAATGTCCGCATCTGCTGCTGCTTCGACAACATCTGGGACAGCGACCTGTAAATTATTTTTTAAATTAATTATCCTTAATTTCATCTCAAGGGCATTAAAGAAAAGAACACTCCTCTCTTTCTATTTAAACTTTATTTAGTTTGACTGATGACTCAACTATTCTTACCTAACATAAAAACCTGTTTTTGTAAATTATTTCGAAAAAAAGTTATAAATTTATAAATTTACAAATTGTTAATCTTCTGCGCCTCTCACATTGCTGTAAAAAAGACCTATGTACTTTTAAAAAGCAATTAAATTAAATAAAATAAAATAAAAATTAATTATCCTTAAGATATTCCAGCAAATGAGATTTTGATAAAATAAATTTTAAAAGATTAAAAAATAATATTAAATTTTTTTTTTATAATTCACCAACTAGATTCCTGTTTCTATTTTATTTTAAAGAAGTTTAAATATATACATCAAGCTTATTATTAAACCGTCGTCGGAGTTGACTTTCTATCTGTCTGTTCTAAAGGTCATGCGAGCTTTTTAAAATGATAAAGAAAATTACACAAATAGTATAGACAAAAGTTTGTCCTTGGATAAAATTGTTTGAGGTGAAATATGACGTGTAACAGATGTTGAATAAGCAAAATATTTTTTTTTTTGTTTCAAATCAATGACCAATAACAATAACAATTGTCATAATAATGATGTTAATAAAAAATTTTTTTAGTCAATAAATGTAAAAAATGATAGCTAATAGGTACTCAGGTTTTTTTTATAGATAAAATTATTTAATCAGGGTAATTAAATTTTTTTAAGTATTTATTAAAAGATAAAAAAAAAATATTAAAAATTAAAAAACTTTGTATGTAAATTTATACATTAAAAAAATAAAATTATACCAAACAATAACTATTTTTAAGTATTAATAAAAAGAAGTAACAAAAAAAAAAAAAAACTAACACCAGCGATTACAACTATGTACTTAAAACGTAATTCTTAACGATATCAATACAGATAATAATAATAATATAATAATACGTAACGATAAAAACTTACCACATTCTCTGGTATCTTATGACCCGGTAGATATTTGACATTCTCATGCTCTTCATTTATTATCTCCGTTAATTTCCGACCGTCAATCATCTCTTCATAAACATACATCGTCACGCGATCTTCAAAATTTTCCAACCTTTGGGCATTCGCTCCAATAATCTTGGCAATTGCCGATCCCCTGAGAAACAATCACCAATTAATGACAATAAAAAATAATAAAATTAAATAAACTAAAAATCTAATCACGTAACCTTGGCACATAATTTAGATTTTTCTTCCGTATTAAAAAAGTTAATCAATAAATGTTATATCGATATATATATATATATACATCTATATTTATCTGACGCAGAGGTCAAGGCCACTAAATTAATAAAACTAAAAAAAATGCTTTTTAACACTGAAAATCTCAAGCTTAGTAATTTATCAATAAAAACTGTGACACTTACATAAATCTGAGAATTTTTAAGATTAAATAAATAAATTATTAAAAAAAAAACTGCACTGATGGAAATTAAAAAAAAAAAAAATTTAATTTATTTAAAAATATTTTCTTAGTACTTTATTTTTTTTTTTTTTTTTTTAAATAAAAACCAATAAATAGATATCTGCTAATATGAGTATCATTAAAAATTATTTTTTAACTCAACTGTACTCTTATCATTATCACACAACTATTTTAATAGTAATAGGCTTAAAGATTAAAAGCATTTAACTGAAACTTATTAATTGTTATAAAGTAATAAAATACTATTTAAATTTTCTAAACAAAAATACTAAATCAATAACTCACCAATTACCAGATCCAATAATACAAACACGTTGTTTAGCCATTATTGACAATTGTTTTATTAATTTAATAAATTTAAAAAGTGTCTGGTGTCTAAAAATAATGAAACAATTATTATTATGAGAATTTAAATTATTTATTTATAACTGTAGTTGTAGCTATAATTATTGATGGTAAACTGGCAAGTCTGGCGGGGCAGACTGCAGACGATCAGACCAGACGAATAACTGGAAAAGCAGAGAATACAGAAAAAAGAAAAAACCAGATAGCAGTCAGGAAAGTGTAGGAGTGTGGAACTGTGGTGAGGAGAGATGGTAAATGCGCAAATGCACACTGTATACTCTACTTTATATCTATAGGTATACGTTACTTACATTCAATTTGTAAAGTAATGAAACTCTATGTACGTGTAACAGTATATATGTAACAGCGGAGGAGAAAAATAGATATGGAATTGGTAAAAGAGAGGGTAAAAGTAAGGAGAAGTAAAACTATGCCTGGGTCTGGGATCTGCACTGGTACAATGCAGAATATCATCTAGGTTTTTTTTTTTCTCTTTTCCCTTGGCCATTTATCTTATATTATATGCATATTTGTAAATAATACTGAGTATTTTTGTTTATAGCATTACTCAAGTGGGAGAAGAGCTAGCTAGCTAGCTACCAGCAGTGGTAGGATGACATGTGATAATATTATTTATGGATCGATCGTTACACGTTGCACTGGACTTGATTTTTTAATCAAATTTAAAATGACGTTGAAAATGTAATCTAAAAATTACAAAGGTTAATAAGTAAATAGTCTGTTTTTTTTTTTTGTTATTTTCTTGTTTGTAATTATATATATTTTTAACTTTTATTTTATTGATGATACTTAAATCTGACATAAAAAAATATCCGATAATTTCTTTTTTTTTTTTAAGTATAAATTATGATGAAAAATAAAAAAATTTTATATGAAATTTTTAAAATATACTTTTTATATCTAATTCTAAAATATTTAGAATGATTTTTTATGTATTTTTAAAAAATTAAAAATTTTTAAATGTCTGTTCATTCAAATATGATGAGCTGTGATGTACGAGAATGTTATAATGATAAAAGGTAAATGCAGATTCGATGGAATTCGGAATCTGTACAAGTAAAAACAATATTCCGATTGAATTTTAAGTCTAGATCTAAAAATGCAATTCTATAAAGCGCCCAACGGAGCAGGCGGGTAACAGCTAGCTATATTTAATAAATTTCATAATTTTTGAATATGAATTTTAAGTAATTTTACATTTTTTAAAGTAAATAAATCATATTTATTTCAATATTATACTACATACACGATGAATTCGAAAAAACCATAAGTACACAATTACCATGATCTTAGCAGCATGATAAATTCGGCAAATTATATTATAATAACAAAATAAATATTTCAATCAAAATAATCTATTCTAATGATCGATATTTCAATCAGTTTATCAAATCTAGATATAGGTGCTATTTTAACATATTAAAGGATAAATTAATTACAATTTTAATTTATCTACTTTAACATTTTTCACAATTACATTACAAATATATATTGTCATTATCAATTTTTAAAATAAACAAATCAAAGCTTTAATTCAATAGAATAGTGTGTATTAAAGCTGATACTGATTTACTCTTCGGTAGTAGTCTGAGCAGACTCTAAAATTATTTCGAAGGAGAATGGGCTGAAAGTATAGCCAGTACCTTCGTAGAATTTACTTTGGAACTCGACCCTAAAAAAATAAAAAATAATTCGTTTTTTTTAACTATAAATAAAAATTTTTTTAATTCTTAATAAAAAAGACTTTTTTAAAAATAAATTACCAATGAAGACGTAAAGTATGGAGGAAAGCTGACAATCCTTCCATGAGAACAAGAATTCCGACTGTCAATACTGCCCAAAAGGCAAACAATACCCACAAAACTACTCCTCCAAACCAGTCACCACTAGTAAGACCTATTTTCATTACCATGTTCCATAGTACTTCAGACAATTCTGAAAAAAAAAAAAAATAAAATAAAACATTAATAGATAAATTATTTTTTTCTTCCTAAAGACAAGATTAAAAAAATAATACTAACGGGCATGAGCAAGTGAAAGAGCCCAGAGGCGTAAATAAGAGGCAGTATGTGAAATACTACCGAGCACAAATTCAATAGTATGAATACCCTGATGAATGAAAATTTCACCCATCTCTTCTTCTTCTCTGTGTACTGGATTCTGCACAACAGCACCGGCTCCTTCAACATCTCCGTTTTCCTGGCCGTGATTGTTTAACTGCTGATGCTGTTTACGTCCGCGCATTATCATGATAGGTTTGGCGAGCAGCAGCACCGGTACACAGAGCAGTGCAATCACTACGAGGAACCGTTGAAGTCCAAACTGACCGCCGTACATAAACTTGTCGCAAGGGTCCTTGGGATCTTTTTCCTTCGGAGATGCAAAGAGAACCATGTCGATGAATGTTATTAAAATAGAAGGCGCACAGTGAGTGCTGTAGGGATCCGGGTTGGTCGCTGAATATGAAGACCACTTAATGAACATCATCAGACACATATACAGGAATAAGCACACCAAGAAAAAAACCTGGGGTATGAACTCGTAGATTACATTAAGCGATCTTTTGAAGTAAAGATGGTTTTTCAGACTGACAATTACACCGAACAACATTTGGATTATACCGAATATGATTGATATCTTCATTTTGTAGGAGTTCAAAAATATGATCTTGTTTTCTGCCAGCTGCCAGACAGGGTCCATACCCAGAGGATACGGGTGTCCAACGTAATCTGGCTTCGGGTCTAGAGAGAGACCTTTGTTGGTGTTGATGGTCTTCCAGTCTAGGTTTACCTCCCAGTAGGAACCGAATATGTTGAGAGATTTTGAGAAGATGTCGTTGTATATAAGCCCGGTGTACATGGAGAACAACCCCATCAGGAATATAATGTAGCGACCGCCAAAGAAGATGTTCCAGATTTCATTATCAGATTTTTGAGCTGATAGAGGTTTTTCCTTCAAGATCATCCAGAGACCAAAAAAGAACATTATCGCGCCGTGGCCGCAATCTCCAAACATGACTGCGAATAAAAATGGAAAGGTGACAATGGTGTAAGGCGCGGGGTTCATCTCGCGGTATGATGCCACTCCGTAAGCGTCGATCAGTGCTTGGAACCCTTTGGTAAATTTATTCGTACGATTATAAGTCGGCGGATCTTCGAACGACTCCATGCGATTCAAAATTGGAGGCACTGAACTTCCACTACGTTCCTGTTTGACAATAATTTAGTTTTTATTGATTGAATATTGTAAATTATTATTAGTGTTATTAAGATTTTGATTTAATACCGTTCCACGACGTAGAGCCAACTGGATTGTCTCAATATCGAGCACAGGAACCCAACACTCGGCGATCAGACATTTTTGTGTAACGTCAAGATTGAACAAGTTTAGTGTGTGATAAATAGCTTTAATTTTTCTGACTTTGATGAACCAGTTCTTAAGATTTTTTGCTGCTGCTACAAGCACTCGGTGACGGTGATCTTGAGTTTGGCCAAGTACCTGATGAATGGTATTTAAATTAATCATTTTAAAATTAAGTGATTAATTTAGAATATAAATCTTAATTCAAAAACTATAAATAAGTAATTATGAAAATATTAACTGATAAAATTCTTTATAATTTAACAATTGAATACTAATTGATTGAATCACTGATAATAATTGTTAAAATTATGTAAAATTATTTTTTTTTTAACTAATTAAATGAAATTATCAACAAAAAATCTTACAGTATTTAAATCTTCTATACGTGTCATGACACCCATTGCCATTTCACGTCTGTCAGCAGGAGCTTCAGGGCATGGGTAAAGAGTTGCGCGAAATCCTTCACAGATTTTCTTTACACGAGTTTTCAATTGATCTCCTTGGAAGAAAATGATGAAAACTGATTTGTAGACTTGGTCACTCTAAAAAAAAAAAAAAAAAAAAAAAAAAAATAATAATAATAATAATAATAATAATAATAATAATAATAATCATTATTCATATACTAATTTTAATTATAAATTACATTAAGAAGTTACTCACTGTTGATGGATCCTCCAAAGGAGATTCAATTTCAGCTTGACGTAAAAATACATTTCCTCTGCATGCTCGCCATAACATTCGCTCAAACGCCGGTATTCTTTCTCTCAGAATAACACCAGCGACAAAACTAATTTTTAAAATAAAAAATAAATATTAATTTATGAATAATTTAATTAACTATAAATAATATAATTTCTAAGGACTGGGATTTGTTAGTAAGGAGTTTTTTTTTTTTTTTTTTTCAAATTGTTAACGATGAAAAATCGGCACGTCGTCATTGCATTGGAAAAATAAAAAGTTCTTCTATATGCTCTTACACTCCATCAGTGCCCTAGTCTATTTTCAATCTGTATCGATTAATTTTATTAATTAAAATTTATGATTTATATATATTTATAAAAATATGAATGAATAAAATATATATAATAAAAATGAAGCCATTGGAAGTGAATATTTTAATAAAATTAATGATGATCTTTTTACGTAGCCATGGAGAAAATTAATTTGTTTTACATACCTTGTAATTAACAAATAATTACAAATAAAAGTAATAATAATTTAAATTGATATTAAATATTAAATAAAATAAAAAATGCTTTAAATAAAAAATATAGCAATAATACATAAATACTGACAAACAAATAAATATAAATAAATAATAAGTAAAACCCACACTTAAAAATAATTACTCAAACAACTAAAATCTACTTTTACAGTTTAGATTTTTTTTTAACGATACAAATAAACGCGAGGATGCAGATAAACAAACTGTTGATTTTTATGAGTAAAAAAAAGAGTAATGTGATGTCTGATGTGTAAAAATGTTTTGATGTAAGTTTATATCGATGCTGTAAAAGATTTTAGAGTACTGCTAAGAGAAATTTTGAGACTAAAAATATTTAATATCTCGAAGTAGAAGATTTATTGATTTTTTTTTTGGTAATCGACCACATGAACTTTGAAAAATTAATATCATTTTGTAGAATTGATTAGTTAGAGAATAAATTGTAAATCAAATAAAAATTACTTATCTTAAACAAATATCTACTTAACGAATCAATAAATTTTCCATTAAGTAAATACAGAATTATTTACTTGAATCTACACTTTTTCTGTCAGGAAATTAAAGTGCCTACATATATTTTACTATAATAATTATTATGATTGTAAATCTTTTAGATTATATTATCATTTATACTTTCATTTAATTAATATCGATAACAAGTGTTCAAATTTTTTAGTTAAAATTATATTAATATAAATTAATAATTCCAAGCTCAATTTTTCAAAGTTCATTAGTACAGATCCAATCCCTGAAATCCAGATTAAAAATAATATTAATAATAAATATTTTCAGTCTCTTATACTCCTAAAAATAATTGTTTGACTAAAAATGTTAATGTAAATAAATATTTTTTTGGGCATTAGACAGAGGTGAAAGCAATACAGATATTCAATAATCCGTGCTTTTACAATAAAAATCTACGAATACATTCCAACTCCATTAGATTTATATCTTTTAAAATTATATTTAATAGTAATAGTAATCTACGGTATCAATAAAAACAATTTACCACATTTAATATAATTTAAACAATCTACTGAATATAATCAAGGAATAGGGACACACGTTTAAGTAAAGCAATCACTAAACATTTATATTTAAAAGTAATAATATTACCAGGATAGATGAGAGATTAATAGTTAATAATTATAACGATAATAAATTATCAGAAATAGAAATAACTTTACCAGGTTGACTGAAGTTTTCTGAAATAATTAACAATTAATGTAATTTTTTGTCATTGCTGATTAATTCTGGGTAAGGACCAGAGAAGAAGATTCAAGATAGTCAATTTAAGATTTAAGATTTAAGATTTAAGATTTTAGACTTAGACAGTAGGGCAATACAAGTAACAAGTGGCAAGTGGTAAATGTTAAGTCAGGTGGTTTGTTTGTTATTTATTTGAACAGAAGGATGAGAGAAGGTACGTACCCCAACTGGACAGGACCAAGGGCGGACTGGCGGGCGATATTATCATCACTAATCAACGCGCGTGTCATGGACTCGGTGGGGTTCAAGCCTGCGTGCTCTTGCTGACGACACAACAGACAAGACACAACCACATTAACACACTGTATTTATTTACACCGGACCACAACTCAATTTTTTATTTTATTAACAATTAATTAACAAATTATAAATTTATGCTAATTTTAATCTTTAATTATTTTTATACTTAGTTATTTCTTATCAAATAATTAAAGATTAAATTTATTACCAATATAAATAACAATGTAAATATAAATTGCCGTTTAAGCAATAAATATTTTTAAAAAAATTCTGAAAATAATTTTATAAAAAATTATGTTTGTGCTTTTTAAAAATCCATTGGCATTTTATTTTTAAACGGGCCCGATGTAATAGTTAGTAAATTTTGATTTTTTTTTTTTTTTTTTTTTTTTTTTTTTTTTCCTATTATTAACTACTAGGTCACACAAATAAACAATGACAAAAATCTGAGGCTATGCAGGTACACAAAAATAAAATTAAAAAAAAAAAAAAAGCATCAAGACAAGACATAAGACATGGTGCTATGGCAAAACGAGGCTTTTTTTATCATATATTTTAATAGTTAATAATATATAATTTAAAATATATGATAAATAAATTGAAAATGAAGAGACAAGTGCTAAGAAATGTTAATTGGAATAAATATATGTGAATATACATACCCATGGCCACCATCATCATCTATTATTTTAATTATTAATAATACTTCCTTGCTTTATATAATTTAATTTTAAATTGTTATTCACATGGCTTTATAAATAAACTATCTATTATTTTAAAAGTGAATCGAAGCTATTGAGCTAGTGATTTTGTTTTATTCTATGGCTGCCATTTAATTGCTGATTTTATTCGATACAGCTTGAAATTTTTAACTATCATTATTAATATTTTATTATTGGTTTTAATTACACATGTCAAACTGTATCAACTGTTATAGTTTGTGTAAAAAAAATTTGTAACTAAAAGCTAACTATTAGATTGTTAATTTTAGTTTAAAAAAAAAATTTAGCCACGACACTCAGACAATCTCTAAGTACACAATTCGGATTATTTCATTATAAGAATTTCAATTTCTTTAAATTAAATTTAATTGCTATGTGAAAAATTTTAATTAAAAAAAATTTAATTGCTCAAGAAAGACAGACTTGTGTACTTGTAGATGAAAACATGAAATAAAATAAATAAAAAAATCTTGCGAAAGAAATATGGGCAAACATATTAAAAAAAAAAAATAACGGTTGATAACAGCTTGCCTGAGGGGATTCCTATAGTGACTTCCTACGGTGTCTTCAGCAGTGTACAGGTGCTGCAATTATACAATACACTGACTTATTGTGCTCAATATTAAATAAATCACAAGCCTCGTGGTGCACCATATGTATTATTATCTATTGTTTAAATTTTGTGAATATGTTATTTAACTGTGAATTTATTTTCAATTCAGTCAATTTAAAAAAAAAAAAAAAAAAAAAAAAAAAAAAAAAAAAAAAAAAAAAAAAATGAAAAATAAATTGATCGACTGCCTGATTTTCCAAATAATAATTAAATTTTTTGAAAATAGATTTTAGGATAGGACTCTAGACCGAGATCACACTGTGCAGTGCATAAGTGAGTTTTGAATTTTTTATATGATAACATGCATGTGATATTCGGTCATGTAAATTTTAAATAGTTTAATGATCTTTGATTTTAATTTATCAAATGATGTTGATAAATTAAATAAAGATTGTAAGACTTTGAAATGAGCACCACAATTAATTACCCGAGTTTAAGAGCCTGGCCGCCAGCGCGGAGGCCCTCCTCACCCAAAAGAGTTACTTGTTCTTCTTCGCGGCTTGGGTCTGCCATCTGTGACATGACATCTCCATATTCAGCATTTTTAATTTTTATTTTATTAATACAAATTACTTTTATTTTAAATAACCTCAACAAAATAATCGATGAAAAATTTTATAACTCAAATTAATTAAAAACTATGGAATGAATTGTTTATAAATTTTCTAACGTAAAAATTGATATTTTTTTAGTATCACCATAAACGGTTATAAAATAAAAATAATTCGTATTAATTATTAAAACACTGCAACAACATTGTTAGTTGGCAACACTAACATTAATCCTAAAATCACTCAATTATTATTAAAGAAATAATTAATTAATTAATGTATTAATAATCATAACATTAAACATTGTGTCTGAGACACTTAATTAAATGTGTCTATTAATTACCATGTAAAGATTAAAAGTACTTAGTAGGTGCGGTGCTAGATTTTTGACATGTTTATTAATTAAAAAATAAAATTCATCTTGCGTGAATTGCGCTTAGCAGAAATAAACTTTCATAATAAAACAAACATTGAGCCAAATGCTTGATTTGCAGCGAGCTTAGATTCATGCTCATTCATCATAAAACAATTAGCCACTCATACTCAATCGGTATAAGTATTGAAAATCAATCTTGCTATTATATGTATCATGTCTATCGACTTGTTAAAAAAAATTAGCCATGGATTTTTCAAAATAGTAATGGTTATAATTAGCCTTGATTAGTTGTAGTACTATTAATATCATATCAAAATGTCTGTAATATAAAATTATTAGATTATTGTTACCTCATCGAAAAAGACCTGGGTCTTGCGTAGAATGTGCTTGAGCTCAGTGAGCTCTAAAAAATTTCTCTTAAGCGCTTCTGCATTCTGATTAACTTCCCGGAGTTCATTTTCGAGTTTCTCGAAGGTCGCCTCTAAGTCGATCATCTCACGAGGTTGTGGAGCCTCCGGATTCTCACCAGTGTCCAACATCGGGATTCCATCTTTTTTAATTTCTTTCTCCAGGTACCGCAATTTACGCTCCATTTCATCGCACCGACGGACTTCATTGACGAATTTACGTTGGAATGCATTTACGTCAGGATTTAACTGCAATAAGTTATCAAATATTTTATCGTTATTTACTAACAAGTAAATGCATTGATAAATTTACGTTAAATATTATTTTTATCTTTCAAAAAAAATTTATTAAGTCATATATTTATTTCAATTTTTAAATATTAATGCTTGGATTATTTTTTAAAAATTATTTAAATTTAATAAATAAATTTAATTTTAGATATAAATTTTTAAAAAATAAAAGAAAAGTTTTTATTTGGGCGTGTAAATTGTTCAAGGTTCTCTGTCTAGTCATATGACTCGGTACTAATTACTTGAGTAAGTAAAATACTTGCTCGTCGAAATAACTATATGGACTATCCATAATAATAATAATAATAATAATAATAATAATAAAAAGAAGAAGAAGAATGATAGCAATGTTTCGTGATAAGAATAAAAATGTAAATAATTATAAAAAATATACTTACATCGCGAAATTGGACAAGTCCAAGTTCTCCCAATTCAGAAACACAGGCATAAGCAGCTTCACTTTGCAAAAAGAGCTGACACAAGGTCATTTCCTCACTCCGGAAAAGCGAACCCATCTTCTTAGCTTAATCCACGTAAATCTACAATCATAAAACGCTGAATAAATATTTGAGTTTAATAAAACTAACAGATAAGAATTAAACTGAACAAACTGAGCGAAACGTACAGAGATATTGTAAATATATATCGGATAAGGTATACTGTATACTGTTTGGTGACTAAATGCCCAGATATAAGTAGATATAAATTATAGATTCTGGCTTTTGGGCGATGTCGATTCACGCCACTGCCAGGAATACACTACACAGTTGTCATGTACGTATGAACGGTAAAATATAATCGATAATGGTCGCGCGAGTCACGAGGGATCATCCAGACGCCATTTTTAAAGATTCAATATGGCGCCCACATTACCTGACATCTGGCGGGAAATTTTTGAATTTACAACATTTACTTTTTTTTAATTTTTAAAATTGAAATAAAAAAAATTTTAATGACAGTTCTGATCTTTTAGAAGTAATAAATTATATTCTAGATATTATTTTATTTCAAGGAATAACTCATTACATTTATTAAATATTTTATAAGTATTATTGTCAGAAGCAATTATTGGAAATCTTTTGTTAAAATCTAAATATTTTCTTCTACAGATTCATTTCATAAGTAATTTGTGTTATTTAAAATTATTTATTGATAATTAGTATTTTAAAATAATACGTCAAAGGCGTGAAATGTCATGTAAATAATTTAAAATACTAAAACTATTTTAATTTTTCACAATTATTTTATTAACCAAAATATATTTTCGTGACATTTACCAAATTTTTGATTTTTTATTAGATTGTACAATTTTTCGCTTATTTATATTAAACATTAATCAAAAATAAAAACATTTGATATGAAAGAGAAGTTTTTAGAAGTTCAAAATAAATCTTCAAAATCAGAAACTGGGACACGATCAATAAATGAGTACTTCAATTGATTTTTTTATTTTTAATTAATGTATGAATAATTTAGATTAGTAGAAATATTAAATATCAATTTTTCCTAGAATTTTTTAAATAATTACTATAAAAGTTCTTTGTTTATTAAAAATAAATACTTACTTTTTCAAAATATCTAACAATAACAATAAATGACAAGAAGTAATATCATATTCAATCATTTTTAACATTTGATAATTATTTATTGAGCAATAATAAGATAACTATTTCTTCTTCCTTAGGCAATTAGAATTAACAATTTTATCAAATATAATTACCTAATAATTAATTAAAATATAAAAAATGATTGAATTAAAGATTTTTACAACAAAGAATATTTTATAAAAAACTATAAAAACATTTAACAGGAAAATCATAAAAAAAAATATCTAAACTAAAATATGTTATTTTTATTAAATACAAAAAAGATAATTCAAATGATTAAATGAACAGTATGTACACATGATTAATAACTTAAATGCTAACAATAAATAATAATATCAATACATAAATCTATACATAATAACAAACATTTAAATATATCTCAAAAAAATTTAAACAACCAAAGAACATATCTCTCAGATCATAAATTTAAAGAACAAAAAAAATCAGTGAGATCCATCAAGACTCCAAAGTCACTCAAAAAAAAAAAAAAAAAAATTCACTTTTTCTTCACAACTTTCTTCACCTTCTTCGCAGCTTTCGCTTTAACCGGGCTCTTCTTTACCTTGTTGACAGTTTTGGCCGGGGAGTTGACCTTGACCTTGGAAAGCTTGGCAGCTGGACCCTTGACCGTCTTCTTCTTCGCAGCGATAGGTTTCGCGGTTTTTTTCACAACTTCAACCTTTTTGACAGCCCTGGGACTTTTGACAGCTTTCTTCACAGGAGTCCTTACCTTTCTGACAGTTTTAGCCGGAGTTTTCGGTCTGCTGGTGGTTTTGCTGGCAGGTTTGCCTCCTCGTTTGGTAGCTTCACCATGAACGGAGAGTTTGAAAGATCCAGCGGCGCCTTTTCCCTTGGTTTGGACCAGCCCTCCGCTTTCGACCGCAGCCTTAATATACTTCTTAATAAATGGCGCCTGTTTTTCAGCGTCGACTTTGTAAGTTGTGTTGATGTACTTCTTGATAGCTTGCAGCGAAGATCCGCTTCTATCCTTCAAAGATTTTATCGCGGCGTTCACCATGTCCGCAGTTCGCGGGTGTGTTGGTTTTGACCGCGCTTTTTTTGCCTTAGTCACTGGTTTTTTACCCAACGACATCGTTACCAAGCTGTCAGTCATCTTCACGACTTTTATTTCTTCTTTAGATTGTTTTTTAATCTGATTGATTAATTAATTAATTAATTATTTTTTTTGCAATTAATTTCTCGCAAATTATTACAACTTATAACTGTTGTTGTTAAGCAATAGCACAGAGTTGCTAGAGTCGTTGCGAAGCGCGGACCATGGAGAAAGATCGCGACTGTCTTGTGCGCTATCAAACCGCCGATAGTCCATTCTTGTGGTACCGATTCGCATATATTTTTACTAATTACACTGACTTGTCACGAAAAATTTCCATCAATTATTATTTCTTCAATAATAAGAATATTTTATATCACTATTGCACCAAAAAAATCCCGTAAAATTTATCAGCTAATACGTTTAATTGACGTAAGCTTGAAGGAGTTAAATTGTGCGGCTAGTGCAATCAAAGCTAAGATTCAAGTTATTTAAAATGGGAAATATAAATTTTAAAAAGTACGCAGTGGAAAGTCAAGCGAAGATTCAAGGGCTGCTGGTTCAATAGTTTTTTTTTTTATTTTCCGGAAATTGTTTCTACACCGAGGTCTTCAAGTCACGGATCTGGTGCACTTTTCCGCGGAACTACGCTGCGTTTAATTAACGCGAGGATTTTAATTGGCAAGTATGGTTTTTTTCCGGAGTTTTGGAGAGTTGTTTTGGTTCACTGAGCTGCCAAGGGGTGGGCAAGGAAAATTTTTAGAAAATTTAGAGGGCTTTTTTGTTTATTAAAAATATTTAAACTCGGCCGGCATTGTCGACTTCTGTTTAGATGTTTACTAATATACAACCGGATTATTTAATAATTTGTTTATTCGGCTGGGATTTTAAGAGGGGGTTAGAAAGAAAACAAGTGAAGGTATTGAAAATTAGAGATGTCTGCTGATAAACTTATCAGGTTTGTGAAGAAAAATTTTAGGTGAGTTTTTTTATTAGAAGGTTTTAAAGTAAGGGATTTCTTTGTAAAGATGGTCATTTTTTTTTTTTTTTTTTTTTTTTTTTTTTGTATAAGTAGTTATTAATTAGTTATGAAAAAAAATGTAAAATGTTATTCACATGAAAATTTATAAGATGTAGGATTTGCAAGTTTTTGTTTTTAAATAGAAAAATTAAAATAGGTATTGTAAAGAGTTGAAAGATTCATGAAGAAATTTTTTTATCCTTAAATTTTTTATTTGATAAATAATAATGTTTTATTCTGATTACATTTTATAGAAAATAGCATATATATTACACAATTTCACCGATAGCGTCCTTTGACAAAAAAATGAATTGTTTTAGAGATATATTTTTATGTACATTTTTTTATAAGACAGTAAAGTTAGCAATGGATATTAAATTTGTGTATTAAGGAAGAATTTGCTTAAAAAGTTAGTCAATTAATTAATGATATATTTCAATTTTTTAATTTTTTATTCATTAATTAAATTAGAACTTATAAAATATTTTTTTTTGTATAATTTTGTCAATGAATGAAATTTTTAGATATCTGCTAATTTCAGTGGCAAATTATCGATTTAATACACATAATTAATATAAAAAAATTGCATTGAAAAATTAATAATAAAAGATGAACCTTTCAGTGTAATTTCTTCATTACCATTATTATTTTATTTATATTTTTAATTCAAAGATAAGAATGAACTTCAAAGAACTTTTTTTAATGAATTTAATTTTTTAATTACTCAAATTTGTAAAGTATTTATTTTTTAGATTAAACATTAGAAATAATTATATAAATTTATCCTATTTTTTTTTTTTTTTTTTTTAATGAACTATAAAAAGAAGGATAACAACTAATTTCCAAAAAATAAAATTAGCAATAAATGTCAATTATTATAAAATGTAGATTGTAATGATTAATGAAATTAAAATAAATTAGAGATAAATTAAAAAGAGCGTAACCAGAGAAACAAAACAAGCCCACATTTATATTATTAATATATAAAAAAAAAAGTAATAAATCTCAAAGTGAGAGTATTTTACATTGTTGTGTTTGATATTACATTTTTCAACATGTGTATATAAATATTTTTTTATATTTTATATTGACGTTCATTAATGTTATAAACAGAGTGGGAAAAGTAAGTGGTATATAGAAATTGTAATAGTAAATTATGAGCTACTAATACACGCAATTAACAACTGTATTGTTACACACTCAGTAGTGTGAGTTTGTAAACGATAAATGTGTGAGTGTTTAGAAATAAAAGAGAAAGATCCTTGGTGCACTATAGCTGCTGCCACCATCCACCATTCGTGATAATCAAGATCATTTGATATATCGGACGCGAGTAGTGCGAATCTCTTTGTTTCTACTCAGCCGCTGAGTTGTTTAAATATAAATGTTAAATTACTAGTTCTTTCAATTAGTCACCGACTATTGAATCATTTGCACTTCAAATAAAATACTTTGTGTTTCTTTTAATATTTACAAAACATTGTCAAGTTTTTAATAAATAAAACTACAATTCAAGTTTTAAAGTCAGATTTTTTTTGGTAGTCTAATTAGTAACCATGGGTACTAGACAATCAAAATTATCTAAAGATTTGTCTACAATACCACCAGGAAAATTTTCTCCGTAAGTTTTTTTTTTTTTCAATTAATTACATTTTGGAGTGGAAAACTTTGTATAGTAATTTTGTTTTTAATTATTGCGTAAATTGCTGATAAAAGTAGCGAAAAAAATTATAATATTACTTTAGTAATAATTTAAAATTGTAAAATAAATAGATTACATATTGTTGTAAATTTTTATTTTTAAACTCTTAAAGTTAATGTATGAAAAATTATAAAATTAAAGAATCAATTTTAAAAATTTTTACAATTATTAAAATTTAATATACTTTATTAAAAAATGAATTGAAAATTCATCGGCGCTCATATTCATTTTCTATAATTAATAACAGCCAATAATTATTAATAAAAACTATAAATTATCACAACTAAACTTCATTATAAAATTATCATAAACAATAAAAAAAAATCCATATTTTTTCCTGAATAAAAAATGCAAGGCAAACATAAATAATGATCTGGCAGTTTATGAAATAAAAAAAATATCAACAAACCTGATAAGTATCTTGATTCAAATTCGTGTGAAGTGCACGTAAACACAGACAATCAGCTGACTAGTTACGCGCTTTACAATTTTGTTGTTTTGAATGTAAAAAACTATCTGTAAAGACCTAAAAAGTAAAAAAACTATATTATTAAACAAAATTACAAAACTTTATAGATAATTACCGTAAGGTCACTTGAATTGAACTTTGTCTGTTATAATTATTTCATTAACTTCCTTCAATTGAATCATCTGAAACTAGAAGATGTTTAAAAATTTTATTAAAAGTTCATTACCGATACTTAACTGTTTAAAATGTCGGCAACTAAACAGGTAATTGATTTTTTTATCTCTTCCAACTGATAAATAAATAAATAAAACAATGTTTAAATTAAGACGCATGCGCTTTACCGTATTTGTACTATTGCACATCTATATCTATGTTATAGATGTGTAGGTACAATACTTACGTATAGTACTTGTGTTATGAAGAGGAGTAAAACCGAACGATCCTTTAGCTTTAATAGCTTTAGCTCTTTTCCCCACCACACGCCCTTCAAAAACGTCACGTACGTATAAAACCCACCACGTCGACGTAGAACGCTGAATATCTGTTGACTGTCGGGGTCGTACTATGTACATTTTCATTTGACGAGCTCTACTCAATAGAACCCGGAAACTTGCTCCGAGTACTTCACTCACGTCACTTTTACTCTCACTCAGTTACTTAATAACTTTTTTTTACTCCTAAAATTATATTTATCAATATTAATTATTAAGTTATCAATTATTTATAGAGTACGCGAAAATACTCAGGAGTTTCGTAAAACTAGAAATTTACACTTGCCTACGAATAATTTACCAACCATGGAGCGGGATCAGTTAGGACAACGTGGACCAGGTGATGAAATTTCGGCGAATCTTATACGTGGGCTTGATCACCTTCGTAATCCTCAATTAAATAAGGTAAGTCTTGATAATTTCAATAATTATTTATTATTTTTAAAAATTATTTATTCACTGATAATTTATTAATTTATTTTTTTAAGAGGTGCGACAAGTTATACGTAATATTAATTTATCAAATTTAGTTCTACAATTTTGACTGACTCATCATGACATTAACGTTAGTAAAAAAAATGCATACATATGTATTGGTGTATCGATTAACCGAGCGGTTAACACGTGGAAAATTTTATTTATTTAAAATTATTACATTAATATCATAATATTATTTAAATAATATAAAAATAAAAGTAATGTATAAGTAATTTCAAATGCGACCTTGAAGTAAATTTATATACGTTGCATCATATAGACACATAAAAATGAAATCATACATATAAACAATTAAAAAAAAATTGATTTTACTGAAAAATTAATTGTAGAAAAACGCGGAAAATTCCTGTATGAGTTTTTGAAATTGTTTTTCATTACTACAGACAAAGAACAATTAAATTAACAATAAAGGTCTGTTGATTAACCCCCGACGAACAAAGTTCACTTGACTAAATGTTTAAATTAAGAAATTCTAAATTTTATTATGATTATCAATTGTAAGTAAGATGGGCCAGATGAAATATTATATTTTAAAATATTTTATTTAAAATAACGTATAGATATTTTTATTTAAGTATCGATCGACCTGGAGAGCCTTAGCAGGTTTACAGGTACAAAGAAACATCACACAGCAACGGTATCTACGGACATTTAGAAGCCTTCGTGTACTCCAACCTGGCATGGGGTTGAACCGTTGGCCATTAATTTTTCTTGGCGTAGTCCACGAAGGACTAGACTTACTTTAGTACCTGACCTGTCCTGAATAGACAGTACTGCAGTTTCTAGAATTTTCTTTAATTAAATATTTTATAGATAAATTGTGAGAGTTTTTTCGTTTCTTTAAAATTTTTTTTAAATACTAAAAAATGGACAAAGATTGGTGGACGTTTGTTTCTAAAGAAAAATTATGGATAAGTATACCTGAAGCACTTTTGTCAATTGACGGACGGGTAATTTTAGTTCATTATTGCTTGTAATTAAAATATTTACTAAGTATTTTTTATATTATCTACCCACAGGATAATTGTTGTTCAATTAGTCAAACTGCTTATGATATTATTTATCGTTATATATATATATATCTTAAAACTCAATAGATTATGAGGAGTTATTTTAAATGATAGTATCGAGTGTAATAACGACCTTGATGGGTTTGTAATTGTACTTTCTCGGAACTCGTTACTTTTAATGTCCGTGAAAATGAAATTTAAATGAAAGTTTTTCTCGTTACAGTTACAGTAGCAAGTACCAGGTTATTGTTTTATTTTTTTCATTTTATTTATTAAAATGGATGAGTAATTTTTATAATGATTGATCCAATGTAAATATATGATTCAATTTATGTGTATTAAAATGGGGTCGTCAACATCGGAACAAAGAGGGTCGATCGATTGAATTGCTAAGCTCTGTGAAAGTATTTTATTTGGCCTATCAGAAAGTAACAAAAGGAGTTTTTAATAATTGAAATAAATTATAAAATAATAATTTTAATAATAATAATAATTATAAAAGTTGTTTAGAATTATCAATAATCTTTTGATTACAATTGATTATTCAATTTAGAGATAATATTTGAATACTTTCTAAATAGATTTAAAGTATAAAATATATTTATCATTGAATAAATTACCGACGAAATTTTAAATTACAATAGTTTATTAATTTAAAAAGTAGGTCAGATTTTGTAATTGCCATAAAATGAAAATTGGACAACAAAAAAAATAATACAAAACGGATTAAATAAAATCACAAAAGTAACTTATAATTAGACACTAGTTTATCGCGGTCCTATGATAGAAGTGTTAATTTTTTTTTTTTTTTTTTTTTTTTTTTTTTTATCGCATTCTTTTCCAAGGTCATTCGTGGTTAACACGGTCATGTGTATATAGTTCCAGTTTTATTTGGGTATTAACCGTTAAACACTTCCGCATCAACTGGCGTACTAATCTTACGCGATATCGCTACGTTGCGTCACAAGAATAATAACTCATACCTCTAAAATGAAAAGTACCTAGATTAAAATTGAATCAAAAAATAATTTACTCAACTTAAATCAACAATAGATAGTAATTATTTAAAAAACCTTGCTCTAGAAAACAAGGATCCTTTCAAAATGGCCTGAGGCCTGACATCAATCAAAAATAAAAAGTGTATCCTTGCATTGTCTTTGTAATTTTAGATTTAAGATTTCAGATTATGCTGAAAAAAATTAATTGTTTGTCGTTATTACATTTTACCAAGGTTATTTATGTCTTTATCAGTTTTTTACTGGTTATACATCAAGGTCAAGAAATATCAATGCAATCAATTGTTTCTTTAATAATAAATATTAATGATTTTTTGATAAGCGGAAAATTTCTTCATGCATTTATAAAATTAATACTTATTTTATATAATTTTTTTTTATGGAATTATTAATTTCTTCAATGCAAAAAAATTATTAAAATTTGTATATTTTATGAACTACAATATTTCTACAATTAGGTTACCACTTCCTATCTAAAATATCAAAAGATACATCAGCTGATGTAAGCTTTACCATTTTTTCATCACAAAACCATACTTGTAATAATACAAATTAGCTAAACCTCAATTTAGAAAGTTTTTATGAATTTTTGAGCAATATTCTGGTTAATAAAAAAAAAAACTAGGTCGGAAGTAGGCGTAGAATTAATAAAAATTAATAATCTTACAATAAAAACACTAATTAATAATTGCAGAAGAAATATCAACAATGAACTTGCAAAAAATTGTTGAACTAAACTTGAAGTAAATTTCTAATTACTAATTATGAAAGTGTAATTAAGAACGCTGGTGTAGATTTTAATTAAATGTAAAGCTATAATTTTTGATTGTTAATTTTATATAAATTAAAAATACCTAATAAATTTCAGGGCATGGCGTTCAGTATTGAAGAAAGACAAATCCTGGGGATCCACGGTCTACTTCCAGCAGCAGTAAAAACCCAAGAAGAGCAACTGGAACTGTGTCGGTTGAATTTAGATCGTTACACAGACGATCTGTCTAAATACATTTACTTAACCAGCTTACTCGTTCGTACTTGTTTATATACACCACAATGTCACTTTCGTGACATTTAATCCTAAGATAAACAAACAAAATTATTACGTTAAAAATATTAATAACAGGATAGGAATGAGCGTCTGTTCTACCGTTTGCTCGGCGAGAACGTCGAGAAGATGATGCCTCTGGTCTACACACCAACTGTCGGGCTCGCGTGCCAGAAATTCGGTCTAATCTATCGGCGTCCCCGGGGTCTCTTCATCAGCATTCACGACAAGGGGCACGTGTACGACGTGGTGAAGAACTGGCCTGAACACGATGTCAGAGCCGTGGTAGTTACCGACGGTGAGAGGATTTTGGGTCTCGGTGATCTGGGTGCTAACGGGATGGGCATTCCTATTGGAAAACTCTCCCTGTACACCGCGCTGGCAGGCATTAAACCTCACCAGTGTCTTCCAATCACTCTGGACGTTGGTACCAATACTCAGTCTCTTCTGGATGATCCTCTCTACATCGGACATCGGCATCAGCGAGTCACTGGTCAAGAGTACGATGATTTTATCGACGAGTTCATGAAAGCTATTGTCAAGCGCTACGGCCAGAATACTCTGATCCAGTTTGAAGATTTTGGAAACAGGAATGCATTCAGATTGCTGATCAAATACCGCGATCATTACTGTACTTTCAATGATGACATCCAAGGTACTGCTTCTGTTGCTGTTGCCGGTTTATTAGCTTCTCTGAGAATTACTAAAACAAAATTGGCTGACAATTCTATTGTCTTTCAGGGTGCTGGAGAGGTAATTTTATTGATTATTTTTTTATATTTTAAATAAAATCAAGCCCAAGATTTTTTCCGAAAATTTTAATCTTACAAAAAAAGTTATTATGAAAAAGTTGTTAAAAATTTTATTTAAAAAAAAAAGAAAAGTGTCTCTTATAATTTTTTTTTTTTTAATCAACAAAAGAAAGCCGCTTTTTCAAAATTCAAATTGGTGCTAATTATAGAAACTTTAATTTTGAAATTTTGGCTTTCTTATTGGTCTTAAGAAAAAATTATGATACTTTTTTTATAAAATAAAATTTTTAAGTCAAAAATTCTAATCAACGTTGAATAAAATAAAATAAAATAAAATACTTTACAGGCCGCACTAGGAATCGCCGGGTTATGCGTCATGGCAATGATGAAAGAAGGAATAAGCGAAGAAGAGGCAATCAGCAAGATCTGGATGGTTGATTCTAAAGGATTGATTGTTAAAAATCGTCCTTCTGGTGGAATTACCGAACACAAGGCTAAGTTCGCCCGTGATCATGCTCCAATTGATACATTAGTTGAAGTAGTGAAGACAGTGAAGCCCACGGTATTGATCGGAGCCGCTGCAATTGGTGGTGCCTTTACTAAAGAGATTCTTCATGATATGGGAGAATTCAACGAGAGACCAGTTATCTTTGCTTTGAGTAACCCTACTAGCAAAGCTGAGTGCACTGCTGAAGAAGCTTACACTGCAACAAATGTAAGTTTTTATTAATTACTTGATTGATTGATTGATTGATTGATTGATTGATGGGAAATTATCAAGATATTTATTGAATTTATTTTATTATAGGGACGTTGTATATTCGCAAGTGGATCTCCCTTTGATCCAGTGACTTTAAATGGAAAAACTTACCATCCAGGACAAGGAAACAACAGCTATATCTTCCCAGGTATTGCTCTTGGTGCTATTTGCGCTGGTATGAAAACAATCCCTGAAGAAACATTCCTCGTTGCCGCTAACGCTCTTGCGGATATTGTCACAGTAGAGGATTTAGATTCTGGAAATTTGTACCCTCCACTTAATCACATTCGGGATTGCTCGCTTAAGATTGCTGTGAAAATTATGGATTACGCGTACAATGAATGTAAGGATTTTTTTTTTTTTATTAATTTTTTTAGTTTAATGCTCAGAATTTAATTTAATTGAAATAATTATTTCAGCTTTGGCAACCGTACATCCTCAACCGGAAAATTATAACGAGTTTATTAACGCTCAATTGTATGATACTGATTACAAAACTGCACTACCTGTTACGTATTCATGGCCTAAACTTTAAAAATTTATTATTGATTTAAAATGATAAATAATGAAGTTGTTAAATATTTAGAAATAGAAACAATGAAAGTAATTCACAAAATAATTTTAAATTAATGAACAAAAATTAATAATATATTAATATCGATCTGACTGAGTTTAATTTTGAAAAGTATATTTGTAATGAATTATTATTATTATTATTATTATTATTAATATTTATTACTTTTAATTAGCTATCACATGATATTAATTTATAATTTTATGTACAGAGGAAAATAAAGGTTTATCAAGTTAGAAGAATCAATAAAATTTTTTAATTATTAAATAGTAAATTTTTTTAAAAATGCATTAAGATTCTTTAAAGAAAATTTTTATTTTAATACAATTACACTCGATGTCAGTTAATTTTTTTATTTAATCCATATCACTACAAATTGATAATTTTATCAATTTCAAGTATTTACAAACAGACAAGTGTTAAAATACAATCTTTATCAGTAACAATCAGTTGTCTGTTATCTGTTATTTATCATATTTAATTTTAATTAAACACTTATAAGTTGATAATAACAAATTTATTTTTGATTATAAATAAACGATGAATGTATAATAATTGAGAAATTTAAAAGAATTATTGTTTCTCCCAGACATCTATTTGTGCAGACATTTTATTCTTAAGTAATTAATAATTATAATTATTATTTTAATATTAATAAATTTTAAACTATTTTAATAAACGAGTTTAAGATTCACATTCGTCCATACTTGTCTCTTTTTATTCAACAATTTACAACAAACAAAAATAATTAATTAATCATATTACTTATTCCTGCATGAAAAGTTAAATCCCTTATTAATAAAATTATTTTATTATTAATTATTAAATTTTACTCAAAGCATTATTTTGTAAATATCATAATAAAATAAAGAAGGGATAATGTACAGAAAAAAAAAAAAAAAAAAGCATTATAAAATATTTCCTTAATCTCATAAATTTAATTAATCCTCACTTTCACCTTTTGTTATTAAATATCTAAATTATCTTTCTCAATAGAACTTTTAGTATCAGTTTAGAAAACATTTTACTAGCAATAACTGTAGACACGCTAATACATTTTATCAATAGTAGTGAGCCTTACGCCACGGGTATCAAAAAAAGTGTGTCAATACAGTTGAAACAGATAAAAAAACAGAACAAACAATTATCCTTGGGGACACTGTGTCCCGAATATTAATTTCATCGTGAAAGCGAATGTGATCGTTCATGAGGAGTAGTTTGAGCATCACCGCCGGCTCTCGCATCCGAGATTCTCTGCGAAGCCGGCAACGCATCGAAAAACGGATGCGTTAATGCATCTTCAAGTGTAATACGCTCTGTTGGTTCGTAATCCAACATGTGTTGAATTAAATTAAACAATTGTCGGTGATCTCCTTCGTCTGATAACATATAACGCTGTAAAAAAAAATTTTTAATTCACATAATTAATAAAAGTAAGTACTAAGATAAGCAATCGGACTAATTTAAATAAATTAATTCTTACGTGTAATGGTTTACAATTATCCCTGACGTATCTACCAGCAGAACTTTTATCATCCCACTCCAACTTTCCGTGGTAAAAGTATTTAGTTTTAGTTTTCCTAGCCATACGATGAGGTATCGTACCCAATATACGTTCCATCATAGCGAGATGTTCACGATTGTCATGTGTTTGAAATAGAGTTATACCCAAATATAATTCAAATAATATGCATCCAATGGACCATACATCGCACGGTTGTGACCATCCGAGTTCTGCAAAAAGTAAATTAATAATAGAATCACTGTTGGAGTATCATCAAAGATCACTCATGCACTTACAAACACATAGTTACTATCTTTTTATAGTTTAATAACGTCTTACGTTTACGCTTGTACCTCACTTAAACATGCATGTATACATACTTATTAGTTAAGAGTAACACTTAAAACAAATCGACTCAGTGAATGCGTCGTCGTCGTCGTAGTATTTAAATAATGTTATGTGTTAAAAAAAGAACTAACCGAGAATAACTTCAGGCGCTCGGTAATGTCTCGTGCTGACGATCGTACTGTGATGCTCGTGATCGAAGGTCGCACTGCCAAAATCTATCAACCTTATATCTGTCCTCTTCACACGACGTACGTCTCTCCGCTTAAACAAAATACACTTTATTTTTTTAAATAATTTATGCTCTATTATCCGCTAAGCGCTATTCATTTATTGACGAAAGAAAATGTCACGTGTTTTTTTTTTTTTTACCTTTCTTAAATATAAATTTAATCTTTATTTTTCAATAATTGTTCACATTACCTTTTTATTGTTGTATGTAACTTCATATTCAGAATCTACGAAGAGTATATTTTCGGGCTTTAAATCAGTATGAGTTAGTTTATTGTCATGAAGAAATTTAACTGCATAACAGAGCTGGTAACCCATGTGTCGGACATGATCTAATGGATACGGCTGATAATTATTGTCTCTCTGTAAAAATATTAAGCGGACAATTAATTTACAATTATCGTAACTTATAAGATGATATATTTCAAATTTTTTTTCTTACAATACATACCAAGAAATCAAATACACTAAGCCCAAGCATTTCAAATGCGATACACATATGTCCATGGTAGTTGAACCAATCCAACATTTTTACGCAAAGACTTTAAAAAAAAAAAAAAAAAAAAAAAAAAAACATGGATTATTACAATTCTTAAAATTATTATTATAAATTTCAGGTAGTTCAGTACTCACACTATAATTTTTGATAAACCACCAATTTTTTCAATACATTAAAGTAAAAATTTTCAATATGAATATAAAAATTTGAGGTCAAGTGTGAGTACTTTGGCTACCAAACTACCTTATATTAAAATAAAAACTTACTGATGACCATCAGGATCTTTGGCAGCTATTTTTTCAAGAGCATTTATTTCAAGTTTAGCTGCTTCGCGGTATTTTTCAACATTTTTTATAATTTTTAATGCCATTACGTGATCCCTAAATAAAAAAAAAATATTTATATTTATAATTGATTAAATAATAGTTAGTTAATATTTGAGTCTTAAAATTGGATCATCATTTTAGGCGCAAGGCCAGTCTTTAATTACAAACACAATCTCTTCGCAACTAGACTATGAATATAAAATAGTATGACTATAAAGCATCAATTCATAAAAAATTAAATCTCTATATTCCTGCGAATATCAACTTACATTTGCAAATCCTTAACCTTGACAACTTTTCCAAAAGTACCCTCTCCAAGGGTGGCCAGTACTTTATCTGTAATAGTAAGAAATAAATATTAGTGAACCACGTTTAAATTAGACTTCACGAGGTGCAAATTATTTCAATTAAATCGTTCATTTTCCTTGACTCTAAAACTTATTGAGATTAAAACTAATCAAAATTATAAATTTCATCAACAAGTATAAAATCATAATTGCTATTTTTAGTGTCAAAGAAATAAAAAAAATATATTTTTTACTTGCACTCGTTCAGTCGATTATTAAAATTCGTGCGCAGCAATTTTTTTTTCTTTATTATTTATTTAGCTGCATGTACGGTAAGAATTTAATAATTATCTTCACGAAAAAAAAAATTACAAATTTATATTGAACTTTATGAAATGTCTTTTCATTCATTTAACGGACGATCAATAATTTGTCTTAGTCATTGCCTCTAGTGCTAAAAATTAATAATTATCAATCATGTGAATAAAAAAACAACAGTAAAATTAGATGACAGAGACAAAATATTTAAAATTATTATTTAGACGTCATAATTTAATTTATTTCCTTTAAATGAATTCAAATATTGTCAACGTCTTAATAATATCTGCGCGCTATTTCAACAACGCGATCCATTTTAATTACAATTGATGGCATCTGAAAAAGGTGATTATTAAAAAAAAAAAAAATATATATATATATTTATATATAGGCAATTAAATAGCTTATTTGATACCGATTATCTCTAAAATTTATTTTCTTAATTTTCAACTATATTATATTAAGCTAAGTAATTCTACGTCAAAAAATTTAGCTCAATACTTTTCTAAAAAAATTTTTAAATGAAAAATAAAATTGAAAAAAAAAAAAAAAAAATATATATATATATATAACAAAATTGAATTCGCGTGACTCGCAAAAAATCCAATTGATTAATCGAGCCAATCAATTGATAACATAACTGATAGATAGTTGATGTATGTATGTATGTCTTTATATATATACATATATATGTGTATATGTATGTATATATATAAATAGAAAAATAGAATATATATTTAGATATTTATAAAAATCTTAAATATATACTATAAAAATATGAATTGTTCTTAAATCTACAACAATGAGTGTATTCACGTATTTAACGAACATCTATTTGCCAGGACGTCGCCAGATTGGTAAACAAGGTGGCCGTCTTCATCGTCCTCGACGGAAGGCGGTCGTGGGCTCTATTGCCGTTGCAATGCCAGCCAGTTTTGGTAGCAATGGCAGTTGTAGTCGGTGGTTGATTGGTTGGTTGTGGTTGATTGATTGATTGATTGATTGATTGGTTGGTTGGTTGGTTAAGGTATTGCGTGGTTGTTTATTATTACCACACACCATTAGTCCCGAGAGAAGATGAATTCCATTCCAGTAACCCAATTTATCGTCCACCAGATGAAGTTCGAAGCAGGCGCAGAAGTTGATTGGCCATCCAGTTGACGAAGCGTTGACCGTTATCGCGAACCCGAATATTTGATACACGGGATCATGGACCATTGACCAATATTATTTCACCATCATTGTCATCGTGATCGTTACCATGAGTTCAACCGAGGGAGTTTGTATTGGAACCCAGCCGTCCGAACCATGCCAATATCCAATTCCATTCCATACACAACGGACGAAGATGTAACCCAACAATCAGAGAGAAAGGGGAGAGGGCAAAATAGTTTGCCAAGTCAGAAAGGTACGGTTACGAAATTTACCAATCGGCACAAAGCGCTCTTTTATTATTATTATTATTAATTACTATTATTAATTTTATTTATTACTAATATTATTGTATTCATTATTAACTTATAACTATTTTTTGACCTTAATCTATCGAATCAGTCAAAATAAATTAAATAAAATTATAATTCCAAGTCTATTTAAATTTAAAATAAAAAATTTTAAATGTAAAACAAAAATTATTGACTGCTTCGAAGTAAAAAAAAAAAAAAAATTTTTTTTATTCAAGTCAAAAGAAATTTTTTTTTTTAATTAAAAAAAATTTTTTTCTTTTTGCCAAGTACATTAAAAAGTACTTTGTAAAAACTTCGTACTTACGTGAGATTTAACGCACTGCGTTGAATTTTATTTAATAATAATTATATAAAATAATAAAAACGCAGAACGTTAAAATTTTTTTTAAAATTGTTAACCAAGATAACTATTTTTGTTTAAAAAATTCTCGATTAAATTAGATAAAATTTTTTATAAAAATAAAATAAAACCGACAAAAACAAATAAAATTATTTATAACGTTACGATGTAAACAGAATAATTTAATCAAAAATTTACGTTTGATATAAACCGATCACAGATGAATATAAATATTTATATTTATATTTATATGTATATATAAATATACATACACATACGCATAAAAAAGTGGTTTATTCATATCACATTGCCAAAATACAATAAAATAAAAAATAGAAGAAATAAAAAATGGCTAACTTGTTACGTAAGTCAACAAGTTAGAAAATAGATTCACCGGTGATCGGCCTGGATAGAATATATAAAATAAAAAGCACATTACTGTAATATAAATCAAACCGTGCATCAAACAGTTTTAATCATCATAAACCGTATCACATTTAATAAATTTGTTATAATTATTGATTAATCAATTAATCATGAGCAACAGTAAACAAAACATGGCAAAAATCCTGAACGATCACGCGCATCGACAACTTACAATCGCATCAGCATCTTCAGTATCTAAAACACTTTTTATTCCCGAGTCAGAGTGATTTTTTTTTCCTGAATCCGAGTGATTCTTCTGGTATTTACTCGCTATTATTTCAGCGGCACTCGGTTTTGCTTTCTTAGCGTTGTCGATTTTAGTTTGCGCGTAAGCTTCGTCATATGCTGAATATTTAAGAATAAGTTTTTGAATTTCTCTTCTCTTTAGTTCTCGCTCTTTTAATAATAAATCCACGTTTGTAGTGTCAACATGACTATTACTTGTTGGAACAACAGCAGCAGTGACTTGAAGAATTTTATTATTAGTATTAGTATTAACATTATTTTTACGAACATTTTTATCATTAATATTAATATTATTACTATTATGATTATTATTATCAACGTTAACATTTAAGTTACTATTAATCGTATTAATCGTAACATCAGCATTAACATTAGAATTAACATTGACACCAGTATCAACAAGCTTTTGTAAAACAATTTTATCCAACAAGTGACTTTCATCCTTGGACAATCTCTTGAATCTCGAGCGATCAATTTGTTCACTTTTGCCATTGCGGCTGGGACGAATTTTTCTGCTCCTGGATTCAGCGTGTCCTGATTTATGTCTACCATAATGCCGGTAATCAGCCATTGTGTCTCTGTTTCTGTCCCTTTCTTTGTCTCTGTCTCTTTCCTTATCTCGGATACCAGGAGTCTTATCATGCTTGAGTGAGCTCACATACGGATAAGCTTTTTCGCTGAGCAAAACACTAGACGTAGTAGCACTTTTAGCAATGGTACGTGGTACTTCTGGTTCTAAAGTTTTATCATCACGTAAAAATGGACTATCACGATGATGTACAACTCGACGGTTATAATTTATTTCATCATCATTGCGTCTTTTGGTATAGCGATCGAGGATCGATGAATATTTATCCTCTAAACGTGATCTTGTGTTGTTACTACCGTTATTATTATTATTATTATTATTATTATTATTATTATTATTATTATTGTGGCTATTATTATTATTGATGTTCTTATTATTAGTAACAGAAATAGAAGTAATGTTGTTATGATGATTTAGATTTGGATGAACAGCAAGGTCACGGTTTACAGGTGAATGTCTTGAAGCTTTATCATGATGTACAGATGGTACACGAACTCGTGTAGTCAACCGTTGAATTAAACTTGAACAAGAATCACTCAATAATTGTGTTACACTTGTCGATGAACGTGTATAACGATTACGTCTGTTGGTAGACGAGTTCTGACGACTTGTCGACATATTATCGCGCATTGCGAAAGCAAACATTTTTACGATTGATATTTCGTATCGATGATTGATTGATTTATTTTATTAAATTTAATTATAGTCGATCGATCAAATGATTTCAAGTATTTACTTTTATTTTATACGTTATTGATATTTTATAAAATCTCAGGCGTTACATATTCTTTAATTAAAACAATTATTCAACTATTTAATTTAGTAATCGAGCGTGAACTATTGAAAAATAATTATTTTTTAACCACGAATTATTGAATTGAATAATTTATAAAATATAAAATTAAATGTGTAGACGGAGGAATAAGACGTACGTACGTACGGAGAACGTCGCGCCAAATACTGTGGATACTAAAAATACCGGTTGAGTTTAAGACGTTGTAAGATCTACAACCAACGAATAATGCGTCCTCTCACAACATACGCGTGAAGTCAAGTTACGTTCACGGATTAATAATATATACTTAGAAAGATAGATAGATAGATTTTATAAATTATTAACTATTGAGAAATTTTTTCAATGCTATTTAACAAGTGGCCGTTGTAATAAATATTATTTTTAAGTAACACATATAGTCAAGATAATTATAAGTTTCAAGTAATGAAGATATTTTAATAAATAATTTAAAACTGTCAGTGAAAAGAGCTGATGGTAATACACAGCCACTGGATGAGCGACTGAGTTTTTAAAAAAATGGATCAGAAAACTCGGGGATTGATCATTGGAAAACAGTGGGCGAACTTTTGGTAGACTTGCACTGTTTACTATTAATAATCTGTTGGGTATATTTCAAGGTTGATAATTTTCCCCTTCTTTCCATTTTCCATCTTCATCTTATTATTCAGTTTCTTCTTCTTTATTTCTATTTTTCTTCTTCTTCTTCTTCTCCTTCTTCTTTTTCTTATTCTTATTATTGTTATTTTTCTTCTAAATATTTTTTACGTATTCTTGCAGTCAACATTGGGATAAAATAAGTTTTATATAAATAATTTTAAACGTCACAGCAGAACATGGATAAGATGAATCATTAGAGGAGGAGTGATGAATGAAGATTTGTCTTTGTCAGGTTAAATGCAGCCGTACTGTTAAAGTGGTAAGTGAAGCGGTTAGAATATTGAATGTCTATAAATTAATAAACGTATTAACAAAAAAATTTTAACAGGAGGATAAATTTAAGAGCAGGTGGTTTAAGTTGTACCTCATTAGCAATCTCTAAATCCGGATTGGCATACACTTTTTCGATCCAACTGTCCCAGAAAATAGGCGCTGCCGAAGTCGGTATGCCTGTGCGATGCTGATGATACTTCACAAGTTCTTTTGACCGATCGACAACTTCACGGGTCAAGAATCGTTCGCGACGCGCCATTGGTGAGGCTATTGACCTGTCAATATTGGATCAACTGGCTGCTGACGGCAGTGATGAATCGAATATTTTCATAGCTCCATTTAAATCACTAACACTCTGACTTGGGCTTTTAATTATACACATTTGACTTTTTTTTTTTTTTTTTTTTTTTTTAATTAAAAATAAAATATCCAGAGAAAAGTTATCATCTATATCTGTGATGATTGTTAATTTAATCCAGATCTTTGCTAAATGCTTGCAGTAATAGTTTAAATGGTTTGTAAATTATCATAATAGTTAAAATAAGGTCGCAAGCAACGACTTGAGTAGACCCAGCCATCTGGCTTGAGAACTCGCTTGAGAACTGAGAAACAGCGATACTAAAACCGCGTGACGACGGGGCCCATACCACCAAAATACTCCTTAGATTTATTAATAGCATTGGGTACATTTGCTTGGAGAAAATAAATACTCTCTTTGGTTCTTGTAAATTTATATTTTCTTCCCGTTCGGCTTTTTAGATTTTTTTTTTTTTCCATTCTCCTTTAATCTTAGATTATTTTAATAAAATTATTAAATGTGAACGGTTCATTGTATCAATAAAAATAATATCTCTACTATAAAAAATATTTTTAAATTAGTGATCTTGGTTAGCGAGTTGATCTCGTTTTTACATTAATTACAAATTACAATTATACTAAAAATAAATAAAAAAAAAAAAATACTTGTAAAATGTAACGATTAATAATGAATATAGAAAAAAAATTGAATACTGACCTGGCTGCGTGAAGGCGACTTGTGACGGTGTCTGGAGGACTCCTGACTCTCTGAGGATGGGGCACGGCGACGACGCGCCCACCGAATACGTCTAGCTTCCCTGGATGAGGGGCGAGTCGTGTGTACCCTCTCACGGTCACGGCATTCACGTTCACGTTGTTTGTGGACATGTGGGGACGGTACTGGTGCCAGTACTTCTTCCTTGACATTGTCGTACTCCAAGTGATGGCGACCACTGCTTGGTGATCTCCTGTGGCTACGTTTGTATCGTCTTTCTTGGCTAGTACCTCGTTCATGTTGACGTGATCTTAGCACACGTTCACCACTAAAATATATTTTTTATTAATTTAAATATGGAAAATATTTACCAAGTTTTTTAGTTGATTTTTGTTTTTTTTTTTTTTTTTTTTTTTGTTTTTAGTTAATGGGATCACTACCTTCTGAGTATTAAAAAATTTTCATCATTTAATATCTTTGAATTTCTGAAAAATAGTATTTTAATTATTGTTCATTTTTTATTAAATAGAGAGCTTAAATTTAAAAGGGTACTTTTATGAATGAAAATATAAATATATATATTTTAAAGGTTTACTTTTTTAATTAATGTAAAAAAAAATTTTTAAAAGTCTCCTTTTAAATTTAAGCTCCGTATTATCCTTAAATAAGTATAAATAACAAAAAGCAATTAAAAGTATTATAGTAAAGAACTTAAAAGGTAGCGACCTCCTCGAAGATTGAAAGGAAGAGGAAAAACTGTCGTTGGAATAAATCCAAGAGGCCTTGGGTACTCTGATGAATATTTGAGAATAGATTAAATGGGTCATAAACATCTTTAAATTGTGTGTAATGAGGAAATGTTGAGTATGAGCATTTTTTCTATTTTATTTATTTACTGTACCTAGGCATCCAAGACCAAGAAACGTAACGTACAGGCATCACTGTTATTCCTATTTATAAATATTTATTAAGATAATTAAATTATAAAAAAATTTCTATTTGATCATTTGTTTTTATCGTAATCTACAATGTCAAGATCGGAAGATGAATAAGCAATGATTTTTTAAATTTATAATAAATAAAATAAAACAGAAAGTAAACAATATACAAAGAGAAATTAGTTGGCTTTCGCTGCATAATTCTTATTCACCATTCGCTTGACTGAGCGTAAAATATTATTTTCCCTGATACTGAGTTTAACTCATTGCTATATACAGGAAGATCTTGCGAACCAATACTGATAATAATAAATGATAAAAAAAATTCTTCCACGCATTTAATAACGTCTTTAAGGCTTGTAATTCTTCATTACTAAATATAGCGTAAAAATAAATAAAAAAAAAAAAGTTTAAATTATAAGGAAGTTCTCAATGTGATACAGATTCTATTGAAGGAAAAAAACATGATGTCCTTCTACTCATATTTCGGATTGGTATTCTTACAATTTGTCCTTGATTTAATAGTTACATTACTCTTTGCAAAGTTAATTAATGTAAATATTTACTCAAAAAGTCTGGAATCAGTACTATTAATATTCCTAATAAATAATTAACAATAAAAAATAGTAAATCTCAATACCTAAGTCGTGAGCCATATAAAGATATAATAGATATCAATGTTGAATACAAATTAGTACGACCTTCGTAAGAGTATTTCCTTGATTTATAAACGTAAGTAAATAAATGAGTTTTATCAAACAAATACACAAAATTTATCCTTTCGTTTTAAAATTTGCAAATAAAATTCCAATTGAAAAAACTTTTATTTTAATTTCAGTGAATTTAAATCATATGTGTTTGTAAAAAAAAAAAAAAAAAAAAAAAAAACTAGACACTGCAAGCATTTACATTCTTATCAGTCATGTTAAAAAAATTAATGACGTGATTAATGCAATTTTAATAACACTGACATATTATTCAATTTAATTTAATATAAATTACGCGGAAAAATATATTTTAAATGGCTAAATTAAAAATGAAATGATAAAATAAAATTTCCGTCAATTGTCAACCTCTGTACACTTAACTGGAATTAAACTTCCGGTTTATCAATAATTATTAAATACTAACTATTAAATACACTGACTTTAATAAATGAAATTATTAACTCTCGTGCAGCAATTATTTAGTATTGTTCAATTTTTTAAATAAAACAATTATAAAGGTTTATTTAAAAATCAGACCAGCACGAGTCTAAATACTTGAGTTTAAACTCAAGTGCTGGTTGGAGACTGACTGACGACTTGTAGTGATATATTAAATATTACAGTGTACAAAGCCAGTGTAATGTGTAAGTAAGTAAATAACAGATGGATTGGCTCAAGTTTATGGAAGGGATTCACTGTCTGAGACGGGGAGACGGCATTGGCCTTCTGTTATTTCTTTTAAATTTTTTCCTTGTACAGTACTTCAATAAAACCGGCAGCAAGTTTAATTATCTTGTGACAAAGGTGGTTACTTGAAATCAAAACTGGAGTACAATGGATTAGTTTCGAGTTTTGTAAACCAGATTTACAAGTACAAGTTGGGTTTAGTTCTTTCACCGAGCCCACCGGATGCCTAGGCGAGTAGAGGTTGATGCAGAGGTGTTCAATTGAGTAATATTATGGCACTTACACTCAGTTTTTATGTAAAAGGGTAAGTTACGTTATAATTTATCATCTATAATTATTATAGATTTATGTGAAAATTTATGTGTGAGAGTAGATTGGAATTTTTCGCTCAATACACACCTGTAGGTACCCTTGCTCTGTGGACTCTCATAATCAATCCGCCTACGTTTGTGCTCGTATTGCTGAGATCCAGCTGATTGAGAACGAGACCTCGAGTGGGTACGAGAGCGATGACGCCTTCGGTTTCTCGGCATCTGCAAAAATTATTTCAAATTATTACTTATATTCAATATCAACATGCTGTTTCATTATTTATTCAAAATATTTATAAAACTCAAGGCCAATAATTAAATTTTATACCCTAAGATATTTTTACATGTTTAAAATGTATTGATCTACTGAGATTATTTATTTATTGTAAGATTAATAAAATCATTAAATATTATTTATGAGACTAAGCTTGTTGAAACATTACTGGGTATTACCTTTAAATACATATCAACTCTTAACGCTGGGGACAATAATGGACAGTGATTAAAACTAACGGGCATTTAATTGTTGTTAGCGTTATTCGGGATGTTTTAATAAATAATTTCTCGGTAAACTGCGCAATTAAACGCATAATTATTTATAATTAAACACATAATAGCAGACACACGATAACTCTTTGATTTCAAATAAAAAAAAAAATGTACATTAAGAATTTTTTTTAAATTTACATGGATGAAAAAAGTAAATATTTAAAATTAAATACATGACTGAAGAATTTTGTGAATAATTATTTTTTGCCATATTTTTCGATTTCAAAATTAATTGTGACATATCAATTTATTGGCTACAAAAATATACATTTTTTAAATATTTGAATACTTTTCAATAGAAAAAAAATTATCTGCTATTTTCAGTATCATCAGTATCGGATGGTCACTTGAACAGGAATATTAACCATGCAATTAAAAAATAAACCACAAATAGAGATAAATAAAGTATCTAGCGTGCTACTAAAACGTTTTCTATACCAATGACAATTAAAATGAAATGATAAATGATTGAAAGCAGTTATATTAAATATTAAACGTAAATACTCGAAAGTACCAACTTGAAATAATATCACCAGCAACAAATGATAATACTATAGAGAATAATCTGGAGCCAGCTGTTAAAATATAATTACACCCGGTTTACTTACGTTAGTAAGTTGGAATATGCTTGCTTGATGCCAAATGTAATCAAAGATGATTGAAATCCAAGAGCGAAATGATGATGCTTCAGGTACAACACGGTTTTCCGGCAATGAAGAGGACATCGGCTAAAAAAACTGATCAAACCACTGTCTGAATTTTTTTTACTCAATAAATTCCTCCCCTAAATCTATACCTGTGATAAGCTGTATGACACGCTTAACAGTGTAGGTTATTTTTTCATTAAAAAATGAATAATGATGAATTAATATTCAAAGTCAGACTTAGACGCTATCGATTAAGATCAAAACCTTGAACACTATCCTGATGCGAATCAGAAATCAATACTAGAGAAAAATTTATTTCTCAATTCGGTGTCTTTCTTATTTTAATGCGTATGCGTATGACCAAATGAGTGAGTGAAACTAAATTACTTTAAATAACGTTTTTTTTTATGTAGCACGCCATAATACGGCAATTGCCGCCATATTGTAATCGCCATCTTGTATAGAAAACATATTGGAGATCGGGTATTAAAATACGTATACTAATGCCAATCTACGTACAATATACATGTATCACATATGCACGTGTATATCTGTACAGCCAGACACACACTAGATGTAGATGATACTATGTATGTGTACGTTTAATACTGAAATCCGTAGTGTCTTCCTAAAATATGTTAGTTTTAATTACTCGCCGTGTTAATTCAATAAAATAAGTTAAATATTATCTAATTTTATTAAGTACTGGGATGATCTACTCACTTTCCAGAGATACAGTAAGCTCACTTGGTCCCAAATAAAATAAAATATACACTTTATCCAGGAGTTTAAATATCCAGAACGCAAAACACTTCTCGGCTGTGTCAACGACGTGGACATCGGATCGATGCGATTGGCTATTATTCGTCTCGAATCGACTAACTTCGGTTACTTACGACAACTCTCGAGTATTTACGGATTTTAACGAATAATACCCGGTAAAACGTCATTTTGTTTTTTAAAATGGCGGGTCATTTGAATTGTAATTTTTTAATAAAATATTTTTCATTGTTTCTTCTCATTTTTCATATTCTTCACAGATTATTTTAGGATTATCAATAAATATACTCAAACATAAGATAAATAAAATTAAAAAAAAAAAATATTATTATAAATAATAACAATAATGAATTAGGACAAAATAATGACGTCATATATCAGTAAATATTAAACATATGTAGATAAATATTGATATAATTCAATACTTGAGATTAATTATCGGCTCAAGATTGATAGAATTATAATAAATATTTATTTGATAATTAATGGTGATTGATAAATTGACATGCGAAATTAATTATGGCGCGCTATAAAACACACGCCATTATTCTTGATTAATTTAATCAACATGTTGTTATTCCCGTAAATGAAAAATAAACAACTAATTACATAAATTACCTCTCTGCAGATCCAGTACTCGTAGACTCTTTGGAAACTGTCGTAAAAGTAATTTAAAAAATTACGAAACATTGTCGGATATGCATAAGTCAATTTTGTTAAAAAATACAGTCGTTGGTCAAATAACTAAAACAATGTTTCCATTTAAGCACGTGCAACTATAAAAAAAAAACCGGTAGGCTAGCGTGCTTTTTTTTACCTTACTACCTCTACCATCAACTTCTACTACTTCTACCTCTACAAGCTCAGTGCTAACAACATCACGAAATTTAAAATGGCGATGAACCTTTTTTTGTAGGTGGTACCTTTTTTCTAGCGGGAATTCATGTAAATATTTTTTTATTGCGTAACTTTTACTTGAATTCAGGAAAATATGTTTGATACTGAAGATAGCAGTGATGAAAGTAGGAAGTATTCGAAAATTTTAAAAATCAATAAATTAAATTAAATTTGCAGAGTGAAATTTGTAGTGCACATTAATTAATAAAATTATTTTTATTAATATTAATATTTTTAAGGTAAAATACCCAATTATTGACACTTGAAATTTTGTTTCAATTAAAAAAAATCAACTCTAATAAATTAATAAATATAATTTTTGAGTTATAAATTTTATGATAGTTGGTTTTTTGAGAATATTTTATTATTTTAATTAGAATAAAATTGCAAGTTCATAAAAAAATTATGAATCATATTTTTAGTATTTTTATTATGATAATTACTTGTAATTTTACCTGAAGACCTATTAGAGGGTTTGACGAGTATAATGACATTCGTGGTAAATCTGGTGATGAATTACATCTCAAATTATTTCTTCGGCTCTTCCAAGGTCCTTCCAAGTAATATTTTTGTAACTATTTAATGTATAAATAATTTATCAATTTAATAAATAATAAACATATTAACATTAATATAGCATCAGATATTTGATAATTTTAATAATATTTTTAACAAGTAAATTATGGCAACAAAAAGTTGACATGTAGAAATTTTAAAAAATAAAAAATGCAATTTTTTAAAAATAATTTTTCGGAAAAAATTTGTTTGTTAAATAAAATAAGAAAATTTGTCAAGTGACCACTAACTTTACTAACGTTAATGTCATAATAAACATCCAAAATTCTATTTTTTATAAAGAAAAATTTTAACAAAATCCGCAGTTTAATTTTCTTCAAACTTTTCAACCCTATTAATTTTAAAAAATAAAAATGTCAGGTCCTCCATTTTAAGTGCTCTTATTAACAATAGCAACATACAGTGATTGAAGTATGAGAATAAAAACAAAATATTTACCTTATTACTTTGAGTTTTAATAAGTTGATCTTTAAACCTTCCAATAATTCTCGTAACTCTTCCAATCATTTTAAAATAAACTCATGTTATTTCTCCACTCAAAAGTCATTTGAATAAAAAATAAAAAAAATAAAATCTATAATAGATGAATTATTTAAATGAAAATAATTAAACTAGCGTGATAATAAACATAAAGATAATAACTTGTAAAAAAATCGATTGTATCCATGGAGACAAGCGCAGAAGAATAAAGGCCAAGAGGTCAGAAGGGATAAAACCCGAGTAGTTTAACAAGGGGGTGGCGGTGTAAGTGGGTGGTTAACAGCAGCAGCAGCAGCAGCAGCAGCAGCAGCAACGAACAGTAACCTTGGATATTTAAAAATTATTTTATAGCCAGCAGGTACCAGTGCAGTAGTATATAATAATATAAATAATAATACATACATATATACATATAATAATCACAACAATAATCAACCACCACCACCACTGAGACCAGTATCAGCACCCTGAAGACTCAGTGGTGCGCATAGAAAATATATTGAGATTGAAATAGAGATAATAGTGAAGCACATTGTTGTCTGGGCATCCGCGCAATGCGGACGTGCGTACAGAACTGGCGGGAGAGGTGACCGAATTAATAGCTGCGAATTTCGCAGCGAATAACGATTTGGATTGTTATAATAAATTGTCAGCAATCACGGCCGAGGCTGACACTGCTGTCAAAGACAATATTAATGAAGAAGCTGATCCAAGTAGCGTCAAAAGCTACGATGATAAAGATAGTTGGTGTCTTCAAACATGGAGTGACATGCCAAGTCACTTACAATTCAATCCGCACATTAGGACTGGCTACAGACAAATCACCAACTTAAAAGGATGCATAAGGAGTCTGTTTTACATTCACAATGAAACCGTCAACACATTCACTCACGGTGAGTCTTTTTACTTTATTTTTCATAAATTTTGTCTTGTGCCTTTTATTTTATTATTTCCTTACATCCAAAACCAATGTTCATGCTCATGGGCTTGTGCATTGGCGTAACTGGTTTTAGATAATTGGGTCAAGGTCTTAAACTTTGGGTCAGCATCCAAAATTATAAGTGTTTAAATTATTATTATTATTATTATTATTATTATTATTATTATTATCATTATAAATACCTTGTGATGTTATAGGTCTAGCTATCTTACATATCTTACTAACGATTCCCGGGTTATTACCATGGGAAAAAGGCATTTTCTTTGGTTTTATTTCCTGGTGTCATCTAATCGGTGCTGTAAGTCCATGGATTGGTTCATTTATCTACCATTTATTTATGAATCTCAACTACGGAGAAAAATTTTACCGAGGATTATTAAAGCTTGATATGCTTGGCATTTGGGTTTGCCAAAGTATTGGTAATTATTATTTAACATAACATTAATAATAAATATGAATATTATCTGAAAAAATATCAAATGGTGAGAATGAAAAAAAAGTTTGAATGTAGATATGTATGAGGTGTTTAAAATTGAAGAATATTAAAATTAAAGCAAGGCCACGAAATAAAAGAGTATTGATTTTAGGTGCATTACCAATGATAGCAACATCAGTGCACTGTCTTACCCCGATACTTTGGTATTCAACGATGCTGCTGTATGTCTTCCTGAGCATTTGGGGCTTGTTTAAGGCAAGATATCACAATTATATAATTATGATATGCAATATTGACATTAATTGGTTGTCTTTTGAAAGCTCAGTGCATAAATGATTATATTATGAGTATTTAAGTGTCAATTATTCAATCTAGGCAATGAAAGCCAAGTCACCGTGGGAGAGAAGGCTCTGCTTCGCGCCTCCATTCATGATGAGAATGATTTTTTTGACACTCAGATGCTTTCATTTAACTGGCGGTGATCCTGATAATTTAACACATATCGTACTGCAAGTGAGTCTGTAAATAAATCATTTATTATGTAACAAAGAAAGCATATCCTTTGGTACATTTACATTTAAAGTTTACATGTTGAAATATATATATATCGCCCCTTCAATACCGTAACCTTTCTGATATTAGCAATGTAGTATTAATTAAATCCAGATGCATTTTTTTTACATTGTAGTGAAGCTAGTTGTTCTTCAGTTTTAATGATTATTATTGATTAATAAATTAATTTATTTAAAATAGGACCTCGTTGCGGTTATTGGTGGAGCAATAGGTGCATTAAGAATACCAGAAAAATGGTTACCAGGTCAAGTTGATTTTATTTTTAATTCGCATAATATCATGCACGTAGTTGTTATATGTGCTGTTTGGTCAATGCACGCAGCTACAATACGTGATATCAAGTGGATGATGAATCCCGACGTTTGTTTAGATACTTCCAATACTTCTAATTCTTCTTATTCTTCTTCTCCAGCTTTTATTCACGATGAATTATAATTAATAACCAACCAATTAATTAATTATAAAATTACTACAATTAATATTAATTATAATCTTGTTACTAGGTTGATATTTAAAAATTCCAGTTCTTATTGTCCTGTAATACTGTGATCAATGATTGATGAGTTTGATGATCTGTGATTAAATAATTAAAATAATTATAAAGTGGTTCGATCATGTATGAGAGATAAAAGTATTTAAAAATGTTATGCAGGATTGTTTCTGCGCATCAAAAATATTTATTTGTAATTAATTAATCATTGAATTAATTAATTCCTTAATAGTTATAAATATACCATGGTTTTTTAGCTGAGCTTGGTAGCGTAATAGCTACTATTTACAATTATGAATAATTAAAAAATTTATAATTTATTTGCGGTGCTGCATTTTTGCGTGATTTTTTAGTTGAAATTTAAATATAGAAATAAATAATTGAATCGTTAATAAATTAGGAAATTTATAGATAATTAAATAAAATGAATAGATTGAATTAATTTAATCGTTATTGAATGCGATTTAGACCAATTAATAGATAATATTAATATTTTATACCTGAATTTTTAGACGTCATTTAAATTTATAGAATGAATAATTGCTCTTATCTTTAAAAACTTTAAACACATATATACTAATTAAACAAATTATAGTTAAGCTCTAATGTTTCGATTTCTTGCAATAAACTTTTCAAAAATTATATGCTTTTATTTTTTAATCCCTATAAAATATATTATGTATTCAATTTATTTTTTAATAAATAATAAATTTATTTCAGAGCTGGATTTATTGTAGGGGCCGGTCGCTTTCTTGAGTATAACTTTTTACTCTACTGAATTTCAGCGATGGATAACGATTGAAAACATTCAAGCACGTTGTCGCTTGCTGGCCATTTTTGTACTGCGTAAATATGTTGTAACGTATCCAGAGCAGCTGCCAATTTTTTCTTTTATGCAAGCTTTGGATTTCTAACTCCTATCAAATCAAACGATCGATTAAATTAGATTACTTTCTCAATACTTATAAATTTAAAATTTAAAATAGTAAAATAACTACTATTACCAAGTGAAAAGTTTGTTCTCCACTGTCGTGAATAATTTCTCGTTTTTTCTTTTTGTAATTATGATTAATATTACTCTTAGACTCCTGTTTTTTCATAACCAATGTAATGCAATTATCATGAAGTCTATAATGGCCAATCAATACAGCAAGATTACGTGGAGTACGATATTTTAATGCATTAACACAGTTTTGGGCATCGTCAGTCGATGTTAACATTAAAACACGACCTTCTGGAAAAAACCTGCGTCCAAGAAATCAAATTATATTATATTATTACTCAAATAAATATTATAAGTATTTTTACAGCATATAATACCTGACGTATCTAAAATATTCAACAAGATGCCAAGGCCGATAAAATTCATCCTGAAAACTATTTTCTCCCTGCCTGATATACGTTGTCTTGCTGATGTAGCATCCGTTGTATTGTAATCTAGGACGTTTTAAGTACATGTCCCTCCAGGAACGATACCTTGGCTCGTACTGCCCGCAATTTACACCCCAAACTCTTACACAAGCGAGCCTCCATATCTCTGGATCACGTGCTGAAATAAAAAATCCGCGACATACCCGGGAAAACATTTCCAGGGAACGTATATCCAGCTCTGAAGATACCACCCAACGTAGTATGTACAAAATTATTTCTAAAGGTAGCGCAGATACATGTGTCATCTAGAAAAATATCCAGTAATTATTAGTTAGCTGATATGATAAATTATACAATAATAAATAATGATAAAAAAATATCTTACGCTCTGCTCAAAACATGGAAAACAGAGACATTGATTTTTATTAATAATCCTTGATAGTTTGACGACAAGTGCACCATCTTCACGCACATCAACCTCGTCGTTACCGTACGATTCACCAGGATATTCAACAATTTGTATGTCTTCATTTTTCTTGATTTTTTCTTTATTTTTGGGCTTCATAGACTCGTACAGCCTAAACTCGATATCCGGCACCAGCGATACAGCGCGTTTATAGAACCTTATTGCGTCATACAGCTCTCCATTTCGTTCGTACTCAATTCCTTTTAGAAATAAATCTTTGGCCTGGGAAAGTATTCATTCATTAAATTAAGTTGAACCTTAGTCACGTCATTAAACGATAAGATTTAAAGAATCAATGTAAATTACGAGTAGAAATTTCTTTTCAAGTTTAAATTAAAAATTCTTACCTTATCTTCTGTTGACAGCTCATGGGTTTCAATGCTTGATGTCTTACCCGACTTTGAATGACTCGGTACTTCTTTTTTAGGAGATATCTTTAATTCTCGCTGCCACTGTTCTCGAAAATTAGCCAGCGCATCCTGGATTCTGGGCGAGGAAGAAGATTCACCTTCATCGGCACCTTCGTCGGCTTCTGACCCACCTTGTTGATTCTGCATGACAATTTAGTTACTTTAGTTTAATCAATATTAACAAAATTATAGAAATAAAGGTCATTTTTTTGAATGACAGATTTGGAACAAGTGTTGATTCTTGTGTTTACTTTTGTCATTCAAACAGCTGATAGGTTAGAATGACGATAATTGGCAGATGGTGGACTTTTTTATTTAAATAATTAATATAATAAATAATTAATACTACTTACCATTTTTATACCAAGTTCTTATAGATCTTAATAATTATTTTTATTTCAATGTATATATTCACGGTCAGAATAACGTACGACACATCGGAAAAATAATTTCGCTAAATGTACCGCCGCCATTGTTGTCGTCATGCTGTATTTTTTTTAGTTTTTTTTTTTTTCATCCGACAGATTATAATAATAATAAAAAAACTATTACTTAAAACTAGTCCATTAAAAATTTTAATAGAGAGATATAAAAAATCCATTAATTATCGAGAATCTTTTCTAACATTTTCTTTATATTTTGTATGTAATTAATTCAATTTTTTTAATTTAGTCCAAATTTAAAATTCTTTATTTAAAAATATTTAAGTAATGATATTTTAAAATTAACAGATCTCTCTGAAAGTTTTTAAAATTAATCATAATGAAAAAAAAAAAAAAAAAAAAAACATTTTAAAAAATTCGCACTGATAATTTTTTGAATTTTTGTATCTAGAATTTTTTCACCATATAAATTAAAAAAAATTACAAATGCGATTTAAAAAAAAATATTTTTTTATAATAATTAATTGCGGTTATATAAAAATTCTAAAAACAATCAGATGTCTGCTAATTTCAGTATCATGTTACTTAATTATAAATTGAAAAACACCTGTTGCACATAAACAATCAGATTTAATGAAACATTAAAAGATCAAGCTTCGCTTCCAATATAAATACTAACTGATTTAGTATATAAAAATATAATTAACACTCTTACTCAATAAACTCTGAACAACAATTAATTTCACATAAAAAGAATCATTAACTTATTTTGTAATTAAAATCCAATTCTTATATGCGAATTTAATAAACAAGATCTCAAAAAAAAACCTTGACACAAAGTATAAAAAATGACACCGATTGTTTTCCTGTTTGTGAATAAAATAAATATAATAATATATGATGCAATTGTACTATATAAAGCCATGTATAACATATATAATCCTTTTTTTTTCTCACTTAAACCACTTTCTTTTTAACTCACAATAAATATACATAAATCATAATTGCAAAAAAAAAGTCATACAACCAGGACATTCAAGAAAATAAATCACAGAGCCATCACAGTAAACAATGCGGATACATTTATAAAGTCTTTTTAAGAGACAAATCGATATTTTTAGCGACATTATAATTGATAAAAAAAATTAGTCTCAGTTAAGTGCAAAAATAATTTAAAAATATTTAAATGCCCAATGAATGAAAAGTAGGACATGTTGATGGCTCATCTGATGAATATTGTCAGGTGATTTTTTGGCATGCCCACGAAAGTGGTGAGAGTGTAAAAGCATTTCTTGAAGGCAAATAAAGTATAAATACATGCTTGCAAAAATTACAAGTATGCCCACCCTTTTTTCTCCTTTCTCACATATTTCTTCGCCTTTTCCTTGTTCATCATCATCATCATCATCATCATCATCATCTTCTTCTTCTTCTTCTTCTTTGGCTTAAAGACTCTCGATATCCCACGAGCGATTCGCGGTGGCATTAAATGTAACGGTGAGAGTATATACATATAATAATACACATATTGCATGGATTTTTAAGTGTATGGGAGAGCATGGGAAGTAGCAGTACCTGTAGTGAAGAATACAAATAAAACAGGTAAGGTAAGCCAGTGAGCTAATATACAATGTACGGTATGTATACATTTCCACCTCTACAAGCAATTTAACGGGCCCCACCGGCTTCAGTAACTTGCTCTCGGTGATCCTCCTTTACACTCGTCAACCCAATGTCTGGCTTACTACTCGGTAACTCAACACAGTTGTGATCATCTTCGAGAAGTAACAACAACAACTACTGTTATTTTGTAAAAGCCGGAATTAAGTAACTTGTCCATCATGCGTCTGGTAAGCTTCTCTTTTAATCTGCAATAAGTAATATTATTCTTATTAATTATATTTTTTATTCATTAACTTATTTATACTTAACTACTTGGTGATTAATCTGTGATTTATCTACAATTTTTTAAGTGAAAGTGATGATTGATAAAGGTTTACTTTAAATCATTTTGCGGACGTGTTAATTTTTGTAGTCACAGTGAAAAGATCTAATTTGAATTTTTTTTATTCTACTCCTAAGCAATTTCTATTGTTCAATTTTTTTCAACCAATAAAAATAAACTTATTAAGTCTATGGAAATGTGAGGATTGATCATAATTCCCGATAACTTTTATTACTATCAATTACTTGGACAAATGCTATACTAAGCTTTCAATGGAAGACGAGAAGAAGAAAATCAATTATAAAGTTGCTGATAGTCCTTTTAAGAAAAGTTATTTGGCTCGAAAACTATAAAGTCGAGGTAACGATCGGTAAAATAAAAGATCGATAAATTTAAATATAAACTAAACCGGTGGAATCGTGATCTATACTGAGCGAATAGATGAAAAAATTTAGTAGGATATCGAGGGAAAGTGATCGAGTAAGCATTTATCCATTGTATTCGCACAACACGTGGGACGATTATTTTAATGTTATTCCAAATGTGTTTTTACACTTTCCCTCTATTTTTCATGTACATTAATTATCTTGCTTTGAAAAACCAACAATCGCCCGTAAACCTTTGGAAAAAAAAAAAAAAAAAAAAGGAAAAAATTCAAATTAGATCCATTGTATATATATAATGTAAACAGTAATATAATAATCAAATCCGCTTTTAACTATCATCATTTTTGAATGTTATTATAATAATAAGATGATTAATTAAGAAACCATTGATTACCTCTCCTTATATTCTCATTTAACATTGTATTCACGCAAGCTTTATAATCTCCAATTTTTGTCGACCCAATTGCCATGTGGTGCACGCGTATGCATCTTTGCTTTACGAACTCGTGAAAAAAACTTCTCCTGGATAATTAACTTTAATTGTGGTATTGAAAGTCGCCGAAGGATATCGATGCTACGAACAATCATGCAATGATTTTAAAAAACATTCATGTTTATTTTTACCATTATCATCATCATCATCATCATCATCATAATATTAATATATCATAATAATATACCAACCAATTATTGATGATAATCATTATCACGATAATAGCATTCTTCTTTCTCATCGGCATTTCAAAGAAAGTATTTATTCTCTTCTCATCTCTTTTGGGCGTGACCAAGTTCACCGCAAACGCGATATGAGGACGACAACGACAATTCTCTCTTCTGTTGAACGCCCGAAGCTAATTCATGACCTCAAGATATTTTGACCTGTAGTGAAAGCAATTACGGGCGTGTACTGCAGATACTCAATGATTCGAAAATTAGATAGTCATATGACGGTTTTAATTCCCTGGTGTTTGTTTTGTTTGCTTAGTTATTTACTTGCTTTGAAATTTTTAGTCTCAGATACAATTAATTAACTCCATTTATTTCTAGAGAAAGAGAAAACATTTAACTACTTAATTTAATCTAATTAAAATTATCATTAAGCTTTTTCCTCATGGATATAATAAATTGATTTTAATCTTTAAATATCAAATTAAGGAAATAATAAAAATTGTACCGGAAATTTGTGATTTTTATATCTAAAATCAATATTGAAAAGTCATTAATAAAGTAATTCAAGTTAATGAGTAAATAACTAATTAATTTCCGTGAAAATTTACCTGATTGATTACATTACAATATATGTTGATAATAAATAATTAAAGTTATAATAATAATAACAAAAATAGTAATGATGTAGTATATTAAAATGAAATCGATCACGTAGATCTCGATTCTTCTCACGAGTCGTAATGTACATATATACATATACAATGATAATATTTATAATAATAATAATAATAATAGTAATAATAATAATAATAATAGTAATAACAGCAATAATAAACGTTAAGTACATACGCGAATTGCGCCACATCTCGCGAGTCAATATATATCTATGTATACATTTAGTATTATATATGTAGTGAAGAAGTCTCCGGTAGACTGAAGAGCCTCCAAGACACGTTTTCATTCGCTTCCTGATAAACCACACCAGTACCATACAGGGGCTTTCACCCGCGAGCAAAATATCTCGTTACCTCGACACTTCCTCCCTCAATTTGTCATCGTATCTTCTTTATTAACTCCTCCTTTTTTTTTATTATATTTTTTTCTAACCATTCAATGTCCATTATTAATTGATATTTATCCTCCACGGTGACAATTTTCACTCCAATATTTTATCATCACGCTATCCGTGATCAATTGGTCAATTTAAATGAATTTATGGATTTTAATGTTGAAAGTGACGCGAATTGACACTTTCGCTAAAATTATCAATCATTCATATTAATTTTGAAATCTGTAAATAGAAAATTTTCCTTATTTATTTAGTAAATAATATATTTTATAACTTAATTTTTAAATTACAACCGTGAATTTTTAATTCAACACCTCGCAATTATTTTTTGAGGATAAAAATTACTGAAATTAAGCGACAGATAATTGAGAATAAATATAAAAAATATCAAAAACTATTGATTTCCGGTACATGAGAAAATTTGTACAACGACCTTTGATGTTTTATAATTTTATAGATGTATATATAATTTATAAGTCATTGGCCGTATCGCATCGAAATGAGGCGCTCATTGGTATGGGATGAGAGACGATCCGGGTCCAGAACTGGCAAGTTCACGAGCGCGTGTAACATCCTCGACATACTCTTCGTCGTCTTAACTCTAAGTGAAAGTATCTCTGATCTCCCGGTTTGTCTCTTTTCATCCAACAAATTGATATATAAAGTCATCTTTTACTCTCATCTTGTTACTACATCGCTCTCATCGCTTTTGCTTTTGCACGTACACCCAACTAACTACTTAAACTTTTTTTTTCCTCCTCGTTGACGGAAACCTGCAAGAGTTGTAACCAGGACCTGATTCATCTCATCTGCCGCTTCCTACTCATCGGTAGTTACTCGATACAACTCTCACGTATTTTATAGTAGTATTTTTACAATTTCTTCAGCTAATAACCGGTAATTAGTAATTAAATATTTCAAGCCTTCTGAACCTCTAATTAAACAGAAGTACCAACTCCTCATTGTTTCAATTTTTTTAATTTATTCAAGGTCTTACACGCAATCGTATTAGATAATCCATCTAAATTGTGTCACAAGTCATAACTGTAACAAAAAAAAGTTATTTTTTTTTTTTAAATAACAATGTAATTTTTCATGGTACGTTAACACTTTAAATGCTAATCATCTGATGATTAATTCTTTAAATTCTTTTTACTAAAATAGTATTATATATAGGAATATAACAAAATTTTATGTATTAATTAGCATTAATTATTTATTTAAACAGGAAGGAAATATATGCATTGCTTTTATGACTGTTATTATATATCGAAATTTTGGATACTCCATAAAGTTATAATTTATTTTCGAAAGTAAAAACGGTTAATTTAAATTAAAGGGAAAACGAGTATTTTAATTTATGACACAACTTTTTTAAAAGTTATATTTTTACAAGTTAGCAAATGAAAATGGTTTTAATAAACAGTTTATTTTAAATTCATATAAATAAATAAAGTTGTACCTTAAATATTGAATTTAGCGGACAAATATAAGTGACAATTTTCGAATACCTCGGAAAATTAATGGGACAAGAACGCTGGATCGTTTAAAGGTTAAAAAATAAAGAGTATTATTTATAAGAGGACTCACGGGAGTCATCGGTTTATTCGGTAGTTTAGAAAGTTTCGAAAGAGGTTCATCGTCGCCTGGGGCGTGTTCCTCACTGAAAGAAAAAAAAAAAAGTAAATAAGGACAAATGTTAAATGTATACATAATATATGTATTATAATCTGCGACACACATTAGAAATCTTTTTTTCTCGGCCATTGGAATAAAAGTATCAAATTTACTCTACTTTGCATTAGGTATCATTAAAAAAAAAAAAAGAAGAAATTTAGTCTCTAATTTTTTAATTTTAAGAAGCAGTTAATTAAATATAATTAATACTATTTTTGAATGAATTTACAATTAACAAATAAGTATTAAAATAATACAGTGAGGATTAACGGCAATAGACATATTTACGTATGATAAACACAAGTGAAAGCATCCGATGAATTTAAATCGTCAATATATTATACCGTAATACTTGTATACATTTACAAGTGTAACGAGTTACTGGTTTTAATGTAAGAGACATTTTTATTTAACTATTTAAGCTACACGGAAGCATTTTATCTGTTTGAGAGAACAAAGTAAAGAGATACCCGTGGTAATCAAATGTAGAATAAAATTTACCGGTTTAGTTTCCATTGATTTATCATTATCATTTAAATATATCGTTTAACAACACCTATTATCGTCGGTAATCCTGCATTTACTTAACTATTAAAAGCTGTAAAAGGGTTTATGGTAAGTTAAAATCCATAATTATTATTATTATTATTATTATTACCGGGTATTGGCCACTGTCGAAGATGCCGAGGATGCATCTTTGGCGTGATAAACATGCTAGGGTGCGGCTTTCTTCACAATATTGGCTTTCTTTCACTAAATGTCAAGCTGATTTTCTCCATTATGGAATTATACGGTGGTTATACATCCTCATCTACTTATTTTTATCTTAAGCTAAAAACTCTAGACCCAAAGACTTTTATTCAGCCGTTTTTCCTCTTCTCTGTGCACCAAGTCTCTCTTTTTTTTTTTTTTTTACTTGCGGTAATTTCATCACGTGGGAAGCTGTAAATAATACGAAAAAATTATTTAATGCTATTAAAATTATATTTATACTTATTTAAGAGAAAATTTATAGGAAAAAGTATTTTTTAATTGTCAATTAATATGTCGTTGAGTGCAAGTGTCTTTTTAATTACCCGGTAAAAAGTATTTATCTGCAAACTTACTTTTATTAGATATATCTATACTATGGGTATATGAGATTAATTTATTATATTATTTAAGAATAGATGGTTGTTTAAAGGTCAGGTTTTATTATTTTAAACAAAGCTTGTAAGCAAATAGAATTATAAAAATTTGAATAAATACTATTCATTTTCATTAGTATTTATGTAAGAAAATAAAATGAAATAATAAAATAAAAGAAATAGAGACTCGAGTAAATAGAAATTCGCAATGCGTCACCTACACTTACGTGTGCATCAGGAAAGTAAAGAAAAAGTATATATAAATAAAATATAAATATATACTTTACGTGTGAAGATGCTAGCGGTTATTTTAAAGAAGCTGTTTCTATCTATAGCTATGAAAACTATTATGTGATTAAAAGTTTAGATAGCCAGAAGATAATAGAGTTGAGATGAAAGACGAGAAAGACCTTATTAAGAAAGACATGTCATGTCTGATTTACGCTGACGTTTAAATCTACTCAGTTGTTAAATGTAACTAAATATATTTGCAGAGTATAATATAACTCATTCGCGTCCGTTAATTTCAAACTTAAATGCATCAACCATCAAGTGTATGATATACTATTGTTCACATGTGTCTAGTGAATATACATTAAATAAAATAATATGATATGAAGATAGTATGGTAGATATGTAGCTATAGATTTTTAAAAATGAGAAAATACATTATATTAAACATTACCGGGAGGTATGTAGAAATCGTTGGAAATATCACCAGGTAGATACTTGCTCATATCACGATGTACACGCACTTCTTTTTTTTTTATCATCATTTATCGCTATTATCAATTAAAAAATTATTAGTTATTATTTTTTCATATACTTCACTGTAGTGTAAATTAGTCAATTAAAACTTAGATATAATCCTGAGGCTCGAGGAAGTTCGCGGTTCTAGTCCCGTTGTTTCAATAATTTTCTGGTTCTCTACCTCGGTACGAATATCAAGAATGATATTTGATGGTTGAAGACAACGCCGGAAAGCAATAAAAAATATCATTTGACAATTGTGAACGAAGCAAACTCTTGCTTTTGCCATTTCTGGAGTGATGCAATAGTAAAACAATATTTGCATGAGAAAATATAAGTGTATTAAATTTTTCTGTTGTTTGAAGTTTGTTCCACCGCTTAGCATAATGTGACCATGAGAAAACCACTAAACCATTTACGACCTTCATTATATATTACATTGCTCTATAGTACTATTACCATTATAATAATTTCCCTGTTATCAAGATACATTATTCTTGTTCGTTATTTCTTCTTGAATTTTAGTTTAAAAAAATCCTGGAAGAAAATAATAAATTTAGATTTTTTACCTGAGATTGCAGATACTTAATTAACTATGTTTGATTAACTATTCATAGTATTAATTTAATAAAACGATTAAGATTGATACCTCAGACAGTTTGATATCTTAATCATTGTATGTGTGTTCATGTTAAGAAGAATGTAAATGGTTAGATTAAGTATTACACGAGACAGGTTGTTATGTGGGCGTCAAAAAAGATGTGAGTACATTAATCGAGTGATTGCAGTAAATAAGAGATTTAAAATAAGACGAGAAATAATCAGTCTTATGTAAACTGCAAATAATTACATCGAATTCAATCTTCTTTATTACTATTTTACGTTAATATATGTTACTTTTCATGATTAGGCCACCCGGTATTTGATGGATTAACTTAAAAAAATATTAAATTACCATTTGGGCCATTAAAATTCTTTATAAAATGGCCTAGAATTTTCATTTACAATGCTCGGGAATCTGAAATAGAAAACTAATAAATTATACTTCAACTTATAATGATAAAAAAATAATTGTTAATTTTACTGATTACAGATATTACCGTTAATCATATTTGCCTTTATAATGAAGCTAAAGGCGGATTCAGTTCCAACAATAAATGGATTACCGCCATTGAAATTGGACAAAAATCTACGGCGCGCTTTACTGCGCGCTTTGGAAGATTTGGAAGCAGAGTCTGCTGAAGACAGGTCTGATCCACCGACGGCTGAGCAGTTGGTCCTAAAAATACAAGAGCAGGAAAGTGAAGAAGAAAAAACAAATAAAGATGAAGAAAATAAAAAACAAGAAGACGAAGAACTAGATAACAAAAATAGAGAAAAAATATTAGAACGTTTCAAAGGAGCGTCTGTAACGTACGAACATTTCGCTAGTGACTCCGAGGACATAAGCGAAGACAAATTACAGAATTCAACATTTATTGAGACAGATAAGTACCAAGCGGATGCGCAGAGTTCCGAAGTGAAAGCGGAAAAAAGCCAGGAATTAAATCAAAAGTTAGATGTGCTGTTGGGTGATCAAGCAGTCGTTGAAAAATCACCAGAGCCGTTGCAAGTAGAACAAGTAGAAACGCGCAGTGTTAAATCAATTGGCCATTCATCAAACAGAATACAAAATTCATTTAAGCCAATTGCCAAAGACATCAATCACCACAATCATGATAACGATAACAAGGAGATATTGGCGATAAGTTCCAGCAACGGAATAGCATCTGCGTCGGCAAACTCACTGGTCCCACCCAGTCCAACGGTATCAAGTCCAACAACACGCCCAGCTAAAAATGCATCAGCACCTGTCTTGCCCACAGTACCGGCAGACACTAAAGGCAAAAATGAAGAAAAATCGGAGGTTAAAATATTCCAAGCGCCTCTTGTAGCAGCTTTCACTGTCCAGCAAGACGAGCTGGGAGTTCCCAAGAGCGTAGTGCCCATTTACAAGCCAGACGGAAAGGGACAGGCTCTGACTTTGCAAGAGCAGTTGGAATTCAAGCAGCAGTTGCTTGAAAAACAATTGGCCGAGCTTCAAGCTCAGCAGATTCAGCAAACTCAATTTTTAATTCGCCAACAGCAGCTGTATCAAGAGCAACAGAGACAGAAACAGAGACAGTATTATCTTGCGGAACAGGCCAGACAGAAATTGCTGGAAGAACAGAAGAATAATCAGCTGAAATTACAGCAACAGTCAAATTTACAACAACAACAGCAATTGTCGCTTCAGCAACAGCAGCAGTCATTGTCTCTTCAACAACAGCAACAACAGCAACAACAGCAATCATTGACCCTTCAGCAACACCAACAGCAACAACATCAATCGTTGTCTCTTCAACAGCAGCAACAATCTCTCCAGCAACAACAACAGCAATTACCGTTACAACAACAATTACCTTTGCCTCAACCTTTAGGCGCGTTTAGTCAAAATCTTCAAACTCTTCAGCTGCCTTCTAAAAGTTCAAACGTCCAATTTCAAGCGAGTCTTGGCTTTCAAGTGCCTCATATCGGTCAATCTCAGTCGTTTCAAACAAATTTTCCCGATCAATTACGGATCCAACAACTGCCGCTTCACAATGACCTGAAGCAAAACTTTAATTATAATCAAAATTTCAATAACTTAAATTCTAACTTACCGCAACAGTCATTTTTAAGAGGTCAAGATCAACGCGGCGTCAACGTTCAAAGCTTCCCCTCAGTTTCTGTAGACTTCCAGCCGCCAGCTGTTCCTAGCTCCAACAGGTTTAACCGACAAGAAGCCTTGGGATCTGTTGGCAACTTTGGTATTAACGAAAACCGACAGCAAACACGAAATCATTTAGTATTTGATCTCCCGAGACCCGTATCGTCGTTCGTGCCTTTCAATCAGTTTTCATCGTTCAGGCAGCCTGTTCACAGGCCACCGACTCCTGCACGGCAAATCCAGCAGCTTCTTTTCCAATCTGGAGTCGCTGGAGAACTCGGACGCAATCATGGCGCGCCGGGAAATCACGAGGACTTAAGCATAGTTTCAAAAGTACTCGCTCTTAATGTCGGTGCTGGGCCCAACAAAAGCCTTAAGTTCAACGATGATTTCTTCCGAGCGTGAATAAGTAATTTTTCTCCTTTTCATTTATAGATATGAGTTTCATGTCATCGAGTCTCTTTAATCATTTAATAATAAACTAAAATATAAACGCCTGTAAGTTATGTGAAAGCAAGCGTGAACTTGTCAACAAAATTTCTCTCTTCATTTTATCACTTTTATTAAATTAAATCAAAACTATTAGAGAAATTACAGTCAAAGAGCTGGACTAAAAAAAACTATTTACAAACAAATTTATATTTATATTTATATAGAAAAAATAACATAACAATTTAAAAATTAGAATTATTATAAAAATATATTGCATCGTTATTATAATAAGGAAGGTACTGATTCCTTAACAAGACTAATGATATTAATTAAAACGCTACTGATGTATGCTGTATACTCTTGGGAAGCGAACATTCTTGCATTTTTCAGAGTTAAACATATATACGGGAATCCCTCATACTCATATATTATATATATATATTTAAAAACTTACTGCTAGCGTAATATAAGAATAAACTAGACTATTTCAGATGAAGCTATTGCGTAAGCCAATTATGTGTTGCCTTTGTCCTAAGATACATATATAATTACTTTTGTTTGTCGCCTCACTTTAATACCGTTACATATTATATGATATATAATACATTTTACCCTCAAGATTATACTATTTACACACCTATATTTACAATTACAATACTGTAGTAAATTTTGGACGCATAATTAATTGTTTAGTTTTTTATTAGATAAGATATTTATCATTATAGTTTATATAAAAAATATCGTATTGTATGGGCGTATGAAAAATGTTTTTCCAAAAGAAATAGTATAATTACGGTCTAGCTGTTTAAAAATCAAGGAAACAATTAATCAAATTTTAATTATTCTTTTAAGAAGAAGAAATCTGATACATTTTTATTTTACTCAATTGTTTTCGTTTATCAATAATGGGTTTTGTACAAGAAAAATTTCAATATTTCTTCTTCATTTTTATCATAATTACAACGATTTTTAATAGTACTTATATAAGTATGTACTCTATGGAATGTAACACGATAGATCAAGAAAATGTCAGTACTTAAAATAAAATGTTAAAGTGACGAGCGCGGCAATGCTCAAAGAAATTTTTGATTTTAAAAGCTAAAAGTCTTAAATACTTACGTTAAAAGTATAATGATTAAATATAGTTGTTAAATAATAATAAATGTAATTAATAATACATAGTAACAATAATAAACGTTTATTTATGATCAATTAAAATAGTAATTTTAAATGTCAAGGTCAGAGATCATTTAGGTTTGTAAAGATTAAAAAATCTGGGCGATTTAAAATAGAAAATGAAAAGAGGGAAAGTTTTTACGGCTGAATGTAATGGACAGTTGGAATCTTTTAAAGATAATCATGTATGGGCGTTTATATACAATGGAAGATGTGCAATTGTATTTATTAGAAAATACCTTACTGGAGATGTGGATGTAATAAGCACTTTTCAGGTGTATAAAACTTTATTGTATGTACTTTTATACATTTTGTTTAATGTACAGTAACTGGTGACTTTGGTATATAGTAGTTATGCTTGATTTCCTGAAAGATGCGATGACGATGAGTTAATGCTGGAGCATGAGACGGAAGATTAAAAGAAAAAGAAACGGCAAGATCGTGTTGTGTTGAATTGAAACTGGCGAAACGTCCTCAATTTCACAAACGCCTTTGGCATTCAATTACTGATTTCTCTTGTCCTACCAAATCAATCACGTGTAATAATTAATATGTATTTTTATTTTTTTTTTTTATCATTTTTAATTGTCTAAATTTTAATTAGATCTAGAGATCGCCACATGCACGTGTAACTTTAATGAGACTAATACTTAGATTTTATTATGGTAAGCGATAGCAATAAATTATTTAATATTATTGAATAAGTGTGAATAACAATTTATTATGTATTTACAATTTATTTTTACTTTTAATAAAACCCTGTAAACAGTAAACATGACTTTGAAGGTGGAGTGTAAAAATAATAAAGCCAATAGATAACTTACTTTGTATCTTGCTACTTTGTAATAAATACTAATTTCTTAAATTATTTAATGTTATTTTATTTTATACATCTATGATGATCAATCGAGCGGAACGTCGAATTTATTGCAATTACTACAAGTAATTGCTATCGTATAAGTATATAGGATTCATACAAACTCCATTATTGTTTGATTTGTTATCTGACAGACATATATTATTTACACATTTTTTCTTGCTCATTCAAAGTATTAAATAAAGAACGAACAACTCAGAAAATATGTACAATTATATAACAAATTGAATTTCTTAATAATTATTAAATTTATTATAAAACATAATAATTAAAAATAATATTTTTTCACACAAGATACAATTAAAAGAAAAGAATTTTTATAACATTGTTGAAAATTTTATAAACTTTCATTCTTAAAGTTGTTTCTTAGAATTCATGTTAGCTAATTAATATAATTCATATAAACGTATAACTATTATGAGAAAAAATGTAATTATAAAAACATTTTTCAAATCTAATTAAAAATACTTTATTATTGATTTACTGATTTAGTTGAAAAATTAATACGTATAAAAATTATTTACAAGAATTTATTTTCATTATCACATTTGTCCTACTGCGCTTACAGACTCTGCTAAATTCGTCCTTTTGTCTTCTTTTACACGCGCAATGATCAACTCAATGACGGCTTTTTGCGTTCGCCGTTCTAGTTTTTCTAATTTTTTCGACACGTCACGTTTCAAATCCCAATCTGGTTTGCGAGGAGCCAAGCTTGTTAAATCCTAGTAAACAAATTGATAAAATTTAATTATTTACATGTTTCATGTAAAACTATCATATGTTTGTCAAATAAGTCATAAAATGAAACAGAGTTTTTTTTTTCTAACTACTTATGACACTGTAATCAGCAGACATTTGATTATTTTCTAATTCCATTATGAAAATTTTTTTTAATGATTCATTTGTTATAAAAATTGTCAGATCTCTAGTAATTACAGTATCATAACTATTAATGTAAGGTTTAGTAGACATTACAGACTTAAAAATTTGGACATGTCTATTCACACTTTAAAAAAGTCCTGATAAATACTCACCACGTGAATGTAAGGGCTTTAACATTCACGCAGCGTGGATTTATCAGGACTTTTTTGTTTGTGAATAGTCACTTCTTAAAAATTGATAATTAGAAAAATTAAATGTAATAAAACTTACAAGCTCTTCAAAAACAACTTTAGAGTGAGCTGCAGATAATAAATCTTGAACTTCTGATTCAACGTTACCAGGTTTAGCCTCCTCCAGGACATTTTCTTTTAAACTTTCATCCTGAGGTTTGTAACTTCGAAATTTAGGCCTAAAAAATCAACAAATCAGTAATTAATTTATAAATAGTTAAACAAAAACTAAGAAATAGAAAAACAAATATTTACTTGGGTAAATTACCAAATTCATTCGAATTTTCACTGTTTTTTTCTTCATTTTTTTTCTTTAATTCAGCTAACCTTTGCTTTCTTTTTACTGCTTCGTCAGTCAAAGTTCCAACTTTATCATCCGACATTATGAGATATTTTTTTATACTCACTTAATTTATTTTTCAATTAAAAATTTTCAATAAGACTGGTTTGTTTATTTACTGACTTTGTAAGGTTAGAATTTATGTGGGTTAACTCTTCAATATCCAGGTGACGATTCTTTACTCCAACTGCCATGTGGAAAAAAGCTCAGCTTCTGCGCATGCGCATCCGACCTAATTTGAAAAGAGAAATTCCCGCTCGGTAACCCCCACATAACCTATAAAATTAATTTTAATTATTTATGTGCTCAATTAATAATCTTTTAACGTTAATAATCTTTTAATTTGTTAATTAATTATTCAATAAATTTTTATTTTAGATAATTAGTTAGTTCCAAAATTGACGTTCCGGTCAAAGTTTATTAAAAAATAAATCATCAAGCTGGTGATAAATAAAACAATATCGGTACCTTCTCTATTGACATTTTCTTCTCTCTCTCTCTCTCTCTCTTCGGGAAAAACCCCCACTTGTATCTGTTGTACCGACAAAATTTTAGAGGGAAAATTTTTTGCCCGCAAAATCCACGCATAGTAACTAGCGCCACATGTATCACCCGCAACGGAGACAGAGATACAAATAGAGTAAGATAAAAAAATAACGTCGTGAAAAGGAAATGGACTAGTCCCAACTAGTCCGTAGTCCTATTTTCCGTGCATCACGTAAGTTTCTTTGTTGTCATCCATCATTTTATAAAATATTTCCATTTTAAACAATTTAATGTAATTGCTAACTTTACTTATCATTTACTATAATTACACTTTTTTTTATTTGTTTGTTCTTAATTAATAATACACCGACTATTAAATCACAATCTTACTAATTAATATAACGAAAATTTTTCGATCAATTATACACCCAAAATAAGTGGTAATGTCAACTCTGGTAGATTAAAAACCCAAACATATATTTAATTATTGACTATAATAATTAAATAAAATAAAGTTAATACTCAGCGCACAAGTGATATCAAAATGTCGCTGGGCTTTAAAAACGCTAACCTTCGCAATAATTTAATTGCAATACTAATATATCGCCAGCAATATCATTAATTGCCATTTTATTTTAATTATCTTATTTGTTACTAACAATAATGCAATTAATGCTGCGGTTTATTTAACGGTTTTTATAAAATCAGAAAGCGTGTGAACTTGGATTTTTAGATAATTAGTTAGTTCCAAAATTGACGTTCCGGTCAAAGTTTATTAAAAAATAAATCATCAAGCTGGTGATAAATAAAACAATATCGGTACCTTCTCTATTGACATTTTCTTCTCTCTCTCTCTCTCTCTCTCTTCGGGAAAAACCCCCACTTGTATCTGTTGTACCGACAAAATTTTAGAGGGAAAATTTTTTGCCCGCAAAATCCACGCATAGTAACTAGCGCCACATGTATCACCCGCAACGGAGACAGAGATACAAATAGAGTAAGATAAAAAAATAACGTCGTGAAAAGGAAATGGACTAGTCCCAACTAGTCCGTAGTCCTATTTTCCGTGCATCACGTAAGTTTCTTTGTTGTCATCCATCATTTTATAAAATATTTCCATTTTAAACAATTTAATATAATTGCTAACTTTACTTATCATTTACGATAATTACACTTTTTTTTATTTGTTTGTTCTTAATTAATAATACACCGACTATTAAATCACAATCTTACTAATTAATATAACGAAAATTTTTCGATCAATTATACACCCAAAATAAGTGGTAATGTCAACTCTGGTAGATTAAAAACCCAAACATATATTTAATTATTGACTATAATAATTAAATAAAATAAAGTTAATACTCAGCGCACAAGTGATATCAAAATGTCGCTGGGCTTTAAAAACGCTAACCTTCGCAATAATTTAATTGCAATACTAATATATCGCCAGCAATATCATTAATTGCCATTTTATTTTAATTATCTTATTTGTTACTAACAATAATGCAATTAATGCTGCGGTTTATTTAACGGTTTTTATACAATCAGAAAGCGTGTGAACTTGGATGATAGTTATCTTGTTATTTGTATAAATTATTTATGGGATTATAGTGTGTGATTTAGCAATTGCAATAAAAAATATTGTGGGATTAGATAGAGAAAAATAAAAACAAATTGTTATTTTTCCAGTGCATATTTTATATCTTTGATAAATGCAAAATAAACTCCTTTAAAATTATTAAAATTGAGTGTTTTTAGGTAAATAAATACACTTGTGTTTATTTTGACATTTGACAAGTATTTTGACGACTCCGTTTTCATGTAGTATAAATAAAATTTTACAAGAAAATATTTTTATAATACATGAGAAAATTTTTATATAATTTAATAATGTTGTTTCAGCAAATAATTAAAAATAATTTTTTTTTTTTATAAGTATTTTTTATTGCAGTGAATAATAATAATAATAATAATAATAATTTACAAAAAATTAAGCTCTCATCAGTATTGACAAAAATCTTTAATATTGATTCATACATTTAGGATTAAAAAAAAATTTTTTTTTTAATAAATTATTATAGAAAAATTTTTTAGTGATATGTTTTAAATTATTTAAAAAAAAAATTTTACTGCAACATCTGCTATAATATTATGAAAAAAAATTTCATCATTCCAAGTACCGATATTTTTATAAAAAAAAAAAAACGTCAATTCATTAAAAAAGTCATCCTGAAATTTCCAAAGGAAACCTTGAGGGTCGGAAAAAAAGTAAATTAGAAAAAGCAACATTGAATTTGACGTTGAATCTGTTGGCATTTATGTAGAAACTCAGTGTGACGATCATGGAATAGAAGGGTCGAGGGAATGCAGGGGGTTGGTGACTGCTGCGGGGCCAGGAGAAGGAAAAGAGTGAAAGAGAGTGCACCAGTGATCAGTGATATGAAGTAAAATAGCCGGAGCTGGAATAGAAGCAGAGAATGTAACAGAGAAGGAGAGAAAGAGATTGTGATGGTTTTAGAGGAGAGGAAAAGTAACTAGCGGCTAGAGGCTAGAGGGGGAAAGTTATTCTTTTTAGTACCGAAAGGGAGCTCTATGCAAAAGCTCTTTAAACTAAGTGTGCATTGTACTGCGTTTGTTGAATTCAGATTTGGATTCGGAATAGGAATTAATTGTTGTTTTATAGAATCCGTTGAGAACGACACCGAGATAGGTATTATATACAATACCTAAGATAGTTTATGTGGATATGGTTACATAGTGAGGAGGGATCGATCCTCTATTCCATTATATATTTTATCAGAGGTTTTTTTAGATACTTTTATTCATGTTATCTGTATTATGTGTTCAAAGTCTTTGATTACATGCTCGAGTGTTCTATCGAGCAAATCAAAGGGCTCTCTTGTAAATATCTGTGCATAATTCCTCTATAAAATCTCGGTAAATTATACTGACTACTCAGGTGTTTACCAAACTGTTATTAATAATGTTGATGTCATATTTGTTTATTTTTTTTATTTTATTATTTCAAATTTTTATATTAATATTTACTTTTTTTTTTTTTTTTTTTTTTTATAGATAGACAAACAGAGCCAAAATGGTGTCCACTCGTCAGTCGAGTAATATGGGAAGCAAAGTTACTGATACTAGTGAACCTGGACCACCACGCAAACACATCCAGAATGCTGGTGCTAGTTCCTTGCCTGAACCAGCACCCAGCCGCAATCTAAATCTTCTGGATTTGCCACCAGAGATCTTTGAGAAGATCGCAAGCTATCTTGACTACAACACAATCGCAAACATTCGTCCGGTTTGTTTTTTTTAATGTGATTTAGTTTTATTTGCAATAATTATGTTTGATTTGTTTTTTTTTTCATTAAGAATGAAGCTGTTATTACTGGTTGTTGGTCTAGGTATGCCATCAAATGAACTCGATGTGTGGCGCGATTCTGAGCTCCTCGTTCCAACGAATCCTGGGACAAATGCTGAGTCGCTTTCATGGTATCAAAGCCAGGATGCCAAGACGTGAATCAGCACGTCGAAACCACCCGCTGTCATGTGAATCTGATATCATTGAAACTGTTCATATGCGACTTACTTTGTTGCAAATGACGCTTGGCAAACACATTGAACGTAAACACTGCTGTTTTTTTCCCGGTTTGGTAATTATTTTTTTTAATTATTGAAATTCAATGTTTCTTTTTTAACATAAATATTTTTATTTTAATTTAGATGTTGTTTTTTTTTTTTTTTTTTTGTTTTTCTTTTGGTGAGAATGTTTTTTAAATGACTTTTAATTTAAATTTATTTTAATTAAAATTTTTAACTTTAATTTGAGAAAAATTTCTTTTTAAGTTTTAATTTTTGATTTTCATATTAATGATTTTTATTTAAACTTTTAAAATTTAGACTCCAAATTTACAAGCAATAATAATTGTCTTGCTCAGTCATTATTTTTTATATTTTTATTAAACAACAATTTTTGATCTAGATTAAATTCTTTCATAGATTCTAGATGAAGTAAACCGTGTTTTACACTACATAAAAGTAACTCCAAAACTTGTAAAGCCTTACAAAGTTACTGACGAATTATTTGATTTGAGTTCAATGGCTATGGAATTCTTCAAAGAGCAGATTGAGCCAACTCTGCCAGAAATTGCATGCTTTAGTGATTTTCTTGACATTGCTGGTACATTTTCAAGTACGTAACTTATTATTTTTATTTTAATATCCATTAATTAAAGCGCGACCGCTAGCTTTAATTATTTTTTCCCAAAAATAATTGCTCTTAAAAAAAAAGTCCTTGGATTTATAAAGAAAAAAAAAATTTTTTATCCTAAAAAGCAATTAACTTCCAAGTAAAATAAGTTTCTGCCGAGCCTTTATAAATTTTTCGAGTTCAACCGCAAGCCTAGTTATTTTTATTCACCTGGAAAGTGTAACGGAAACGCCATAAGTATAAACTTTATCGCAATTTCGAAAGTTACATTTTTTCCACCTCCAAACAAAAAAACGCAACCACTTGAAAGCTAACGGTTTCGTGTAAATTTAATAAAATTATTTATTTATTATTATTTGAAATTTTTTTTTTCATATTAAATTAATTATTGATTAATTGGCAGCGTCAAGTAGCGTAAGCAAACCATTCCTGTGTCTGGATACTCTACCGCTGGTGGATAATAGCGACTGTAGCAGCAGCAGTGTAGAATGCTCGTCCCGACCTTCGGTGCATGATGAACCCGAGTTGGTGGAGATAAATACACCACCTCAATCAAACATGGTTTTACGGAAACGTATACGTAGAATAAAACTTAACATGAAAAAGTATAACACCCAGCTGGTTCGGATGCAACGCAATCTCAATCTCTGCAAAACCAAAATAGCTGAACAACAGAAGCAGATCCTCGAATATGCAAATCGTCTTGATGATAATGATAAAAAGAACGAAGAAACATCCAGAAAATTCAGCACTCTACTACAGGTATTTACTAAGGTACTATTGATGGATTGATGTTTAGGTCTAATGCATCTCTCTGACTTAGTTCAATATAGAGTTGCGGAACTTGTTGATTACTCGCGATAAATACCTAAAATGAAGTTGCATAAATACTGAATTGATTAATTACAAATGATTATTTATTTCAGGAATTGAATAAATGCAAGACAGAACTACAGTACTGGCGTTCAAAGTCACCCGCAATACCTGTCTGCAATGGTTGTGGACAGTCGATGCCGATGCCTGCTGAAGATCTACAAGCTCTGGCCAACCAGTCAGCGAGCGTACTTGCAGAATCATTCGCAGAGCCCCTTAATTTCATTCCTATAGCTTTTGATAGCCCTAGTGAGTCTATTCAGGAGCAATTGACACCCCAGACATCGGTGATGGCGCCACCTAAGGCACCACTCTCCGTTCCAACAAAACGAAAAGTTTCCATTGATGACGCAGCGTCTGATGCCACCAAAAAATCCCGACGTACTGTAAAGTCACGTCATGCCAAGCGTAATAAAATTTAAAAATAATTGATGGTATAAAATTATATAATTAATAATAACAATACCGTTGATTTATTACAATTATCAATCTTATGGATTTAATAACTTGTTTCCAATGGAATATTCATAAATGTTTATTATTAATTTATTAATTTTATACTTTTTCGTTCTTGCAGGATTGTCGTAAGTGTTCATTTTTTTAAATTATTAAGAAGTAAATTTTATTAAAAGTGTTGAATTTAAAATTTTCGGTTATATTTTACCAAAATTGTTGTTGAAATTTAGTTAATTATTTAGATTAGTTTTTCAAATTAATATTTGATGATAAAATAATTTTTTTTATTGGTGAGAAAAAAAATTATATAATGTTAAAAATTTCCACTTATTAAATAATTTTACTTCTTATGAATAAAAATTTAGTTAATTTACTATTATTACAATTACTTAATTACATGTATTTACTTTGTGACACTGAGGACAATATCCGCACGGAGAACTTGCCGTAGTTAAATTAATTCAACCACAAATTGGAATTAATATTCAGAGTAATAATTATGGACTTAGGTCACTGTAATTATTATTCATAATACTAATTCACTATATTTTTTATTTCTTACTTACTTTTTTCTGTATGAATTTTCGTCAGTGAAATTATTCGTTATATTATATTAAGAGACATTGTTCAGATTGTTTTGAGTAAACATCACGATTGTAAAAATGAAATGAAATTCCAATTAATAATTTAATTGCGAATTGTATAATTGTAAATTAATCGCAAATTTAACATGAAATTGTACAAAAAAGAAAAAATAAAAAAAAAATTTGTCTCACTGATCGAAACGAATAATCAACTCACGACCACTTACAACTTAATTTAAATTAATTATTTACTAGTAATTAAATAATTATTAGTTAACAAAAAAATAGTAGAGCAAATAAAAATAGACTAAGTGTAGTTGATAATAATTATTAATGATTATTATTATACTCATACTTGATCATATTTCATTATTAATATCAATAACAAACATTTACTTTAATAAAAAAATTTTAACTGTATGTAGTAGGGTGTTTAGATTGAAAACAATATTGTATTATAATGTTCATTTCAAGAAACTGATGTGTATGTAAGGAAGATAAATGTTATAGATTGAGATCTGGTATAGTTATTAAAATTTTGAATGAAAATTATACGATATATTGTCTGCAAATAAAACACCCCAACATATAATTAAAACAATATTATATATTTGAGTGAAGGAGACGTTAGAAATCTGTGCTTAAGACATTTTAGTTTTCATCTGAAACAAAATAGATAATTTATGGTATTTCTATTAATTGAACAAACAAACAAACAAATAAATATATATATATTGATTATGGAAAAAAATATAAGCGTGTGTGAGATTGAGTGAACGATAAATAAAAAATATATATTATACAAATAAATGAATATATATTATATATAATATTAAAAATAAATTTAATTTGGATGTGATTAAAAAATTAACATATTGCGATATTTTGAAAAAAAAAAAAAAAAAAAAAAAAAAACAAAAAAAACGTAAAAAAAAAAAAAAAAAAAAAAAGTGACCTTTCATGGCGTTTCTGGTAATTTTAAAAATTTTCTTTCTGAAAAATAATTAATAAACGTAAGAATTTTTTTATCGATATTTTACAGTGGCGGAGTGATTTTTTGTCTTTGTGTACTTGAATAAAATTATGAAATTAAGATTAATTATTTTTTTGTAGGGATAAACAAAAAATTAAATCACGTATATGTTAATTATAAATTGTATTGTCATTTGAGTAAACTAAAATATGATTTGAATAAATAAATTGTCAATACAATTATAAGAATAAATGAACGGTCAGAGATTAACGGAGCGATTTAGTAAGTTGAGTAAATTTCAAAGATTTAATTGTATAATCCAACAGTCCGCACAATTGCAAATACTTAATTATTTGTTGTTAACAAATTAACAGATAAATAAATAAATGAAGTAATTTAAAGTTACACGTAGAAGCGAACGATGTCAACGCTCCTGCCAGCCGAGAAAAATATATATTATTATAATTAATAATTAATTACTAATAGTAAATAAAAAAATTATATTATTAATGAATTTTCTGTCTTAATTGATTTAATAATAAACATTTTTTTATTTTTTAAACAGTACTATTTTTTTTATCTCGCTTCTATAATTTGTCATATTTATATAAGGTTTCTAGATTTTAATAACGATAGCATTAAAATGAATAGAGCTAATATTTCACAAACCTTCAGAGTCAACAATTTTATCAAAAAAGCCCGTGGACATAAAAGAGTTATATAAAATCGCAAACATTTAAATCGAATAAATCCGACGGTTTTATTATTATTATCATCATAAAAATAACGGATTTGCTTTAGTTGGCAAATAAATTTACTATCCACACAATGAAACTTTTTCCAAAGTCCTGAAAATTGAAAAGCATTAAATAAATTTTTTTTTTTATACATATTTATTTTTATTTAAATCCAATAAAATTTCAATTTTAAAATGCGATATTTTTAATCTTGTCTAATTTCAATCATCGACTTTTGAAGGTTGAAGGTCACATTTATATACTTCATTATTGGTTTTTAACTTCTCGCTTTTCAAACATCGAGTTTTCATCAGATCTCGACGTGTTGAGATCCTAGGAAGCTTCCCTGAGCTCAGAGAGCTCAAAATAACGCATAAATTATATTTTTGAGCTCGAAAAGCTCAAAAACGTCATAAGTGCAATTTTAAGCTTTTAGGTATGGAGTTTCTTAATTTAACAACTTTAATCATAAAAACAATTGTTACATCCGCTGCTACTTACCATCAACTAAAGATTTTTTAGGCAGTTAAATTTTTCAGCAAACATCAAGTGAATACAAAGTGAAGAATTTTAATAATTTAACTACCGTATAATGCGTGTAAATGTTAAAAATAAAACTAATTAAACTCGTTGAGGATTATCCGTGGAAAGTACATTCCAAATATACAAGCAAAAGTCAACATAGCATGCTAAAAACTTGTAAAAATAGTGCTTTCACTTTGAGAATAAATTTAAATAAATTTTTATAATTACACCCTTTTTTTTCGTTTAATAATAAATTATAAGTTTTGTCTTAATCATTGAGGACAGTAAATACTTGGCTGGTATTTAGAGTGTTTATTTTATGACAATTATCAATTATTTCTTCTTGGCTTTCATTTTTAAGTTTTCGAAATTCGTTCACCTGAAAAGAAGTTTTCTTGATTAAATTTTAACATTTTTTAATATTTTAGTTGGGTAGTATATAATTACCTGGTACGAAGTCACGGGAATAAATAACGGAAACACTATCCATATAACACACTCAGGGTCGGTTTTAACGTGATAAGAACCAGAATAAGTGTAGTATTTTGAGCAATAAATTGCTTTTCGCATCCAGTACAAAATATCTGCAATAAAAAAATAAATATTACATTAACGAAAAATAATAAACGATTCCTCGAAATTGTTATTCTAGTGTTGATAACTCATTGGCGCATTTAATTTTTCTCTGATAAATCTTATTAATAAGACAAATATAAATGAAATAAGTTTACTCGTTGGAAGATTTATACTCGTATGAGGATTCCGTATGAACTTTAAATGTTCAATTATTTCTTCTACATACGGATTACTTTTCAAATAAGCGTCCTTGGTAACCAAAAAAAAGTAAACAAGTACACAAAGCCCGTCCTTGTACCTCAAACAATCATTAAATTTATTATATTTACTGTTGCGATGAACTACGTGAGCTTCCATGGAATACCTGGAAAATTCAATTATTTATTCAATTGATCGATGTTGGTTTCAGCGTAAAAGTGTAACAATAAATAATTACGAAGCTCCATTGATTTCGTGTTCAGAACCATCGCAATCGCATTCTCCCCAGTGGAAATGTACATTGACAAATTTAAATTCATCAGTCAAAGGCCCACCGGTTATAGTCGAGTCTGGTCGATTTCCCATTAGGTGAATAATAGCTGTTAATTTATTATTTAACAATTAACAATGATTCTCTAATTATTATTATTATTACTTGACTTCATAGATCTATTATTACAATATAAATTTCCAATTACCTGTTTCCCCATTGTTTGCTATCATGGCTTCTCCTCCTTTGACCCAGTGGCCTTTCATTATTAAAGGCGGGTACTTAGTCAATTTTGTCTTTTTGTCATCTATATTTATTGGTGATTTGCTCGTTCGTCCTGGAGTTTTTATTGTCAATTAAGACTAAGATAATTAATAATTAAAAAAACTTACCTTCCATTTTTTTTTTTTTCATTTTTTTTATGGCTTTATTTTACTTGAAAATTTATCACATGAAAATTAAAGTAGCAGATATTTAATAAATTAACAAATTTTTTGGTGAAATAAATTAGTGCAAAAAAAATTGACATGTTGTTGAAATTATGACATTAAAGTTAGCTGTCATTTGACAAAATTTTTAATTTTATTTAACAATTAAAATTAAAGTTAGCTGTCACGACAAAATTTTTAATTTTATTTAACAATTAAATTAATTCTAAAAAATTATTTTAAAAAAATTGCATTTTTAATTTTTTTTTAAATTTCTAAATGTCAATTTTTTTTTTTTTATTTTTTTTGCCATAATTTATTTGTTAAAAAAAGTTCTAAAAATTATTAAATATCTGCTAAATTAATTTTCATGTAGAAATTTTAAAATACTAAAAATGCGATTTTTTGAAATTAATTTTTTGGAAGAAATTTTTTTGTTAAAAAAAATTAGAAAATTGTAAAGTGACTGCTAACTTTAATGTCGTATTTATCACCCATTTTTTCCCATTGAATGAGAAGTCGGTAGAAAAAAAATAGAATTTGTCACATGTTTACCCTCAAAATTGACCGATTGTCAATTTTTTAACTTCAAAAATAAATATATTTATACATACCATTGTATGTATTTTAATAAGTTAGTTTACTATATATATTCTTCAATACTTGAAACAAATTTTTTTCAAATGTTTCTATGATATTCATTTATTTAAGTCAATAAAAAATCTTTAGTTATCTAAAAAACAATATGAATAAATTCCAGTGAATTCCACTTTAATTAATAAAATTAAAAAAAAAAAAAATGGGTTTTACACTTTCGGAACTTTGGATGTTATTAGGATGTCTTCTAATGATTGGTAATTTTTATATTTATTTTTCTCAACATATATAAGTATCTTTATTAAGTATAAAATAATTATAAAAATTTACCAACTAATTAAAAATTTTATTCTTCCCAACAGGTTTAGTAATGTACGACTTTTTGGAATGGACAACATTAATGACAATTGGAAGCAACATATCAATGAATTCTTCACCATCCGACATAACCATAAGCACAACATCCAGACTTGATGAATGGGAAAGTAAAAATCCAGTTATCAAACAAGAAATTATTGTTGAGGAAACAAATCAATTTCCGATTGATATAGCAACTCGTCGAGTTACAGTTATAGAAATTAGCGAGCCGTTAAAATGGCACGGATACTCGGCTCAACCAGTCGCTATGACAATGACTAATGATGGACGCTCGAGTAATTTATTTAACTAATTTCTCTTATTTAATTTAATTTCAATTAAGCTAGTACATGCGACCTCCTTTGAGCTCTAATAACGTAAGTAATAAGATTAACTTGTACTTGTTGTATATTGTATTAGTCGTAGTACGGGGCTTTTGGTCAAGAGGAGTACGGCCGTGTATTGCAGGCGGGCCATTGAAGGGCTCGTATCACTTAAATTCAATAGTCTTCAATTGGGGATTATCCGATGATAATGGCAGCAAACATTCCATAAACCGTACGCAGTTTCCACTTGAAATGCAATTGATTCACCTCAAATCTGAACATGAGAGTCTTGAAGATGCAATTCTGTCGAAAAATAGAGAATCCGTCGCAGTTGTTTCTTTTTTATTTGAGGTTTGTAGTATGCCCGTGAAACAATCTTATGAAATTGATAATTTATTGCTTCATATAGGTAGTTTTTAATTTTATGAAATCTCATTAACTTTTTATAATACTGAAATCAAAAAACTGTTGATAATTTTTTACTTTTTTTTTTTTTTTTTTCATTAAATAAGTCAGAACTTGAAAAATATTTTTTTTTTACATTGGATTTATAGTTTTTCAAATTTCTATATGGATTTTTTTTTCTTAATAATTTTTTCGATCAGAAAATCTGCTAATTTTAGTATCATGAATTTTGTAGTAAGGTAAAAGACCCCATTAGTGGCACTTTTCTTTCAATGAAAAAATGTTCTATTTGGAATAAAAATTAAAAATTTTTTTGATCAAAAGGTCTTAAAAATTATAAATAATATATTTATTATTGAAATTAATGATTTAATTAATTGAATAACTACCAAAATCAAAAAAAGTGTCAGTAATGGGGTCCCCGCCACTAATGGGGTCTTTTACCCTATTTCATATAATAACAAAACTTAAATTTCATGAAGTTTTACAAAACTTAATGAAATTTCACATAATTCTATTATACATTTTATAAACTTTTATGAAACTATAAAGAAGTAATAATTTTATAGTTTTATGAAATTTAATATAATTTAATGAAGAAATTTTTATCGAGAAGGCAAAATAAGAAAAAAAAAAAAAAATGATGATTTCTTTCTTAATTATCAATTAATCAAAATTTGATTTTCTTAAATATTTGTGTAGCAGTAAAATTTTTTATTCTGAATCTTTGAAATAAAAAAAAAAAAACTGGTAAAATCCTGAGTAAAAATAAATTTTAATATCTTAATAGCGACTATCAATATTCAAGCGCTTTTATTTTCATAAAAATTGAAATTTTAATCATGGATTTCAATAAAAACCCTAAAAAAAAATTAATTGTCAAATAAAACTGAATAATAAAAAGATAAAAAAAAATAGCCGACAGATAATGACAACAATACCTTGGATCCGATAATAGCAAATTTATCACGTGTCACCAACACAAACACAAAAGTCTACGTCCCGCCATTCTACCTCGACACCCTATTTCCATTATTTGAAAGCAAATTCTACAGCTACAATGGATCGTTAACGCAGCCTCCGTACTCTGAAATAGTGACATGGATTATCCAATCAAAACTGCTCTTCGTATCTTCGTTACAAGTAATTGTCATCAGCAATTTTTACAAGCTATTTTCTCATCATACCCTTTCACTAATTCAAATGTGCGTTCCAGATGATCCAATTTCGCAAAGTTCAATCATACATTCAAATAATTTGTAACAAAAAATCATTATTCAACGATCAAGATATTTATTTCCATGAACTAAATTAACTCACCGAAATCTAACAGTAATTATACACATATTTATTATCATACAATTATATAGACATTTTTTTTACATTATTTATCCAACTGTACATGAAAATAATATTTTTATAATAAATTACAATTAATTAAATAAATTAAGCGATGTATAGAAAATATAGCTTTAAATAATTGCATTTTATATTATATTAAAAATAATTGTATATATATATATTTATGTGTTTATTTAATTATTTATTTATATTTGTCATTCCATTTATATAACTTTTCATTTATTTTCTCGTTTTTTAAATGCAAAAAATATTTGAAAAGGCTGCATTGGACGCGATTTTTTTTTTTTTAATGAATATTTTTATTTACAAATAATTTATATATTTTTGTTAAATAATATTTATAATTTATCCATATAATACTAAGGCAAGGGCCAATTGTAAAAGTACAGAAAATTTTTAGACAGCATTCTCTATTTTTCTTCTCATATATTTTAAATAAAATATAATTAATAATTAAAATTATCAACAATAAGCAGTTTTATAAAAACTAAATATTCTTCAACCTAAAAGAAAAAAAAATTATTTTCATAATAATTTGTCAATGAAGTATATATAACAGTTATCTTCTTGAATAGCTGTTACACCTGTCAGAGAATACTGTCCAAGAATAATCTTAAAATTAAACAAATTGAAATCAATAAATTCAGTGATTTGAGATGAAAGTAAGTTAAATTAACAATAAAATGTAATCAGCTTAATTAAGTCAATTAAATTAACAGTATTGACATAGTTATTAATTATTTAGCCATCAAATACACTCCACTAAGTATTTCTAGGTCTAACGTCAGCAGGGACGTAAAAGTCCGCACTGTATAATACGTAAAACACAGAAATATTTATTTGCTTGAATCAATTATTTATAATTTACCATGAGATGTATTTTAAAAAAATTACGGCAGTGATGATTGGAATCAATTCTCTGGATCGCGATTGCGAAATGTCTGACACAATATCGTTGCTGTTATTATCCCCAGAGTCTGAAAATTATTCAACTATTTCAATAAACTCTATGACGGTAATTAATATTTTTAATTAACTTCCAGCTTGTTACAGTCTGACGAAGCCAACAAGCAAATATCAATTAATACACATCTATATTTATGTGTGAGCTTACCTGAATACCTGCCATGCCCATGCCGAGAAAAACAAGCTTTAAACTCTCATTACGAAGCCAATTTGTCGCTCTTTCAAGGCAACCCTGCAATTTAAGTATCGATTATAAGCGTATTTAATACACGATAGTAAACTCAATGAAAATAATATGATAAACTCACTATTTTATTCCTAAAACCTTCGTTCGTTTCCGGATCTGTTGCTTGGCAAGCTGTTTCATCTTTTGGTTGCGGATGTAACCATGGCTCATTCTGTACAGTATTTTATTTTAATTAATTTTAATTCTCGGTAATTATCTATGGTTAAATGAACCTACATTTTAAACTTTTAATTAATTTACGTTAAATTTTTTTTTAGCGGATTCATATTTTTTGACGTCCAAAAACGGCAACTAATTGGATTTTCTCATGTAAGTAATTGAATCATTTATTAATTATACTTCTACGGCGAGTTTTTTTTTTTTTTTTTTTTCTTGTCAATTATTTATTGTTTGTGTTTCAGATTTTATTTTTGAAGTTACAATTTTACGGATAGATAAAGCGACAGGTCACTTTGCACTAAATAAAAATTTTTTTTTTGTTTCAAAATTGTATGAAATGTGTGGAATAGTTAATTTTGTTTCACAACAATACAAAGTATAAATATTATACCAAAAGAATTGGTATCCGGTAAAGTATATGCGAAGCTCTAAATCACAAAATTATATAAAAATCTGCATATCGCAATGTATAAATTTAATTTGATTGCATATGAACTCATAAATTCCATTCAAAGGAGTGTATTTCAGCTGATAGCTAGAACAAAATGTCAAAAAGATGAATAAAAATGACAATTTATGATACACATTAACCAAACGAGTTTATGGAAGGCATTGAGCCAAAATTACCATACAGGGCAAATCAATCCCTCTAAAATGTCATAAAAAAAAGTATCCATCAAAATTTCAATAAAGATTTAATTTTTTTTATACTCTAATTTTTATAAAGTCTAATTAATTATAATTTTATTAATGATTTTTTTAGATAATGGTCTTTAATTGAAAAATACTAACGTCTTTGTGGAAGACTCTTGCAACGACACTCATCGGACTTCCGGTATTTTTAGCCTGGATAAAAATAAAAAACAATAATAATCTGTAGCTGGAATGTGTAAATATTTACATATTTAACAGATAAAAAAATGTTTAAATACCTCGTGGTTTTTAAGTATGCAACAAGTAAGAGGAACCTGCCTTTTAAGTCCGGATATCCTACCATCTCTCCACCAAGCAGTTCCATTGTAATCACCGTCACCGTAAATACCGCAGCAATTAAACTATAATTTCAAATAATTCATTAATATTCAATTATTTTTAACTTTTGAATCAAGATATAATACTGAAATTTATCACATGGAAATGATAATTTTAGTGTTATTATAATTATTAATTAATTATCACTATCAGACTTTAGAAGAGTAATGGAGTAATTGATACCTTGTACTGTGCAAAATCAAGACTTTGACTAAATGCGATATCACTTGTCCGATCGTGGCCGTAGTGATCTGCTAATCGATCTAATAATCTATTTTCCAAGCCAGTAACTGCACGGTAGGACAGAAAACCACCGACGGCCGCAGTTGCTAATTCGCAAACTATTAATCCAACAAGCATTGCAACATACTGGAAATCAGAAATCAATATTATTTTAGAGGCGTAACAACTAAACTCAAGTTTAAAGGGATTGAAATAAAATAAAAACTCTGGTGAGAGTAGTTAATTCTTTTAACGAGCTTAACTCATTGAAATCCATTAGCTTTTATTTTTTACCCCAAAGTACGAAAGCAGAAACATTTTATTTGCTCAATACTCTATTTTTCATATAAATTTGGAAAAATGCACGCTTTAAATCCAATTTCTGAAGATTTTAAAATTTCACTTAAATTTCTGACAGCTGTAATAAAGATTCACTGTCAACTGGTAGCAAGTAAATAAAATTTCTTGGTTTGAACACCAGTTACCTGTTGACTTTTTAAATAAAAATGTATTTAATATTTTATTTAGATAGAAACTTTCCCTTGGAGAAAAATAGATTTTTATCATTTATTTCATGTTTTCAATAAAAGTATTTTTATTTAAAGGTACTTTTTTTAATTTATTTTGAATTTTTTACTTTAAAAAAACATTTTTGATTGAATTGACTAAAAATTCTTTTTAGCAAAATAATAGTCAGGATGAAATATTAGCATAAAACTATAAAATTTTTTTATATAATCTTCACTCTTTAAATATTTAATTTTTATATTTACAATTTAATAATATTTTTAAACTAAATTCAACTGACTGCAAAAATAACGTAAAGTTTTTGAACATATTATGAAATATAAAATTATTATTTCCACTGGAATATAAAAGTTGAGAAAGTTTAATAAAACTTTACGGCGTTATTTTTACAAAAAAATAAAATAATTTTGAATTAATAAGTAATATATACATATATACTGTTACAGAATAATAGTAATCTTGTAATTTTAAGTTCAACTAACTTAAATAATAATTTAAAAGTAAGGTAATTATATAAAAGTCGAGCTTTATCTAATTCCAGGAATAAAAAATCGAAAAATGAAGACATTAAAAAATTCATAAAAAATATCAATATTCATGACACTATTTTTTGTTCATTTTCTATGCTCTTAAAAAAAAAAAAATAGTACGGTACTCTTTAAATTGATGTTTGGAAAATATTTGTGAAAAACCAAGCAAGTACAGGAATTTTTTTGAATTCAAAACTACGAAAGAAAAATATAAATATAGAATTTTAATTTTTTGCCAGGTAAATTAAAAAACTTAACTAAGTAACAAAATAACCCGAAATAGGTTGTGATACAAAGTCATTTAATTTAATTATAATGAGGCACTTAAGGATGTATATTTAATATAGCTATAAGAAATTGATTATAATATAAATGGACATACTGTCTATTTACTTTCCTGACCTATGTTCAGATAAATTTTTTATCTCTAGATAAATATATACAGTATAAACTTTGTATATTTTTTCACATAAATTTATATACGCGTATATTTTATTTTTTATATTTTTTTATTTGAAATGAATTAATAAAAAGAAATTCGATAAATAATTCGTAAATCTGCCATGAAGAAGAACTAAGTGAAGAAAAGAATAAGTCAATAATTTTTCGATTTTTTTTTTAAATTCTTACATTTAAACAATTAATTAAAAAAATGCATGTAATTTATTATTAACAAAATCATAGAAGTAAATTTTCTAAAAAATAGTTTTATACTCGCTATTTGAAATGAAAAAAAATCAACTTTATCATGCAAAAAATATTTTTTCTCGCAAACATAATCATCGCTAATAAGTACCATTAATCAATATTGAGCACAAACAGTAATTATTACAATAATTATTATTATTATGATTACTTACAACACCCAAAATGCACTGACTTCCATGCAAAGACGCGCGGCACCCGATAAATCCCACCGTCAATACAATAAACCCGTGACCCAGTAGTACGTAGGATAATATTTGCACCGTGTCATGGGGTGTTATGCTCTTGGCGAAGAGGTTTAACAAATGACCACTGCTCGGCTCTAATATCAACCAAGTGCCAATAACAATCACCATAAACCCACTCAACTGAAATCACAAAAATTTTTAAAAATAAAACTAGTATTTTTGGAATTTCTAAAAACAGATAAATAATTATCAACACTAATTACCCAGATTATTAAATTAAACATAAAAACGATTATCTTGAGATGCTTCATCTCTCAGGTGGTCATCCACTCATCGATTTAACTGCTAAATATCCAATTGTTGCTCCTTGCCTTTAGCCACCAGAATCCAGAATCGGTACTATTGGTTTTAAGTTTTTAAATCCATCTCTCAGTTCAAGGGATTCTATGACGTCAATGCTGAACCAAAATTTCTTTTTTCGCATTAACAATTGTTTATTCTAAAACCAAAAAATAACAACAATTACACTTTACAATAAATAATTACATCACTCAAATTTCTCGACAAAGTACTCGGGTTTAGTGACAATTTGTTTTTTTTTTTTTTCAACTGCGGTATTGTTTCCAGCGAACAATCAAGCCAATGATAATGAGTATTTTCCATCGAATTAAATTGAATAATACTATAATAAAAAAGTTATCTTCTGTTAATCCAGATCCTACATTGATAAACGATATCAGATAATTAAATTTTGGATAAAAGCTTATGAGATATTATCTTTTTGGTTTATTTTTTGTGCTTAATTGAATCCTTTAATTTATTCAAAAACTAATTACAATATTTAATTAAATAAAATTTCCACGAGCTTTCCGTTAACGGCGCTGCTTTTTAAGCATCAAGTTAATTAATTTTATCGATTTTTTGTTTTCATTCTCCAGGTAAATTATTGGAAAGAATCGCAGATTGAAAGAATTAGAATAAAAGGAAGAATATAAAGTATTCACATATTATCTGTTGCACAGCGCGGTTTTCGAGAGGTGAAATTGCGCGGTTGAGCCCCAGAGAGTCCGAGGATAACTGAGCGCGGGTTAATGTCGATACCCTGGATGGAGTATCATCAGTCCGGGTGGGTACTATGTTCTTCTCTTATTCTCCCACTTAAGAAGACGTCTAGCTCTCGCACATGCTCGCGTTTATTGTTGATAAAATGGTCCAGATGCGACTGCGTCATGGAGAAATTGCGTCGACGCGATCCGTACTTTCTCGAGGTTTAAATTCACTTTATATTATTTTTCATTTAAAATCCAAATTACTATTTTTCACTAACTGTGCAAACAGCTTAAATTTATCTAAAAGTCAATTTCGGCTTGTTGTTTTATTATTATTATCATCTTCTGTCTAGAGAAAATTATTTGCTATTAAGTACATGAGGTTAATATAGCAGTGAAGCTATATACTATTTACTGAGATAGTTATCATTATCATGAAAAATAGGATATTCTTCTTTTCAGTTATCCGTTGGTCCTTTTTCAATGGACGGAAATGCAATAACTGTCAGAATACAACAGTTATTCACTTGATTACTTATTTTTAAATATTGCTATTTTATATATAATAACTCGAGAGTTGTATGAAATTTAGTTATGTTAATTCTTGTAGTTTGATTATGCTTGACGAATTAATTGGTCTGACAATTAAATTGCGTTAGCTTCAATGTCTTAATATCTGTCGAAATAATATATTAAATTTCCATAAAAGTTATTGAAATTTGTTTGTTAATAAATAAGAAAAAAACAACTAAATTAATTTAAAAATTATAAACTAAATAATTAAATAATTCAATATTTATTATAATAAATTTACTATTTAATTATTAACAAATTTTATACATTTTTACTAATCATTACACATTTCTTCTTCAAATTGGCATCTTAAATATTATTCAACCATTAATTAAATTAATTATATGTTAATTAATTAAATAAAATTAGTTTTGGATCAAATCGCCACTTCAATTAAGTAAAAAGTATATATATCACGTACAAAACATTTTTTATGAAAATGTGTAGGGTAAAAATAATACAATGCAAAAGATGAGTAATTATGTCCCGAGGGAAAGCAGCTAAATATAAACGTTCACATTTTTTTTTTTTTCCTTTTTAAATTATTCTAGTAATTTTTATTTCGCGGCAGTTTCTTGCTATTGTGATTCTAAAAATATATATACTTCCTTACTTGTTACAATTAATAATAATAATTATTATTTATTACAATTATAGTTATAGTAATTTTACATAAATTAATAACTAAAATAAAAAATAGAACACGTTTAAATCTATGACTGCAATCTGGCAAGTCGTTGCGCATATTTTGACATTTAGACCTTTAAAAAAAAATATATTCATATAAATATATATATATATATATATATATTTATATCACTTTTATATTGTTAATATGAGCAAAACTTGAACATAAATTATAAAAATAATATCATACATTAATTAATAATTAATTATCCATATAAACAAATAATAATATTAATCTTATTAAACTGCTTACACAAATTCATTCATACATTTTATTAATATTTACTATCTTATTATTATTATTATATTATACCATATTATATTTATTATGCATTTGTTTTATAAAAGAATATTCAACGGACGGAAGCTGGCACATTTGTCAGCGTATAAATTAAAAACATTATCATGTATAATAATAATAATAATTAATAATAATAATAATAATTCTAGAGTATTTGATTTAACGTCCATCTCGTATTTAAGTATTGATAAAGTAACAGTTTAATTACACTTTGTCCTTTAGTAAAACAAGTTATTTAATTAATAGCTTGTGCAGTACTTTTTTAATTACAGTTCGGTTGTAGTTTCAATTGGACTCTGCTCGGTCAAGTAACTGAACCCGAGATGAGAGTAGTCTTTCCTCTCTCTAAATGTGACGTTGTCATTGGAAGGGCTTGCGCTTAAAAGCTCTTCATGATTGAACAGCGGATTTAACACCGGCGTGTCAATATTATTTATCAGATTGGTATTATTATTGTTCTTTCGACTCAATGTTGATCGTCTAAGAGACTGCATGTTAACTTCTGGATTGCCAGCGATACTTGAGGCTCGTACTGTTGTCGCAGCTTCCGAGCTCACTGGACTCTGTTGGCCTATTAACATTAATTTTCAGTCGTTTAGTAATTTAAAATTCAAGTGAAAAATTACATTTTTTAAAAGACAATTGTTTCATAATCAAATTTAATATTAAATTTTATTAAAAAAAAAAAAAAAAAAAAAAAAAAAAAAAAAAATACTGTTAATGTTTTATTAAATTAAATTACCAGTACTTCCTCCATGGTCTTTGGTAATATAGCTGACATTATCAAGGCTAAATGCATGATTTTTATTGCTAAAATCTAATTGTAAGTCATTGTAGCTCTCGCTGTCGTCATTTGGCACACTCATACGCAGTACTTGTGTCTCGTATTCTTTTAAATCTGTCTCAACGTAAACTGGATCGTATCGAGGAACTACGTACATTCGCTGCATACGTTCTCTATAACTTTTGTACCTAAAAAAAGACAAGTGTTTAAATTAGTTATTTACTTGTTAACTGGATAAATAGTTAAAATGGATCTCGCTAGCGCCAGTTACCCGGAAAAGGTTAATTACGGTAAATAGATTTTAATTGAAAAGCATAAAACTTGCGTATCTTCTTCTGTTGACAAATTGCGCAGCTATTTATGCAAAAAAGTTATTTATTAATTAGATTAAATATTTATTACTACTATTTGCTCAATTAATTATGAATATTTAAACGGTGATAAAAGAATAAAATTATTGAATCGAAAAATATTAAGTGTTCTGAATATTCAGAGAATTTAATTAAAAATATCATCCTTGGATTAAAATATATAATTTATAAAATTATTAAATACTGACCTAGACCACGAGATGCAAATGTAAATAATTCCAGCGACACCAAGAACGAGAATAACACAAGCAATTATTATTAAAGCGTATGGAAATACTTCGCCGCTAAAAGCCACGGCTATAGGAGTAACAATTGTTGGTTGCTCAGGCGCTGTTACTGGTGCATGAATGTCAATAGCGTTGGCACGGACCGCTGTTGATACGTCGAAAATTAACGCTGACATTGCTGGTTTATCTAACATTACTCTGAAACAGGTAAAATGATAATTAGTTATAATAAAAACAAAGTACCAACGGAATAAATTTTAAACTTTTAAACTAATACTTTTTTCACTGGTATTTTCATCACAAATATAAACATTTAATTTAATAAAAAAAAAATTTTTTTTTAATTCAAAAGTCATCAATTGAGTATTTTTTAAGTTATATTATTAAAAAGTTTTCATCTTAAACTTTAACGAGTTGTAGACTTTTTTCACTGTTTTCTCATGACTTTACCTCAAAGACTTTAATTTTTTTTTTTCAATTTTAATAAAACCCTGCGCTCATATTAAACTATCTGAAGACCAGGTAAAAAAAAATACGTTAAACAAGCAACAGTTGACTTGAACTAATTAAAAAGCGGACGATATTTGCACGTAACAAATGTATAATTAAAAATACACACGTCATATTTAACTCGTGTATACTTATATTGCGTAAAATATACGTAACAGCAATTAAAATCTAAATTTCAAACAAAGCAAGAGAATTTCAGGATTTCTCATTACTTTCAATCAACTGACCTACTTGGATATTTTTTTTTTTCGAGTTAAAAAAAACTTCCCTTTAACTTTAACGCCGTTTTGTTTGAAAGAATGAAGAGGAAAAATAATCAACGAAGAAATTAATCACCTTATTAAGTGTGAGTTATTACGGTCTAAAATAGTTTCAGTCTTTGGATCAATGGCAAAGAACCAGACATCAGTGTCCTGAGGGTGATTTTCAACAGTAGAATTTTTATTAACAGTCTTCCTGGTGGATATTCTGTCAATACCAATCAACAGCCCGGTTTTTTCTTCCAGCACTCGGACGATTTTAGTTGCCTCTTTCTGCACGTTGTCGGCAGAAGCGTCTTGAATTGCCAACACCAAAAGATTTACTTCGTCAATTAAATTGACAATGACAGGCGCTTCCGCGGTGTTGAATTTAGTAGTTGAGTTGGGATTATCACGTACTTGAATGGTGAATTTAAACGGGAGTTCTTCCAGCAAGACATTGTCGAAAGTTCCGATTGTTTTTATCATGCCCGAGTAACTATCTATCGACAGGTACTGGGTCCCGCGGCCGTTTAACATTTTGTACTCGAGTTTTCCGTACTTTCCATTGTCTTTATCCACAGCTTTTACTTGCAGCACGTTGAAAGAAAATTGCGCTGTTTTCGGGATTGATGCAAAATACCGGCGTCTGCGTAAGCCGAGAGGGTCTTCGGGGAATATAAATTCTGGCTTATTGTCATTTACATCAATCACTTGGATTTTAACCTAAATGAAAAAAAAAAAAAAAAAAAAAATTAAATAAAAATTTATGTGTAGTTAAGTTTTATTAACTGTTTGAAAACATCTATCATAAATAAATAATTTGTCTTCAAACAAATGAGTTTATTAATAGTTAATAAATTCTTCTATCAGTGCGCACCATACATAAATTATATATCATATCTATAATACAGTATGAAGTTATACAATATTTTTCAAGGATATTTTGTTTGGGAATAAAAACACGAGTGACCATGTGCTATACTCAATATTACTTCAATACATTTAATTTAATAAAAAAAAATTTTTTTTTAATTCAAAAGTCATCAATTGAGTATTTTTTAAGTTATATTATTAAAAAGTTTTCATCTTAAACTTTAACGAGTTGTAGACTTTTTTCACTGTTTTCTCATGACTTTACCTCAAAGACTTTAATTTTTTTTTTTCAATTTTAATAAAACCCTGCGCTCATATTAAACTATCTAAAGACCAGGTAAAAAAAAATACGTTAAACAAGCAACAGTTGACTTGAACTAATTAAAAAGCGGACGATATTTGCACGTAACAAATGTATAATTAAAAATACACACGTCATATTTAACTCGTGTATACTTATATTGCGTAAAAAATACGTAACAGCAATTAAAATCTAAATTTCAAACAAAGCAAGAGAATTTCAGGATTTCTCATTACTTTCAATCAACTGACCTATTTGGATATTTTTTTTTTCGAGTTAAAAAAAACTTCCCTTTAACTTTAACGCCGTTTTGTTTAAAAGAATGAAGAGGAAAAATAATCAACGAAGAAATTAATCACCTTATTAAGTGTGAGTTATTACGGTCTAAAATAGTTTCAGTCTTTGGATCAATGGCAAAGAACCAGACATCAGTGTCCTGAGGGTGATTTTCAACAGTAGAATTTTTATTAACAGTCTTCCTGGTGGATATTCTGTCAATACCAATCAACAGCCCGGTTTTTTCTTCCAGCACTCGGACGATTTTAGTTGCCTCTTTCTGCACGTTGTCGGCAGAAGCGTCTTGAATTGCCAACACCAAAAGATTTTCTTCGTCAATTAAATTGACAATGACAGGCGCTTCCGCGGTGTTGAATTTAGTAGTTGAGTTGGGATTATCACGTACTTGAATGGTGAATTTAAACGGGAGTTCTTCCAGCAAGACATTGTCGAAAGTTCCGATTGTTTTTATCATGCCCGAGTAACTATCTATCGACAGGTACTGGGTCCCGCGGCCGTTTAACATTTTGTACTCAAGTTTTCCATACTTTCCATTGTCTTTATCCACAGCTTTTACTTGCAGCACGTTGAAAGAAAATTGCGCTGTTTTCGGGATTGATGCAAAATACCGGCGTCTGCGTAAGCCGAGAGGATCTTCGGGGAATATAAATTCTGGCTTATTGTCATTTACATCAATCACTTGGATTTTAACCTAAATGAAAAAAAAAAAAAAAAAAATTAAATAAAAATTTATGTGTAGTTAAGTTTTATTAACTGTTTGAAAACATCTATCATAAATAAATAAATTGTCTTCAAACAAATAAGTTTATTAATAGTTAATAAATTCTTCTATCAGTGCGCACCATACATAAATTATATATCATATCTATAATACAATATGAAGTTATACAATATTTTTCAAGGATATTTTGTTTGGGAATAAAAACACGAGTGACCATCTGCTATACTCAATATTACTTCAATATAAATAATAATAAAAAATAAAAAATCTTACCATTGTTATATTCCGATGTGAATTTAAAAATCCCGACATAGATTCCAATTTTATTTTAATCTGATAAAATTCAACAGTCTCATAATCTAAAGCACCTTTTTTCAATTTTAACGCGCAATTCCGTTCATCAGTAATTTTAGTTTCAAATAAACTGTCCTCATTTCCACTGTAAATTTCGCACTTCAAAGTTGTATCGTAAGCGTGAGAATTTATGATGGTTAAAATTTTAATTAACGTGTTGTCACTCGCGTCTTCGGGTACGTCAACATTGTACGAGTCTTCTGCAAAACCCAATCCAACTTCCGGTGCAACTGTGGCTACGTGACGAATATAAATTGGAACGGTTGTCACGGACGATAGTTGAGGCTCACCGAGATCGTAAGCTCTAATATCCACCTGTAATATTTATGCACAACATAATTAAAATATTTACAAACATAATTTAATGCCTGAACTCCAGGTGATAGTAATAACACAACAATAATTCATACTTGATATTCAGAGTCAGTTTCCTTTCGCAAGTCATCTCGTACCGTTAGTATGCCCGAGTCGGGATCAATTACAAAGTATCTGCTTGCACTGCCACGTCCAATTATTTCATACCTCACCTATTGCATTTAATTCATCTAATTAGTCAATTATTCAATCATATAACTTTTTAATTTACTAATATAATCGAGGTTGACAGTTGCTTACTTGATTCCCTGGTGCCGTACCGTCTGAATCTTGTGCTAATAAATTAATTACTGTCGTACCGATCGGTACATCATCATCGAGAGTTATTGGTCGTGGTATTGTCGTAAATACTGGCGGTATATCATTCATATCCTTTAATTTAAAATTAAAATAATTAATTTCTACTTAAAAAATTAAATATAAATAAAGTTAAATATTTCTTTAACTTCTATAAAATTATGTAAAAAAAAAAAAAAAAAAAAAAAAAAAAAACTTACTTGTACGTTAATCACAACACGAGTAGTAGATCCGGGAAGATCACTTGTATTTTCTAAAGTGCCGACAATAAGTATATGCTGGCTATCTCTCTCATAATCCAGCCCACGTACTGTTTTAATTACACCTGTCTTTGGATCGATACTAAATAGATCAGTGTCACCTTGCTTAATTACGTATGTTATTTGTTTTTTAGTATCTGGATCGTCAGCCTAAAAAAATGAAAAAATAATATAATAAGAAGAAGAAATCTGACAAAATTAATTTGTTAATTCTAGAAAATACTTACAACAACTTGTATAACCATGTAATCAGGTACATTTTCTTTAACACGTGCTTCATAACTACTCTGATGAAATATCGGTACTTCATCTTCGACATCAATAACTTTTACCGAGACAGTTGCCGTGGCGAGTCTAGGCTCTGGAGCGCCGTCACGTGCCGTCACAACAAATTTATATTCCTGGTTAATAAAAACCATTATTACACATTTAATTGGAGTTTGGATTAAAATTATTACTAAAAAATCTGTAATATTTTATAATTTAATAGTATTTCATTAATCTTACATGATTTTGCTCATAATCCAAGGCTATCTTGGTAAGAACGTCTCCAGTTTCCGGATCAACCGTAAACGGAATGTCATCTGGTGCAAAATAAGTTACTTCTGAATTAATGCCCTCGTCGGCATCATCAGCGTGAACATGTCCAATTAATTTTCTCGCCTTGCCTTCCTTAACTTGAAACTCGTAAGGCAAGCCCTGGAACTCGGGGTTCTTGTCATTGATATCGGTTACGCGAATATTTACCGTTGCCGTACTAGAGAGTCCACCACTGTCTTCAGCTTTTACAAACTGCCAAAAAAACAATAAGTTTATTTCATGTCATTTTCATAAAATGTAGACCAATATTAAGATAAGATTCTGTTTAAACTTTCATATTTTTATTATAACTTTTTCCAGTTGTTGAATTAATAAAAACTTTGCTAGCATTTGCGCGCCCCAACCATTCGTTTTATGACAAAAATAAATGATACTTAAATCGAGAGACATCTGATAATTTTTCCAACAAATAAATTATAGTAAGAAAAACTTATTTAAAAAATATCATCATTGGAAGCTCTCAAAAATAATATTTTAGACCTATTTTATTTTTCAAAAAAAATCAAACAATTATCAACTATCAAATGCTAATTTCAGTGTAGTAAAAATAATTAATTGTAAAAACTAACTAAAATGAACTTAAACTCAATATTATATTATGAAGAAATATATATGATAAACTCAAGATATGCAATATAAATATTAAATAACCATATCATTAGCTTTTCTTGTCTTCAGTCTCAATCCTCACTCGCGAGTACTGAGTACTGTCTAGAGTCTTAAGCCTTAAGTCTTCAGTTACATTTTATAATGAATGTTTAATGCTTGAGGCGAATGCCTGGTTACCACTTACCAGCTGATATCGCGTCAAGTCTTCCCTGTCCAACTTCCTTATAACGGTAATAACGCCTGACTTGTCACCGATCGCAAATTGCCTCAAGTCATTGCCCGAAAGTATTGAATATGACACTGGATCATTTTCTGGGTCGAGTGCCTTTATTTTAAACAGTCCAATTATTATTAATTATTATCAATTAATTAATTCATTCATTATTAATTTAATTTAATCTTACAGTAATGGTGGCTACGGTGGAATTAATAGGAGCGCCTTCGCTAACTTCAACTTCGTAAACCGGCTGTTGAAAAACGGGACTCCGTGTATTGGGACCGGGAATTACATTTATTTCAACGATTGTTTGGGAGTACTTGCCGCCTTTATCAGTCGCCTGGACGGTGATACTATATTGTTCGCCGGCGTTTAATTTTCTTACTGACTCGATAACGCCGGTCTTGGAATCGATTTTGAACTTTTGCAGGCCGTTATTCGATACATGGTAAATGCTGTATGTTATCTCGGCATTTTCACCCTCGTCGTTGTCAGTTGCTTCGACCTGAAATTTTAAAAAAGAAACAGTTAATAAAATTTATATATTTTTCTCTAAACAGATAGTTACTCCTGGCAGCAATCAAATTTTTTATGGGTTCATTTATTTAATTGAAAAAAAACCTCACATTATAAGTATTTATATGAGTTAATTATTGTAGCAATAGACTCCATCAATGGATCATTTTTCATTCACTCAATTCAATTTATTTCATAGGAACTTAATTGCTTTAGACTTGCGGGGTTTTTCAATTAAATTAAACAGTTCAAATAGCATACGTACTTGGTTGACGAGCGATATCAATACTTTTAAACTCAAGCTCAAATTACTTAGTTTTCTTAATAAATACTTTACAATAAAAATTTATAAATAGCACACTAAGAATACATTTTTTGTAAGGACAAAATAAGACAAGTTGTTGTAATAAATTATTATATTAGCATACATACCAATAGTAATAAGTTAATTATTTAAAGATATCATTTTTAAGAGTGTATATATATATATTAAAAATAATAATAATAATAATATCACCAACTGGAGGATTTTCTGCTGCGATTCATTGCATAATCACAAAATTTCATCTCAACTATCGTACCAAGCATACAATTGGACGAAGAGACCCTTCGTAAAATTAACGAGTCAATTATAGCTTCAATCAAATAAACAATAAACTCGAGTTGCGCAACAAAATCTGCTGTCAATAGACATAAAATAAAAGTATAATTCATAACAGCCTTCTGTCTTGAGCAGATATCAGCGATCAGTGATGTAATCAAGTTATTTGTGATAAAAAAAAAAAATGATTGTATTAAAGTGAGTAGAGTTAGAGTTACCTTAATTACTTCCCGTCTGGCCTCGCCGGCTTGGACGGTGATTGGCGGTACCATCGGCAGCAGAGGCGCATTGTCATTGACGTCGTTCAATGTGACAACAAAAGACAGAGGTGTTGATGCTGCGATACCTGTTTTTTCGCGCGCAATCACTTGGAATCTGAAGCGCCCGGGACTCGGCGGATCGCGATCCAGATTTTCTTCGTTCACTATCAGAGTTCCTGATTGATCGATCCCGAAGAAACTTGTTGTCAGCTCGAACGTGTAGTTTGGCTTGGGATCCTCTGGTGCCTGAGTAATTGAATAATAATAATTAATAATTAATAATATAAAGTGAAATCGATGAATGCATCAATGGATTGATGAACTAACGAGTGGAATAATTATTAAAATGAGTAAGAAGCTTACCAGATCGGCATCGAATACTGTAAGTTTAATAGGATTTCCATCTTTGTCGATGACCTTGGTACCAACTGGCGCGTTTTCATCAACGTAACCCTCAACAGATGATGTTGTAATAACCGGTGGATTACTGTCTACCGGTTTCACGGTAATTGTTAGCTTAGCTGTCGCTGATCGCTTTGCCTCTGATTCCTCCACGGCCTATTCAGAAAGAGGATCAGTCAGTAATTATACCTGGTAATTACTATAATATATATGAAGATGTGTAATTCTACTTCACAGGAATTTCAGGGAAGAGGTTTTTAGAAGAACTAAAAATATTTACAGTAATTAAAATTACTGTTTTAATCATATTGGTTCCTAATTTACTAATTAATTAAAATTCTAGTGAACTGCGGAATAAAAATAAATGGAAGCTTTGGTGAGAATATTTAATCCTCTAATGGACTTTAATTGAAATCCATTAAGTTTTTTATTTTTTTATCTCAAAGTACGGAATTGAAAACTTTTTACAATATTTTTTGTTTCGCTGAATTTAATTTTTAGTAGATTTTATAGAAATCTATAACCATTGCATTTGTCTTGATGGCGGAAATATTGAAAAATTTTGCTATTTATCGACGCAACTCGTCGAAATGACGACAATTTAGAATTTAAAAAAAATTTTTTTTAAATCACATTTCTGTAGGTTCTACTTGAAATAATTTTTAAATGTGATAAATTATCGAATTTATGTAAATTGTTTCTGAAAGTTTATGGAGTAAGTTTTAATTTTCCGAAATTGACCGAATATTACTTACTCATCTATGAGTAATTGAGTATACTGAACAAAAAAAGGATCAACTTGATTCAAGAGAAAAATTTATTCAAAACAACAAGAATTTTTTAGCTTAAAAATTTTTCTTTTGAATCGAGTTAATTTTTTTAATGATACCGGAATTAACAGACATCTGAAAATTTTTAGAAATTTATTCAATCTATTGGAAAAAAAAATTTGAATAAAAATTCGACATGTAGAAGTTCTAAAAAACCATGAATGCAATTTTTATGAAATCTTTTTTCAGTACTAATTTAATTTTTAAATAAAACTAAAAATGATCAATTGTCAGTTGATTTTTTTAATTTTATTATTACATGAGTTTTCACGATCCTTTGAGTCATTTATAACTTTTTTAATAACTTAAAAAAGAAAACATGAAATAAAATAAATACCTTGATAATAATATCAAACTTCTTAGTAACAGTAGTATCAACAGCTCGAATTTGCTTAACCGCCCCGGTGTTTGGATTTATTTCAAAAAAGTCCCTGTAGTTTTGTGGATTACCACTGAGGAAGGAATAATGAATTGCCGCATTAATACTGTCCATGTCAACGGCTTGTATTTTCTCCGGCGATATATTGAGTATTCCAGACAGTACTCCACTGGATACCTAAGGGATTAATGAGAGCAAATGTAGTCAAACTGGATATATAATACATCTAATGTGCATTAGCGTTCTACGGCATTAGGGATGCATCTGAATCAGCATTAAACTTTGTTTTATTCTATTACATGTAATGTCCCGTCATTTGAATTCAATGCTGATACTATCGTTTCAATGGTCTATTAATTATTTCAAAAAATCCATTTGTAGTATTACATATTATAAATATTCAACTTTGCTTTTTGTTCAATTAATAAAGTACATTTCGAATTTTTTTTTTTTTTTCTTTTTTCAGACAATATTAGTTACTTACGGAAGCAGAGTACTCCGGGTTGATGCAAGACCCGTCCAGCAGCATGCATCCCTGGTAGATGAATGAAGGATCTTGATCGTCATCGTCTCGAATATTAACTGTTAAAGTTGTGGTCGATGTCAATCTTTCGGACGTATTTAATGCTCGGTCCTAAGAGAGATAAATTGCTCGGTTAATAATTATCACGCTCAACGATGCATTCAGAGCAGGTATAACAGACTAGCTTTTATTATACTACTCAATCAATTGTAATCGACTGCATACCATCGGGTCCGCAAAGAATTTAACGCTTGCTTTTTGCAATATTTCTTTTTTATATTTTATCTTAATTACATTATAGCTAAATAAAAAGACTATTATTGTACACCGTTTTGCTCAGATTAAAATTTCTCTATTATTAAATATTAAAAATATTTTTTTTTATTTACCAGCAGTTAATTTCTTAGAGGAACTTTTATAATTTTTTGTAAATTTTTAACAGGTGAAAATAATTAAATAAAAAATATATCATTGAAAAAACAAAGAGACAAACAACTTTTAGCGGTTTTAAATTATTGGGTGACTGGGTCAGTGAAAAAAATACTAAAGATACGTTATTGTCTCGTCTTTGACAATGTTAAAGGTCAACCTCGCAAACATTCTCTTTCACTTAAATATTTATCGTTATTATTTTATTTCCCTTATCATTTACCGAGATCTCTTTGTCACTGCACACCAATCTACATCTACCACAACAATAATCTCGATCTATGATGAAATAAACTTTCATATGCCTTTGACCTTTTAAATTATTTAGATTACTTCTCGCTTTAATCCAATACTTCAATACTTACTGTTAATTATGCCTTTTTTCATCTTATCGATTAATTTTTATAGTGAAATAAATATGACACTGAAGTTAGAAGACGTGTAAAAATTTTTGATTTTTTTTTATTAATTAAATTACAACTAAAAAAATATTTTTAAAAAATTGCACTTATAGTTTTTCAAGTTTTTTACATGTGACAATTTTTTTTTTTTTAATTGTGCAATTGAAATTTTTTCAATAAAAAATTTCTAAAAATTTTAAAATGTCGGCTAACTTCATTTTCATAAATAAATAATTAGGAAAGTTGCTGGCACAACAAAGGGCAATAACTTTTAAAAAATTTATGATATTTAGCAACGTGTAAAAAAATATCGGACTTTTTAACGAAAAAACTTAAATAGAACTTGGAAAAAGCAAGAAAGCAAGATTCTATCGAGCGTAACAATTCCATCGAATTCTAGTTACAGTAACCATCGAACAATAAAATATAATAAAACACAACAGAAGTTATTTGTTATTTTTGCAGCAAAACAAAATAAATTGAAGAGTTGACAAAAAAATAAAAACAGATTGAGTTTTAAAAAGGATTATCTGTGAAAACATAAATATCGATTTGAGCTGAAATCGATAGGGCGTATCCCAACCCCAGCATTCCGCGGTATTACTCACCGTAAGAGACTCATTGGCACAATCAATCCCCAGGACATTTATTGCTATCACGAGTAGTATCACTTTCACAAATTCAGACATCAATCTCATTGTTTAAACAATAAATAAACTATTGAAAATGTTACTAACCAAATGTATTGTCCCCCGGGAAATAATTAGTCTTATTTGTAAAGAAAAAAGAAGAAATAAATAAAATAAAATACTGGGTAAATATTTCCATGCAGAACTAGCTGTATTTCACCTGAAGCGATCAAAAAAGTTAATCAGTTATCCTAATATCTAAATCGTAATCTTATTCGGAGCCGATTGATGTTTATTGCTATTTCTGTGTCGGTGTTGTGTTGCCGTTCCGTTTAAGTGACATGTAAGCAATAAAAGACTTAGCACAATATTAAAAGAAAGAGAAGGAAGAGATGGAGAAGATGAGTTTAGGAATTTGAAGATAAAAAGAACCGGCGGGACACGAGAAATCACGGAAACGAGTTTAATTTTTTGAGCAATTTGTTATTTATTTACGTTCATTATTTTCTTACGCAATTTCCCCGTAACCGGTTGATAAAATCTCAATATATTTATAGTTAAGTATTAGACGGTACTTTTTTATCTGGGTATTTTTAGTCCGGCAATAATATACGTAAAATATAGCTCTTCTATTGATGATTATGGTTATTTTATGCCCACGCGATTTTTATACGATGCACTGATCTGCTTTACGATGTATGACGTGTCATGACTGAGATCAATCCTTTCAATATGTATCGGTGTGTGTGTGTGTGTGTGTGTGTGGTGTGTGTGTGTGTGTGTGTGTAAGGATTGTGCAGTTCTTTCAGAATCAGGAAGAAATTTACTTTAAATATAATAATGTTAATATGATGCAGATCGCGATCAATTTTTAGTACTACGGCAATTTAGAATATTTTTAGTTTTTTAAGTACTTTATAAAAAATTTTTATTTTAAATATTTAGTTCATTTTCATCACGCGAAATTTTTAAAACTAACAATTATTTAATATCTAGAGTGTCAAACTGTTGAATTCTTTTTTAATTAAAATTCAAATAATATCAGTTAACTTTGTTTTTATTTTATACAAAAATAACTATAAAAAAAAAAGAGCTAATGTATCTGATCAAAGCCAGAATTAAATTAACAGTATGCCTTTTTATTTATTGTTTTATTTTGAGATTCAACAAAATACTAGAAAATATAAAATTTCTATGTGCTTAACAGCCGGTCCCTAGACAAAAAAGAATTTTGAAAAAAAAAAATGCTCTCCTACGTAATAGATTTATAAATAATTTATTTCATAGCAGAGCGTTTTTTTCGAAATTCTCATTTATTTAAAACAAAAACATAAAACTGCGATAGCTCTGCAGTTGAGTCTCGTTATGATTCCTATTAATTTCTCTCTCACATTAACGCGAGTCTGGTTGAAAAAAAAAAAAAAAAAAAAAATTACAAAAAAAAAAAAAAAAAAAAAAAACAAATAGAATTCATAACGAGATTCGACTTTAATTTCTAAGTGCAACAAGGATAGTACCGTTTCTCGCAGTGAGTGCAACGCGAGAAAAAGAGGGGACCGGCTGTTGAAATTTATAAAATTCAGTAGATTACACTGAAAAAAAATAAAAAAAGTACTATTAAGAATTTATGTTCTTGACAGAAAAAAGTATATTGTTGAAAATTTCCAAGTATATATTTTTTCGTCTGAAGAATTTTTCCTTGTCTACAGAGTTACTCGAATAGAATAAAATAATTTTTATTTTATTCAAGTAGAAACAGATATTCATAATCATTTATTAACGAATTTTTGAGTCAAGAAATTCATCTATGTGCATAATTTTTATTTTTTTTCGATGTAGTTGGAATAAAACATAAACCGAACATGCTCATCAATTCAATTAGTTATTTTTTATTTGATCTGTTTCTCTTTTTAAAATATTTAAAGAAATAATTTTTGTCCTTATGTTAATCTAATTACTGAGATTTTGAGTAAACATTTTGACAAGAGTAACTTACAGCCTTTTTTTTTACTTCAATAATTTTTTTTTTAGCATTTTAAAATTTACAGTAATAAAAATTTGAAATGATATATTATTAAAAAATTTTAACTTTCTAGTATTTTTTTAAACCTAATATTTCAAAGCGTTTTTATATAAAATATTGAGTATTATATTAAATTATTCAGTCATAAAATGTATAACATCATTTATAAATAGCAATGTATTAAAACACACGCGTCAATATCAATTTGTTCAAGTTTAATTAGCGGAAACAATTGTTTTAAATTGTCGCATCGGTGCCCAATTCATTTTAATAATCAAATAAAATAAATCACTTTTTTTTTTAACTCCACAAATTTTTTACAAGTACATAAAATACATAATAAGAATCCGAAAGTTCATACTTAATTATTGAACGATTAAGTTAGTTATAAATCTAGTCAAAATTTCACTAACTGCAGTTTAAAGGATTATTTAAAACAAAACTTGCAAATGTTTCTTAATATTTAAAGTTAACTTGTCAATTTTTATGGTTTAATGAGAGTTTATCGTTATTGTGAAAATATAATTATTTTCTAATTCAATTATGAATTATGAGTTTAAAATAAAAGCGGAAGGAAAGTTTTATTCTCAATATGAAGCTCGAGATTTAATTAACAAGTTGTTTTTAAACATATTAATTGATAAACAAAGTTTTAAGTGGTTAGTTTTTAATTTAGCGAACATGTTTAGCTTTTATATAAAATTTATTTAATAAAACTAATATAAGTGAAGTTAAAAATTTTTTAGCATAAAAATTTTAAGTAACACTTTAGTGATCTTGATTTTCGTTGTCTAACACAATTTTTCACCTCAAAACTTTAAACTCGTTTATTAAAAGTACCTAAAAATATTGAAGAATAGTTTCCAAATAAGTAGAAAAAAAAGTGACAAAACTACTAGACGCGACAAACGAACGCTGACTAATATATGACGAATAAGTTTCGCTGTTAAGCCTCTGAGTCGTACTGCTTACCTTTACTTAGCAATACAATAGTAATGGATGCATAAATTATCTACCCACGATCACATTTTAAAGATAAACAATCGGCTTACACAAATGTCTGTCACTTGCTCTATTCTACTCTGCAGTGGAAAGAAAATTTTTAAGTAAACTACCTAACTAGCCTTTAATGATAAATTGAGCGCTTTCAATTTTCGATATTAGACGCTTAACCGAAAGACTAATTTAAGATATTATTGTTTATAATGTTAGCTTATAATCTTAATTTATAAGTTATAGTTATATGTATAGGTACCTAAATATTGTTACAATTTTTTTTTTAACTAAAGTCAATATGAAAATTAAAGTTTTTAAAATTATGAAACACAAGTGTGCGATCACCTTGAAACCGGCAGTAGAAGAATAACAGATACATATGTAAATTATGGCGTCTAATCTATGAGCTGTCTGGTATTTACATATTATATTTAATATTTTTAACTAACTTAAAAAAAATTAAAACTAATTTGAAAAAAAAAAAAAAACTATTTTCTCGGTTTAAAAAATTTGTTCTCTTAAAAAAAGTTAAATTTTTTTTTTAACGAAGTTTTTATGATTTTTTGAATCATAAAAATTTACATAAGTTAAGAGAAAATTTTGAAAAACTTCATAATAAAAAAACAATTAATTTTTAATAAATTTATTATCTTGAATCAAGGAGAAAAATGATTAAATCAAGTAAAATTTACTTAAAAATAATTTTCTTGGTTTAAAATTTGTTCTTTTAAATCGAATTAATTTTTTTTTTATCAAAGTTTGCTTGACTTTATTGCTTAAAATAAAAATAAAAAAATATATATAAGTAAAGAGTAAATTATAAATTTTTCATCGTTAATAAATAACTAATAGTAGTATATATTAATAAAGAAGAGTAAAAGCACACCCTGAATATAATACTCAAAGCAGTAGGCGCTAAAAAGTATCAGAAGAGGAGGAAGGTAAAGAAAGGTGACAATTGTGTAACATCTAGTAACTAGCAGACTACACCTGGATTTCTGCAGATATGGTATATGGTATGATGGTCATGGTATAAGGTATAAGGTATGGGATATAAAATACGTGACTCATGAAGTCTCACGCTGTACTGCCCACTGGGCAATGAAGGACGTCACCGACTGAGTACTTGACTGGAGAAGTCTTCTAGTCTAGTCTCAACCTATCAGCTTAATATAAGTGGTAACAATTATAAATGTTTTTCTCCTATCAGCCTATCACTTCTGTTCGCTATTCTGAAGTAAATTTAAAGGCTCTCCGTAGATTACTCGAATCAGATAGAACAGTTGCGTCGGTCGTATTAAATTCGAACAGAAGCAGAAGTTACGCTAACCAGGATAAGCTTTTTATTATAACGATTCAAGTTTTGTAAGCGATAACATCTGAGTCTGAGTCAGTTAACGCTCAGCGACGTGGCGATGTCTGATGCATTATTCACTCAACATTAAAAATTCTTCTTACTAGATTCCACAAATCCTTCCGTATCTTTTTTACGAGTTTCTGAATTTAAATTGCTGATTGACACCAGCAGGAGAAATACACTATTCGATACTTGCATTTTTTAGATTTTATAATCCCAAAATTTTAATTGCCATTTTTTATACAGAAAAAGAGGTAAACTCAATAATATTTTGGTCCTCAATTTGTACTTTTTCTTGATTCAAGAAGTTTTTTTTTTTTTTTTTTTTTTTTTTTTTTTTTTTTCATGAAATGTATTGAAAAACTTGAATTTCATGTTCTGGACTTAAGTAGAAAAATTCTTGAACTGAGAATTTTTTCTTGATTTGAATAAAGCTTACTTGATTCAAGAATTTTTTTCTTAAATCAATAATCATTAATAATTTTTTTTTTTTCAGTGTTAATCCAAAATATTGTAGGTATGTTTAAATGGAAAAATAATAAAAAAATTCTCTTCAATAAATTATTTAAAACTTTTGAACTAAAATGTTTTGTAGGCAAAAATATTTGAGCCAAAATAACTTTTTTTCTGTATATTCACTGATTAACTATTGCAGGATTTGATCGCCTAAGCCGAGTCTTTCAGTAAATAATGAAACTGTTGGGAAATAACTTGTACCAGAATAAGAAAAAGAATAAGATCTGTTAACTGGTTAGGTTTAACTTACCGATGCGAGGATGGTGACGAGATAACGCTGCGTCCTCTCGAAGTCGAGTGTTCGATTGACCGTGACCTGTCCCTGATGTGGCAAGTTGATGCTGAAATAACCATACCCGTCTGCGGTTGTAATTCTATCACGACCGACAGCATTGTTGCTGCCAATACCGTTCCCATCTCCTGGCGCTATTGAGTATTCCACGAGTCCATTCACACCCGCGTCAGCGTCCACTGCTACCACATTTTGAAATATCGTCGAGCCTACTGGCGTCAGCTGAATAGTATCAATAGAATTCAATTATTGTTTTACAAGTGTTAAATTTTCGTTCATAAATTTTACTAACAAAAATTGAGTTGGTGTTAAAATTCTGATCTGATGTAAAATAATTTAATTTATCATACATAAAGTAATGAAATTAGTGGTGCATTTCGCGGCTCACATTTCAATTTACTAGAATTTAAAAATATAAATAAAAAATGTCATGGTCATACTATAGTATTTTTTTAACAATGAATATTTTATGACATCAAAGATAAATTCACTTTGCAAGAGATATAAAATAAATATTTTATTTCTAACATTCATCCTTGCATGCTGGTAAAAAAATTCAATATTAAATGACCTAGTATTTATTTTATCCACAGTAAAATTTTTCAATATTCTACTGACACTAAGTATTGTTATTATTATTATTATTATTATAAATTATTATAAATCGATATAAATTCATTCATAATAAAATTTAATATTATTAAAGTTTAATTTTTACATTTAAAAAAAATGATTGAAAATTTTTTTTACGTTAAATAAAATCATTTGAATTGTAACAAACTTTGCGATAAAAAAATTTTCATCTGTTGTTTTGGTTGGGGATAAAAAACTTTTTTTATTTATTCGACGATAACTGTAAAAAAAATAAAAAATAAAAACTCAATACAACAAATTGGTAAAAAATGAAATTAAGAGACATTTAAAGTTGAGATGGGCAATGTCTTACGTTAATTGCGTTATGACATTTAAAAGTAATGTGAAAATAAAATCGGTAAAGAGCTCATAAACGCGCGAATAAACCGGTATCCGCGACAGTTCACAGCGTTTAAATGTTTTAAAGTAAAATTTAACGGTATCTATTAAAACGTAGAAATGTTGGAATTTATAAAAAATTTTTTTCCATTTAATTGTTATTTTTTATACAGCGGCAAAAACTTTGAAGAAAGACTTTCAATGCATCGCTTGTTAAAATTATTCCACGTGCTGACAGTAACGTCTCATAATATTATCTTGTAAAAAAGAGTATTTTTACTTGTACTTATATATACATATATATATTATGCATTATTGTGTCTATAGACTTGACTTGTTATAGCATAAGACTAGTGGCATGTTCGCGCTTTATCACCTTTCAGTTTCTCCCTCTTGATTCACGTCGACGTCGTTGTCGTCGCGATAGATCTCGCAATTACGCTGCTACGGTTAATTAAGCTCCGTGCAACGGTGATGTAATGACACTCTTTTCTCAGACTTGGTTGAATTTTTTTTTAATAAAGAATTTTTGTTTTTAAATAACGATAAAAAAAAGTATCTTATAAGCCACTTGATTTGAGATTTTCTGAAGGCATATCATATTTTCGGTTAATTTATAATTGCATGACGATAAAAATTATAATTATAATTATAATTAAATTGATAATGGAAGGCAATGGTCGTTTTTTAAAATTAAAATAAAGTTATTTTACGCCTGGAGCCATCGTCAGAAGCTGTTATTTGTTATTATTATTATTTTTTCACCCCAAAGCACTCATCAAGACTCAAGTTCATATACCGATAAAAATATACTAGACTGGGTTTAGAAAAATATTGCAATTAACTGTTAAGTCATGGGCATAGAACATTAAACATTGATGGATTTATTTATTACCTCGGGTACAGTTGTTTCATACGGTGTATTGATGAACTTCGGTGCATTGTCATTTACATCGGACACTCGGACGATTATCGGTATAATCCGCTTCTTGTTTGTCGCTTTCACTGTACATACAAGCTGAAAAAATAAAGATTGAGTTTAAAAATTAAAAATTGCATTTAACAAAACTTTATTATCTATATAATTAAGAAAATGAAAAAAATTTTTTCTCCGGGGTATTTATATAATGGAATGAGTTTTTTTTTAGTTGAATTTAGTAAAATTGGAAGATCTTGACCTAAATTTGTGTCTTTTTATCGTTTCATATGATTTTCAGAAATTATTATTATTATTATTATTATTATTATTATTATTATTATTATTATTAAAATATTTTATAAAATTTCAAAGTGAACAATTTATTTTTAAATGCATAAGATATTAGTCTAAAAGGAGTAAAACTATTTCAAAACAAAAAATAATCTTTTTTCAAGTGACACTTAATTAGACTAATTAGTCGAAAAACTTTATCCCATTAAAGTAATGATCTATAAAAAAAATTAAACGTTATCAAAATCGTTTAATTTTACGATTCATAACTTTACCGATAAAAAATTAAAAAATTATAAATTTACATCAATAATTCTTTGAGGATATTTGTATAGTATAATATATGTAAAATTCGAAGCGTTCGGAAACTTAACTGTGAAAAACGAATTAGTATGCAATAACAGAGTTTAATATGTACTTAGGATTCGATTTCTTTGCTATAAATGAATCGCTGAAATTAATCTCAATGGATGAATAATTAAATTAAGTCAAAAGATAATGTAATTAACATAATTCATATGCTCAGTTTGCACAGTAATTTTTTTTTGTTAATATTTACTTGAAGCAGAAATAATAAAAATGTGAAAAAAAGTAATTGAATAAACAGTTTAAGCTAAGGAAACATTAAACAGAAGGAATTTCAATAAAAGAACAAATAACATTGAAAAATTAATCAATTAGCTAAATATCAGCTAAATACTCTGTGACCTATTTATTGCCATCAAAAGAAAATTAATTTTATTTCATATTTATTTAAAAAAGAAGTAGTCACATTATCATCATTTTTTCTATTTATAAACAAAAACCTAACTAGCAGTTTAGTGGTTGAAGGTTTACTTTGTATCGTGTCCCTGAGACATATTCATGTCTATCTTTAGAGTAATACGCTCCAGTTGTGGAAGAAAATTTGATTCATGAAAATAGATAGGTAAATTTTTAACTTATCGAGATGAGCATTTTTTTTTTTTTTTTCTAGAAATTAGCAATCTTGAGTCACTTTCGAGAGTTTATTTATTTATTTTATTTATTTATTTATTTACTTCCCAAAAATTACATACATAGTCTTACAAAAATAATTACATATAATCCCCATAGAGACAAAAGATTGTCTGTACATAGGGTAGGGAAATTTGTTTTAAATTTGAATTTAAGAAACTTTGGCTCAATGATTTTCCGATATTTTTAATCACAATATAAAGAAAAAAAAAAGAAATTTTAGAACCAATATCATCAAGGTCAATTGTCAATTTTATGAACGATGTCACAGGACCTACTTCTATAAAATATGTCAGTAAGGGATCATTCTGGTTTGTAACTTAAAAAAAAATTTTTTTTTTTTACATTTTTCTAAACTACATATATTATTTTAAAAATTTTGTAAATGATTATAAAAAATAAATCAAAATTCGATAAAAAAAAAATTTCTTAAAAAATGATAAGAATCTTTGACCTTTCCTCGAAGTTGATAAAGTTTAACCAGTGTATAAGATATCAAACCTTAAATAAATATGTTGAAGATGTTGAAGCTGTCAAGTTTTTGCAAAAGTGTCTGTGAGAGCAACTGCTGTTATTATGAAATATAATTAACAACAAGTAAAAATAATATATGATTTAATGATCCGTCAACGTTCGAGTTTGAGCGTATAAAAATGATGGATAGAAAAATCTGGCGGATCTCTTGAGACATGCAGAGCAAATAATGAGCTGAGTACCGTTATCCTGTTAAGAGTTGCAGTTGAGGTGCACTAAGTACGAGACTAAGACTAAGACTAAGACTAAGCTCCTATTTTCTATTATGGAGCTGATGAGTATCAGAAAAATATATCCTCGCTTAATTGTATCAATGCTGGCTGGCCCGATAAAAAATCGTAAAAAATAATGCTACACATATTTACCTGGAAGACAACGTGCGAGAGGTTCTCGGTGTCGCGATCCAGTTGTTTAAGGAGTCTCAGTTTCTTTCCATCGAGGGCGAATAGTGGCGCCTTTCCGGGAAATATTACCTCCAAGGTGGTCTCGTTGTAGGGATTCCCATACACCGGAAGCTCTTCGGGCGTTGTTGGTTGCTCGTAACCTGTCGATTTAATCATTATTTTTGTAAATAATAATATTTATACAGCAAAATTGAACGAGAAATTTAGAAATTACACCGTGAAAAAAGGAGTACTTTAACAAATATTTTACACTACTTAAATTTATTTTACGAGTTATAATTTTATTTTTTTATTTGACTTAATTTAACTAAAATTTTAAACATTTTTTTACTGTAAGATCTTCATTTCTTCGTATAAAATTAATAAAGCAAGAAAAAAAATAATTAGTTTGAAAATAAATCTATTTTTTTTTAATTTGAAAATTAAAAAAATGGTGAATTTTTCAGAATAAAAGCAATAGTTTGAGATATCATATTTAACTCCTTTGAGTTGAAAAAATTTCAAAAAACCTCGGTCTTGTCTAATAATAATAATAATAATAATAATAATAATAATAATAATAATAATAATAATAATAAGAAGAAGAAGAAAAATCTGAAGATAAAGATGAGGATGAGGATAAGGAAGAGAATGAAAATTAATCATTTCTGATGGACTTTGTTGGTATAAATCTCGTGTATATCTGGTCGCGGTAAGTCCAGCGGCTGGAGCTACTGATGCTAATGTTAATGAAAACGAGAATTGCGCACGTGAAGAGAAAGAACACAGAGATGATGGTGATGAGAAAGTGATTCTACAGCTCCAGATTATCATCGAAGGCTAATAAATGGAATAGTCGACGTGGCAGGTAGCTTCATAAAACGTATTAGTGTAAGGTAGTCTCTACACTAAACTACCTCGGAAAATTACTTCCTCATAAATATATGTATAGAAGTATGAATAGATACATAAACATCCATATGGCTCGTTTTATGTATTGTGAGTAAAGGTAGAGGCTTTACGGATGCTCGGATATCCAATAAATGAGTTCATATATATATATATATATATATATATATATATATATATACATAGAAGCTCACTAATTTCGCAGACACCTTATTCGTTTAATTAACCCTTTTAAGTCCTTCCTGATAACTTACCCCGTTAATAGCCCGCAATATTCAATAACTTTTTTAATTCTCCCTATTTAACTTCCGCACTTGACCTCACTCTTTTTTTAAAACTCGTTAATTATTGTTAAGTATTTCCTTGGTCGGCTGAAAATACTATACTGTCAAATTTATATTTTTAGAAATTTAATGCTTACATTATAAAGACTTTTATGACCTAAAAATGTCAATTTTAAATTAGGAAAAATGTAAATTTTCCATGGAAAAAAAAATGTAAATATTGCATGTTGAAAGAATTTTTAATTTACATGAAAAAAAAATTATAAAATAGCCAAAACTCTTATATAATTTTATGTAATTACATAAAAAATTTTTTTCCGATTATGTTAATTTTACAGATGGATTCCTCTAAATTTAACAATTATTTATAAATATATAATTATTTATCAATTTAATTTTTAAATATTAATTCATAACTGTTAATTAAACAATTTATCTTTTGTAAATATAACATAAAATGACCGTGTAATTTTTTCAAAACCATTTCTGTAATTTTCACACAATTTTTTTCGGTACGTGTAATCTATAATATGTAATATGTAAATCTGTAATTAGCTACAGTTAAGTGATTACAATTTAAGTAAAGATAAGCGAAGAAAATAATTATTGTGAGAGGTCAGTATTAACATATCTGTCTTGGGGGTTAGTTGTGACACGTGACGGGATGCCTTTCTTCTTCTACGTAATGCGCTATGGGACATGGGTACGGGTACTAACTCATAACACCACCAGTATCATCATCATAATCATAATGATAATAATGGTCATCACATTGCATGTATATATAAGTAATATGATGATAACCGCAGGTTTGACGCTCCGAGTGATTGAAGAATAAAGTACTCACCAGAGCCACGGCTTTCCTCAATGTCAAGGATGATGTTTGACTGGCCTGTCGACTCCTCGCACAAACCTGAAACATAAATAATCAACGTTATATTATAATAAATTATTGTAAACACAAATTCATTTATCACTCGGGATTTTTATTTTTAATAATTATAATCATTTGTTTTACTTTTCCTCGCTGCGCATTATGAGACGTGCAAAAAAATAATAATAATAATAATAATATTAATTAAAAAATTCAATTTCAATTTAATAATCAATAAATATGTAAGAATTTTAACTACGAACATAATTGATAAGGAATATCGTTAGATTGCATTAAAAACTAATTAATAATTACAATTATTGAAATATTCTTGTTGACATTTAATAAAATTTGAATAATCATACATTAAATATTAAAAAAAAAAACGGATTTAATGATACTTTATTATAATCGCGTATCGCTATCAGCGCACGTACTAAACAAGATATTCATAATAAATACATCTAAGTAGATGTAGAGTGCAGATATAGAATATCGATAATAATAATAATAATAACATACATATTATGATTTTTCAGTGTAAGGTGTGCGCGTGGATAACTTTTTGTTGACGGTAAATCTTATTTTATTTGCACAATTTAATAATTAAATTTTATTGGATAATCAAGATTTACCGTTGCGCGTAAGGATGAACGCTTTTTGCTTTTGCTACGTTAGATTATATTACTTTACAACTGTTACTCACTTATGTGTTGTGTTTAAAAAATTCTAATATAATGTGGCAGCCCACACGTCAGTAAACATTATTTTATTTCATTTTATATGACCTTTCTCTTTTGGCGCGCGGTTTGCGCTACCTTTTATTTTGTTTGTTGCTTTTATGAACCAAGTAAAGTGTGTATCAAGGAAATGTAGAAGTGAAGATGAAAATCAACAAAAACTATGTGAGAAAATATCTAGATATCACTATAATCTAAATTGCCGATTAAAATTATATTACGTTTAAATTGCCGTTGTGGGTTGAGTCATGTTTTCTTTTTAAATAACGGGTTAAATATTGAATTCAACAAAATTATTATTATTATTATTATTTAATTTTTTTTTAATAAAAAAATAAAATTAAAACTTGAATAATATATGCAACATCAGTACGAAGAAATACATTGATTTGAAAGGATATTACGCTACGGATGAAGATGATCGATGGGTTAACAAAAGAATGTAATACACTTCAACGATAGCAGATGAATTAAATGGATTTTTAAAAAAATGTATGTATGAGGAAAGAAAAAGTAAGTAGGTAAAGTAGTTGAGAAATGTCAAATTATCTTTTATTTTCATACTTGAGTTCTTTATATTATTCCTTTATTTCTACTAAGTCTTGTTCGCGATCTATTGAGGGAGTGAATCAAAAGAGGAGCGGCTGAGCATCTGCTTTTATATGCCATCCGTCTAAAGATAGAGATACTCATACATACAATAAAAACTGCAGACTTTAACCTTTCATCATCAATACTGTGAATGTTAAATAAAAATAAAATAAAATAAAAGGAATAAATAATAAAAAGAACACGGATCTTTTCACCTGTGAATTTATTCAATTAATAAATCTGTTGATGTTAAAGTTCCGGAGAAATAAAACTGACGGCTAATTAAAAAATTTATTTTAATATTCTCCTAAAGCCCACGCGTTTATATAAGTTCAAATATACGGGATTCTAGTATTGGAAATATATAAATAAATTTATGAGTTTTGTAACATTTAAACAAAATTTTAAACGTTTAATTTTCTTTCCTTTGTCAATATTTAAATATGTATAGTGTAAAACTTTAGTGGCGTTTAAAAATCAACAAAAACTATGTGAGAAAATATCTAGATATCACTTTAATCTAAATTGCCGATTAAAATTATATTACGTTTAAATTGCCGTTGTGGGTTGAGTCATGTTTTCTTTTTAAATAACGGGTTAAATATTGAATTCAACAAAATTATTATTATTATTATTATTATTATTATTATTATTATTATTATTATTTAATTTTTTTTTAATAAAAAAATAAAATTAAAACTTGAATAATATATGCAACATCAGTACGAAGAAATACATTGATTTGAAAGGATATTACGCTACGGATGAAGATGATCGATGGGTTAACAAAAGAATGTAATACACTTCAACGATAGCAGATGAATTAAATGGATTTTTAAAAAAATGTATGTATGAGGAAAGAAAAAGTAAGTAGGTAAAGTAGTTGAGAAATGTCAAATTATCTTTTATTTTCATACTTGAGTTCTTTATATTATTCCTTTATTTCTACTCGGTCTTGTTCGCGATCTATTGACGGAGTGAATCAAAAGAGGAGCGGCTGAGCATCTGCTTTTATATGCCATCCGTCTAAAGATAGAGATACTCATACATACAATAAAAACTGCAGACTTTAACCTTTCATCATCAATACTGTGAACGTTAAATAAAAATAAAATAAAATAAAAGGAATAAATAATAAAAAGAACACGGATCTTTTCACCTGTGAATTTATTCAATTAATAAATCTGTTGATGTTAAAGTTCCGGAGAAATAAAACTGACGGCTAATTAAAAAATTTATTTTAATATTCTCCTAAAGCCCACGCGTTTATATAAGTTCAAATATACGGGATTCTAGTATTGGAAATATATAAATAAATTTATGAGTTTTGTAACATTTAAACAAAATTTTAAACGTTTAATTTTCTTTCCTTTGTCAATATTCAAATATGTATAGTGTAAAACTTTAGTGGCGTTTAAATTAAATTATGTTTCTACTAATTATAACCACTGAATATTATTCATTTAATAAAGACACGCTTCCGTGTTTGTAACTCTCTCACGTACTTTCTCATTTTCAAATTAACAATTTATTTTAATTTCAATCTTTTATGCTAATTTATCTTCTTATTAAATTTCAAAATTATTTTTTAGGAAAATTAATTTACATGCAGAATTTTTTTCTTTTAAAACAATCTTTTTTTTTTTTTTTAATTTAAATAATTGTAAGAAATTTTTCAAAGCAAAAATCAAAACTCCAAATTGTTTTTTTTTTTTTTTAAATTAATAATTACATTTGCTTGATTACACTCAGTGTTTGCTGAAATTCTTCCCTAAGTCGCTTAGCTATTCTGTCAACATATTAATGTACGTCATCGCTATTGTTAAAATTCTACCTGACACATATTTTGAAATTTCATATGTCCCGCGTCTTAGGGTCTTCTTTTGTCACCCATGAAAAGACTACTTTATCCTTGAGATCGCCCTCTTTCTAGAAAGCCAGCTGCAAAACTACTTTAGTGTACTTTTCTTCACGCACGCGCATCTTCGTAGAACCCAAAAACTCATAGCATGCAATGCAGGTAAGGATACTTTGCCATATATAATTTCAGTGTAAAAGTTTTGCGTATTAAATATTGTAGTGGATTTTTTTTGTTAAAAGAAAAGAATATTTCAATAAATTTAATAATCAATTTTCGTACTTTTGCACTTTTATTGACAATCATAGAGATTAGTACCGTTTTTCTTCATACTAAGTTAGTAATCTACATAGTGAGGTTATCCGTACGAAATACCTCAAAGAAAATGGCTAGAAAATCTGAGCTGTGCAGCATATGTGATGGAAAACTCGACGGAAAGAAACAACAAGTTAATGTGAAGAAAGTCGGCTTACAAAGTTTGATCAGAGCTAGCAAAGAGCGCAAAGAAGAAAAGCATTCAAAATGGCTGGATCTTGACGAGCTTGTGGTCCATAAACAATGTCAGCTTAATTTCATTTGTAAAAGACAAATTGCAGCTGCGAAAAAGAGGAAGCTCAAACAATCTCCAAGTTCTGAAAAGCCAGAAGGCGCGGAAAATACTTCTGATTCAAAGGCATGTTTGATGTGCCGCGAAATTCGGGATGAAGAATTTGAGAAAGTCAAAAAAACCGAGTTCAAAAGATTGATCAGCATTAGCAAACAACTTGGAGATGATAAACACTTGGGCTGGGTTGATGTTCAAGAGATTGTGCTTCATAAAAAATGTTACGCTACTTATCTTTCCAAAAAAGAACCAGCTGCGAAGAAAAGGAAGCTTGTGTGAGGATACATGGGTCTAATGTACAAAAAAGTTTTTGGAAGTCGTGTATTGAAGAAGAAAAGTGCGATGAAAAACCGAATCTGGAGATTAACAAATTTTTAAGTTTAATTTACGGCTTATATGGATGTAATTTTTTTCTGTATTAATGTAATGTATTTTTTTTTAATTATCTTTAGAACTATAATAGTAAAAAATTTGTTTTGTTATATGTTTCAAAATTTGAATTGTTTCTTCCAATAAAATTTAACTCACATTTGTACAAAAAGTTTATTTATTAGTATAATATAATAATAATAAGCCTTACCAATTGAATTTAATTGTTACAGAAGTTACAGAAGTCACTACTATATGTATAACAATTTTCATATTAATCAATTAAAAAGACTTTTTAGAAAAAGTGATTGAAAAATCCTTTTTTTGGCCTAATATCTGTGTATAAATTCTTAAAAATGTTGAAAAGCGTTAAAACACCACAAAAAATTATAGTTTTTACTTATTGGTATTAGAATTGATTTTTTTAATATTAATCTGAAGTTTTTTTTTTTTTTTTTTTTTTTTTTTTTTTTTTTTTTTTTAAATCTTGTTATATCTTTTATATCTAAATTAAGTTTTGTTATTATCAATTTAAAGTGTAAACTTTTTTATTATTAATTCAAATTTGAAAAAATCTAAAAAATGTCTACCATTCAAATACTAAATAATTTTACAATCGTTCTTTTTTTTTTATTCAATTTTATTGAACTCTTTAAATATTCACGAATGAATAAAAATTAATATAGCAATTAATATAGAGGATTTAGATGCTTTACCAGCATCAAAAATTCTATGAACCAATTAATTAATACTCGAATCTATTTAAATTGACGCTCATATTTACCAACTTGTTTGCATTTTATTTAAACCATTATTTTGTTCTTCGAAGGATGAATTTATTCTAATTTAAAACTAGCAATTTTCCAAACGAGACGTGAATGGGTGAGAATTTTTTTTATTAGCCAGCCAATATTGTTATTTATTCATACGACATAAAAGCATATAAACAGCGTATTATTCCCGACAAATATATAAGTCCTTGCAGATAAAAATACACATAACATGAAACATGTAGGAAAAAGTATGACAAAAAAAAATATATGAAAGAAATAAAAGAGTGGTATTTATGATAAAATGGGAATAGAAATGGACGTGGAACAATCCGATAGTGGAGGTCCATTCCCACGATATCTTTCGGCGCAATATTGTACATACATGTAATTCGGAATAAAATACCTATATATAGCTATAGCTGGTTGATATACATCGGGAATATATTGCGCAAGGACTTAAATCAGCCGGGGCGTTTAAAGTGCACTGTAACTATACTAGCAGAATAGCTTGTTTCAACGTTTGATATCGTCTGATATATCTGACGAGCTTTGCCTTGACGTCTGGCCAGCTGCAGAATCACAATCCTCAAAATACAAAGCAGATCACGGCTTACAGATTATTATTAGATGCTGGATGGATTCATCATTCACAGCATAAATATTTTCTGGCTCCGACAGAATTACACCATGCGGAAAATCTAATATTGCAATTCAAATTTAATTAGCATATCATCCGCCCCGTGTAACGTGTTTGTTATCAAAATACGAGTACATCTCTACGATGTTTATTTTAAAACTCGGGAATTAAATAGAACTCCAGCAACCTCCGACATATCTCAACTTACACGCAAAAAACAGGTTCAATATTGTTTTTCTTTTAGTATTATATGTATTTTAAATGGTAATCCATGTTTTGTTACTCTTCTTTTTAAGCTTGTGACCTTCGGTGAATTTTTTATGGATTTTTTTTTTAATTATTTCTATCGACAGTCATCGAAGTGTCTCGAGATGATTTTCGTTCTTTTTTTAAATCATTTTAAGAATTAAAATCCTCGGAGTAAGAATATTATTGATCGTTGGTATTGTTTTTTAAAACGACGATGAAGCTTTTAAATTAATATTTTAAATTGTCTGGATGCTTATAAAATTTTTTATAGAAAATTTCATGGAATGTCTACAATGATAAAAAATTTTTGAGCAAAGAAAATCATTTTAAAGAATATCATCATTATGTTTTTTTCTTATTGGAAAATTATCATATATATAAAAAATTTTATAAGTATAGATTAATAAAAAAATTAATTTTATTCAAGGAAAAATTTTGAACCGAGAATATAATTTTCAAGAGTTTACTAATCTTGAATTAATTAAAAATTTTATTATCATTTTTTTTTTTTAATATTATTAACAAACATCTAGAATGTGCGGAAAAATTCAAGATCTCAGAAGAACATTAATAAAAAAAACTTTCATAAAATCTGGGTCAAAACACCGCAAGTTAATTAGTGACGTAAAAAAATTTAGAACAACAAGAAA